TCTTACTAGTAGAAGATACAAATTTAAGAAATGCTGAGTTGAGTGCAATTTTAACTTCAGTACAAAATTTATAGATGTTGAATTCAAATATTTGGTAGTTTAATACAAGTGCAGATATTAAAAATTTTGAATAATCGGAAAAGTCTAAATTGAATAAATCTATAACGTAGGTTTCAATTTTAAATAAGAGATTAATGTTGTCTGATATCTTTATAAGTGATGAATTAAATGAATTGCAGAGTGATGATGTTGTCAAAATGAATTTTGGTGATAATGAATACCAACAATTTGATATTATGGAGGCTACTCAATAAGTAGTAAGTAAAGCTTTAAATATAAGGGATAAAGAATTAAATAAAATCCATTATGAAGATAGTGATGTTGAATTTATTATTTTTAATCTCCTTAATGATCTAGTGTTTTAGTTAAGAAATTCTAGTAACTTATATGCTAAAGGCTTAACCAATAAAACAACAGAAAAAAAGGAGACATTTTTAGTAATCATAGGCATTTCAGCAGGAGCTTTGGGTTTGGGATTATTGTTATTGACAATCATAACCCTCTCAGTCAACAAAACACAGGAAGAAATACTTTTCATGTTTTTAGATATTCCAGACAAAACTGTTAAGTATTTGTATAATAAGAGCGAAAATTTTATCTCGAATTTATAAGTTGGAGAAGAAGAGGAAGTATTATCAGAATTAGAAGAGTTGGAAAAAGAAGAATTAGAAGAACTTAATAGAACATTAAAAAGTAAAAGGAAGAAGAAAAAGTTTAAAAATACTAATAAAGATTAACGCAATTACATATTTGCATTCTTTTTAATCGTCTTAATTTTAGAAGCTTATTTCATATTTAACTATTTTATGTCTGATACTCTTTTAACCAATTTGGCTTAGCTTGTACCTGAAATAAATGCAACTTGTAGAGCAGAAAGCTTCTTTAGATTTGTCGATAATGCAGAAAGATCACTTTATATTAATAGGAATATGACAATATTAAATGAGGACTCTTACACAACAGTCAAAACAAACATTGATAGATTATATGCCTTGGATTCTTCTATTCATTAAGAGCATTCTCTCAATGTAGATATTACAAATCCAATATATTCTGATGCTTTTAAGCAGATGTTTATGCTTTAACCTTGCACAATATTATCTTAAGAAATGAAGGAAATGACAGAAACTGAATGCTAAACATTTGCTGATGGAGCTATGTATTAAGGGATGGCAGTTGGAGTAGCAAGATACTTTGAGAATATTCGATATATAATGACAATTTACGATTAATTTTGGAACAATTCTAAAGCAAATTTTACAACTATTGCTAGAGGTTTCACTAAGTTTAAAAATATAACAATGGATTCAGATAATGAGAGGAATTACATTCTAAATCTAAACAATTTTAATTAATCTGTGGAATCAAGAGTCATTTAAGAATCTTACAATAGGGGTAATTAATATATTGACTATTTTAGGTACATTTAGGTATTTAATTTAGTAAATGTAGAAAGCCATTTAAGATGACATTGATAGTGCTTAAACTCAAAGATTAGCGCTATTCATTGTTTTTGAAGTATTGCTTTTTATCATTTACTTCATTTTATGGTTACCATTAGTATTAAAAATGACAAGGGATATCTGGAGAACAAGATCGATGATAATGATGATTCCTTTGAAAGTGATACAAAGGATTAGATCAATTAAATAATTTATCAAAGATTTCTTACATGCAAAGGAAGCTGATTCTTGATATAATTATATATATTAATGCTTAATTTATAAATTAACAGAAAAAAAAAATGGATCAAAAATAAAAGATGCAACATCTTATGAACAATTTCATGAAGAAGGAATAAACAAAACAAGGTTAAGTGACTGTTAAGTTGTATGTGAATAATGAATTTTCCTAATAAATTTAATATCCAACTAGAAATTAGACTGTCAACTAATTGGTTAATTACTTGCGGAACTTACTAAACCAAACCTAGATTGTAGGATTTCAGACTTTAGAAAGTAACATTTATTTAGATTACTACTTAACTACAAATATGGACTTAGCAGTATTGAGCAATTTAACCCTCTCTTTAAAGCCTTTATATGGAATAAATTAGAATGGAATAAACTTGGATTCCTTTTATTTTTTATAATGTATAGGCATAGGTGGATTTAGCAGAGTCTATTTAGTAAGATATAAGTTTAACGGCTAATTTATGGCGTTGAAGATGATTTCAAAATCATTTATTGAGTAAAATGATAAATTTCAGATTGTTTAAAATGAGAGAGATATAATGGTGCATCTAGCCAACACTAATAATTCACATCCAAATCTCTGTAAATTGTTATGCGCTTTTGAAACCAAAAATTGGGTTTGTTTTGCCATGGAATACTGCCCTGGTGGTGAATTATTTTAATAGTTAAAGAGAGTGAAGAAAATGGATGAATAATAGGCAAAATTCTATTTTAGTTAGGTTTGTATGGCAATACATCACTTGCACGAAAACAAGGTTATTTATAGAGATATTAAACCTGAGAATATTCTAATTGACTCAGAGGGCCATATTAAATTGGCTGATTTTGGATTAGCTAAACCCAATGTTCAAGATAATAAAATGGCATATTCTTTTTGTGGGTCTCCAGAATATATGGCTCCAGAGATGCTCTTAAAATCAGGACACAATTATTAGATTGATCATTATTGTCTAGGAGCACTTTTATATGAACTAGTAACAGGATTACCTCCTTATTATTCGAATAATCCAGAATAAATTTATTAAAATATATTATCACATGATCTACCATAGCCAAATAAGAACATAAGTGCAGAGGCCAAAGATTTGATTAATAAATTGCTCTAAAAAGATACATAAAATCGATTGGGGAGAACTTATGGCATCTATGAAATACTTAAACATCCATGGTTATCAGAATTCAGCTTATACAAATTGATTAATAGGTCTTATGACCCTCCATTTAAACCAGATTTATTCAAAATGAACTTTGATTAGAAGGAAATTTTAAGTGGAGAACATTAGTTTTAGAAAGAATTACAAAAATCAATGAATACAGAAATGGAAAATGTATTTACACCATTTTTCCATAATTTTTATTATTCGTCCTTTTAATTTAAACAGCCTTAGAGATCATCCTCTATCACTCAAATAAATATCTCGAATGTTGATGATAAATTTACTAATATTCTTTTGAGTACAACAAAATCTAAACATGTTTCATAGACACATTAATCATCTAGTTAATCTTAGTTAAAGAAGAAAAAACTATTACAGAATGATGTTGAGAATAAGGAAAATTTGATGAAGAATAATAATAATTAGATGATTATGAAGGCTGGTGTTAAACATAAGAAGAATAATTAAAGTATGCCTGATAATGTGTTAAATGTTCAATAAAATGAATTAAGATCATATTCATCCTAAAAAGTAAATGAATAATTACAAAAACTTACAAATAATTATTAAACAAATCTAATTAAATCACCATCAACTGAAAATGATGAATAAAAGTAACATAAATTATAATTTGGTGAAAATAAATAGCTTAATAAAAACTAGTCTAATTAATGTTCTCTTATCAGATATTTTAAATAATGAATTTATTCACAATATTTCAATAATTTCAATCCTATAAAAATTTTGAAAATTTAACATTTAGAAGTTGTCTTCTTTCTCTTTCCTCTTTTCTCCATAAAGTCTCATCTAATTAAGCATGTTCAGTTCTATCTTCTTTTTCTGCATCGAATTCTATTTATTTATCACCCTATTTAATTGTTACTTGTAATTTGACCTAGAATAATCTCTTATATATATCTGCCATAACTATTTCAATCTCATTTTTCACTTATTTAATAGCCCTACCATCTTCTCCAATAACAATCCTCGCTTATGATGAAGTTTAAACATTAATTTAGACTTCAATTTTAGCAGATTCTTTGCTAGTGACCCTAAATTCTTTCACATAAATTCCAATAATAAACGGAATTTCATTATAGAATCTTTTAAATATTGCTTATCTAACTATTTATTCTAATTAATCCATTGGAGTAAATAGATGTTTCTGATTTTCATTATATTTCCATCTACATTAAAAACTTTGAGAATATAAATATTATTTCAATTCGTCCATTCCATATCCAGTTAAAGAGGATATATAAAATGTCTAATCATATTTTCCTAGATCTTCCATTTCAGTTTATAACCACTTCAATTTCTTCTTGTTAAAGCATAAATCCATCTTATTGAAAACAAGTATTTTAGGAATTGGTTTATCTTCTGACGCTCTGAAATCATCCTCATTTCTGAAGTAGCTTTTTAATTGTTCTTAATCGACTTTGATCTTATTTAATCTTGACATAACATTCTTCATGCTAATATCCAAAGTTTTTATAGCATCAATTAAAATGATCACCATATTAGTATCTTCAATGACATCCCAAGCCTTGGTTACAAAATGCTTTGAAAATTTATAGCGCTTGGTCACTCCTGGAGTATCAACAAGCTCCATTTAAACACCACTTTTGAGATCTGTATGCACTCCTCTAATTTCTGAGACTGTGGTATTGCTCTTATTTGATACAGCGCTTATTGGTTCACCTATTAACTGATTTAAAAAGGTGGATTTCCCTGAATTAGGAGGTCCAATAATGGAAACAGCTAAAAATTTCTATTCTTCAATGGCAACAGATGGTTTTTGGGCTAATGGTTTCAATAGTATTTTATTTGAGACTTTTGTTCCCAAATCAGTAGTTTTTATGGCTTTTTCATTGATAGTGTAGAGAGTGGCTGGTGTTTCATAATCTTCTAATAGAAATCGTTCCGGTTTTGTGGGAGAGAGAATGTCAATTTTTTTAGTCAAGGGGTTAGTTGGATGCTGATAGGGTCTTAGGGTTTTTGCATCTAATTTTTTAGGAGGAGCATACTTTCTCAGTTTCTGCAAATTAGACATACAATAACCACAAATTTTGATCATTATAATATATTTGAAAAAACAAAAAATAGCAAAATTATATAAAATCTTCAATGCATCTTATTTCTTTTGAGGACCTTCATTAGTTTGGGTTTTTCGACGCTTCTCTCTGTTTTTAATTTCATTTAATACAAATCTAAGACGTTATCTTTTTTTGGTTGGCTCTTTGTGCTTGTATTAAGCGTGCTTCGATAGGAGTTTTGGGTCTAGATGTTAGAATCTTCATGTTTTGGAATAACTAGTTTTCTATTTTAGAGCTGTTAATAAGTTATCTTGATTTGATTCATTTTCTGATTAGTTTTGAACGAACTCTGCAAACTCTAGCCTTGGGGTTTAGGTTTACTTAAGAGCTTATGAATTTACTAAAACAGATAGTAATATTAGGAAGTACCTACTGCAGTTAGTAGCTAATAGAGAATGGTTGCAAGACATTACTTAAGTTAGCAGTATTGGATTGCTTCATTTTCAAATCTCCGGCAGATTTAATAATTTTCAATTGCTTCTTGACTATGAAAGTTCACAAACTGAATTATTTACCATCCTGAGATTTAGATCCATAAAATTATTTGCTAAGAGACTTGAAATAGTCTTCATCGTTGTCCTTGAAGAGTCTAGATTCAACAAGTTACGAGTCATCATTCTCAACCATGAAACTAAGAAACTATTCGTCATTTTTCATTGTTTTATTTATTTAATAAATGGATTTACAAGTTTAGAAACTTTAGCAAGAAATCACAGAGTAATATCCCTCACATAATATTATAGTCTTAAAGAATATGAGTAGATGCTTGAAGATTAAATAAAGGAACACGAAGAAACTATAGATAAATAAAAGTTGGATCTGAATACAAAGGAGACTGAGATCAAGAATCTCAAAAAATAATTACAAGAGGCAATCAAAAAGGCAGATGTCATTGTATTAAATAAATTTCATTTAAGAATAATTCCGATGATGTGAGTGGAGCGAAAATTATTTAATTGGAAGTGGAAATCCATGATCTCAACTAACAATTGCAAGAATCAGCTTAGAAAATTAAAGCACTTACTCAACAACTCAAGTATGAATCCCAATTGAAATTAGTGCCAAAATTGAAGAGAATGAAATGGAGATTGAAATCCTAAAAGACGACCATCAAAAATCTTTGAGTGATTAGCAGATTTAAATCGAGGCATTGTAAAAGACAATAAATGAATTGCAACAGCTTCAAAAAAACACAGAAACAAAACAATCCCAAGAGATTGCTCCAACTCAATTAAAGTAAGTAATTCTGTGAAATTAGTGATTAAGAGGAATTACTCTAGAAGATTCAAAATTTAACAAATTAAATTGAATAATACGCAAAATAACTTGAAATTAAGGATAAATAGATTGAGTAGTTGTAATTAAATGAAGGGAAGCAAGGAAGTATGGAAGAAGTCGGTAAGAGATCACAAGAGGAGGATTAGAATTTAGAAGAGAAGATTGCCCAATTAGAAGAGGTCTTGTTGTAATATTAAGAGGAAAATTCTTAATTTGCTGCCAAGGAGGAGGCATCTCAAAAAGAAAAATAATAGCTCAAATAATAGTTGGAATCACTAGAAAAACAAATAAAAGAAATATAATAATAAGAACAAGATGCCAGCGTTGCACAATAACTTGAAGATCTAAAACTGGAATATGAAGAATTAGTTGAAGAGTACACATCTACTAATGAAAAATTATAGCAATCAGAATTAGAATGTTAATAATTAACTGATAAATGCTAAGAGTATTTGTCAGTCAAGGAGTAATTGTAGGATCAAATCACCTAATTTGAAACTACATTATAACATCACAATGAAGTCTTAGAAGAAAACAATGAATTGAAATAATTGATGAACAAAGCTTCAGAATAAATTAATAATCTGTAAAGTAATAATGAATACTAAACACTTTATCTTTAATTGAGAGATGAGTATGAAGAATTTAAAGAGCAACTCCATATCACCATTAAAGAGAAAGATTAACAGTTATATTAGGCAGCCTAATTTTGTTAAGAATTAGAGGCTTTTAAAGAATAAGCTCATATGCTTGAAGAAAACAACACACTCTTATCAAACTAGCTCTAAACTCAATTGGAAAATAACGAAAAATATTAATAGAGGATTGAGGAATTAGAAAATTAATTAAACACTCTCTAAAACTAAAATCAAGACGTTAATGATCTTATGTAGAAGTTGGATCAATTAAAACAAGACAACGAAAACTTAAAGACATAAAATTACGAATATGATGAAATGATCAAGAATTATGAAATTTAAATGGATGCCCTTAAATAAATTGAATGCGACTCTCCTAAAAAGATTTCCAAGTTACAATAAGAAAATTCTGAAACCACTGCAGAGTATATCAAATTAAAAGAAAACACATAAAGAGAGATACATCTACTAAAATAAGAAAGGACCAACTTATAAAATGAAATTGTTGAAATTAAATCCTTGCTTGACACATATATTAATAGTGGAGAAACCTTTGAATCTAAAACATAATACATTATCGATTATTGGAATAAATTATAATCAATTTAAGATGAATAAAACAATCTTGTTGAAAAATTTCAATTAGAAATTCAAGAATTAAATGAAAATATTGGTTAAATTCAATCTTTACAAAATCTAAGCACAGACCATTAATAATTGAATTAAGAATTGTAAATTAACAGTAGCGAAAAAAATGAACTTGCCGCTGATGAGAATTTAAATTTATCATTAGAAAAATTAGTAACAAATGAAGAAACAAATTAAAATAATTTTCATTTTGAAGTTAAAAAGGTTTAATAAACAGAATATGTTGAAATATCGACATAAACAGAAGATGTTATTGAATAGAATTAATAATAAGATCAAGTTTAATAATAAGAGTAATAATAAGAGTAATAATAATAATAGTAATAATAATAATAATAATAATAATAATAATAATAATAATAATAATAATAATAATAATAAGAATAAAAATAATATGAATCATAACTCATTTAAACTGATGATGTCATCTTTTCAGCCCCATAGAATTCCGATAAAGAAACTAATGATCAATTATGTTAAACTGATGAATAAAAAGAAGATTTATAAGAAATATAGGGTTAAAATAGTGAACAATAAAATAATGAATAAAATGGAATTGAGCTTAATAGTTAACAACTCAACGGGGAGCAAGATCATGATTAGAGTATTATAACAAAATTGATGTAACCAAATGAAGATCTAGACGGACAAGGAAGTTAATTCTAAGATTTGAACTAAACCGATCAGTTGAAGTATTTATAATAATAACATTTTTAGGAAAAAAGTCGAGGACATGGATAACCTAAGAAAATCTTTAGAGAAAGAAGTCTATAATCTTAAAGATAAGAATAAGAAATTAGAAGAAAAACTATAAATCATCTAAAAACCAGGAACACCAAGAAAGCAATCAGATGCTAAAGAAGAAAGGAAAAAATAATAGGATAATGAATTAATTTAAAGATTATAAAAATAAATCAAGGAATTGTAGGAAGAAATTCAATCCTTCAATGTTCATTAATTGAATGAATAAATAGAATAATAATCTAATGAAATAGAGCAATTGTAATCGGAAATTGAATAATACAAAGAATAACTAATTAAATAAAAGTAGTAAACCATCAAGTTTAAGAACTAATTGGATACAATTTACAATTTGGGACCATAAGCCTTAACAATGCTATAAAGCGAACCAAAAAAAGAGTTTTCATCTACTTAATTAATTCAATAGGAAAAATATTAAATTTCATCCTTTTTGTATATAAAATCACAAAAATCATATTAATGCCAATTTATTGAATTAAATAGGAAGCAGATAAAGTTGTTTTAATCAATAAAGGGAAAAATTGAGAAAGCTGCATTTGATACTTACACATTTGATGAAATATTCTTTGATACTCAAAAAATTCATTAATTTTTGGATTAGTCAAAATTAAAGTTATCCAGTGATTAAACTAAAGTATATCTTATCCTAGGGTAATCGAAGACACACAAAAAGTTGATTATGATCATGTTGATAGAATTGCTTTACAATTTGATTCAAAAGTAATAATTGAACTAAAAAATAACATTTTGCTATTAAGAAAGAATTGGAAAATAATGGATAGAGATTGAGCAATTTAATACTCAAACTTCTTCTATCTAAGATTTAGAGTATACATTCTAAGCGATCAAAGTGCATTTATTGACTAAATAGAAAGCTCTTGGAGAAAAAATTCGAAAACTTTCAATAACCTATTAGACTTATATTGAAAATTAATTATAGACTACAAGTAACTTTATGATTGCCACTTGTCCATCTTTACCCTAGGGGGATTTCAAAAATGTGATATAAAAGATATTGAATTGCTAGATAAATCCAAATATCTAATTTAACATATTTTTAAATATTACACCTGCTTTATAATAATATCAAAAATCTGCTGAGATATTATCAATGGCCAAATAAATCAAATTAGCAAAAGGTCAATTAGATATTGCTTAGTTGACTTCGAGTAGATCTGTAAGTGAATATAATTTAGTAGATGATGAAGCTTAAAAATAGATGAGAATAATCAATAATAAATTGATATTGAAGCAGCAAGAAATTGATTAAGGTAAAAAGGCTCTTGATTTGTATATAAAATAATTACAGGAGCTTTAAGCAAAACTTGACAATTAATTAGGATAACATAATACCATTTCTGTTTTAATAAATAATATAATACTAGAAATAAAATAGAAGATTAATATGAAAATGAATTAGAAGAAGAATAAAAAATCTTAGAATGTTGCATTTCTAGATAAATTGGCAATTCAATTAGATTAGATTATTAGAAAATAGCAAATAAGTTAATCTAATGTTGACAATGCGGATAGATTCATTAAAAGTAAAGCTAGTGAAATTGTAAATCCATTTGTATGAAAATCACATATTAAATCCAATTAAATATTCATCAGACAATTTAGCATTAGTTAATTCTAAGTCTTATTTTTCATTTGAAAAGGATCCAGGCCAAAATTAAGTTGCTGATAGTTCTGTTTTTAAAATTCCTGTTTTTTTGTATGCCTGGGCTACTAATTAAGAACAAAAATAAGTGTTTTTCTCTGATGACGTAATCATTACAGATTTATCGGTTAATATTTTTTTGACTGTTAAAGAGTAAGCCTTTCCTAGATTTTCTTTTGTAAATTATTCCATTTTCAATAAGAATTCTGTTGTTCTTTGAATTTCAAGTTAACGATATACAACTCTAAATTTAACTAATAAAAATCATACTTATTATATAATTCATACCATTATTTCCCAACCATGTGCTTCCATTCAAATATTCCAACACCAAAGGTTCCTGTGGCCTCTAAAACATAAATCGATCCATTCGTATATTTCAGAATCATTGCGACATGATCTAATTGTGATTTAAACACATTACCATATTAAGATCTAGTAACCATTCTTTAAGCTTTGCATGAGATATGCTTACCCTAAAAGAGTAGTATATCTCCCGTTTGAGCCATATCTAGGAATTGTTAATTATGGATTAATCTCTTTTTATAATATTCTTCAAATGGACGGATATAGTATTAAAACTTTGGATTCAAGCGATAAGTGTCTATGCAGCTCTTAATGACTTGGAACCAGTCATGGGCATGTTGTCCTTTAAATTGAAACACAGCTTCATCATCTTCGCATTTTAAACCAAACTCGGTTATGACATTGTTTTGTTATTTGAAAAAGTATTTAAAATTGAACAAGTGAAAATTCAAGACTACTCTAGCTCTCTTTTTTTCCTCATTTTCATATACACAAAGGATGCCATCATGAAAAACACAAAATTTATTTTTATATGAGGAAAATAGAGAGTTACTTTTCTTTTCAATCCAACCTGAATAAGAATCAGGTTACTTACATTGAAACAGTCCAGATTATAGAATCTTGGATTATTAAAGAAATTCAGCTTCACTAGTTTCATTTTCAACATCTTGGCTTATTATAGATTAGGCCAATCGATAATCAATGTTTTAGATTCCTTCAAATTCCACTTACACTTCTTCGATTATCTCATTAGGTTTAACATCTTTTTAATTCATTTATTGCATCTGCACAAGCCTATCATTTACAGAGGCCATTAAACTCATTCTTAATGGGTTTTGATCTTAGGTTTTTTAACGACCGATAACAATAGAACTGGAAGGCTTAAAGGTAGGATTGTTTAATTGATCAAATTGAGATGTAGTAATAGCTGACTACATATATATGATTAATATATAAATTTAATGAATAATCTTTATTAATTCGACAGATCATTATTGACAATAGACATTCCAGGAGCTTAGCCTAGAAAAAAATCAATACAACTCAATAAAATGGAGAGTCTAGATACCAAATAATGTAGACAGTTAAAATTACAGTAACAGTCTGTTATTATTATGCTAACTTTTAGATTGAATATTGCTCAACAGGATCAACATTATGGAAGACGAAGATATCAACATGATTTTCATCACTTTTGCAACAGTTTTGTTCCTTAAGGCGAATACTATTTTGATGTCTCTCAAAAAAAACATTACAATCTATAAGAGGGAGAAATTAAGTAAATGAGAGCCCTTGAAAACATCTATGATTAACCAAAGTATTTGATTATTAAATGATGAAATTTAATAGGAGACAGATTATTAACTACAAATGATATCGATGGAGCTATGCCAGGATCACTATAAAGTAAGGTGGTTAAGAACATGGAAAAGGCATAAAAATTAAGGTTAGAGAGGGATTCTTAAAGAGCTCTTAACAATGAAGCACTTTATTTGAGACCTATGATGGATTGCAGATTATAAATGGAAAAATAACCGACAAGAACAAAGTCGTTTTCCATGCAGTAAACACCTTAAAATCCTCTAATCGATAATCAGATAATTGAAATTAATAACTTAAAATAATTCAACGAAATGAGAAAATTGCCAAAGATTGGAGAGAATTTACCAAGCATCTAAAACAGAGTTCATAAATACAGTTTTGTGGAAGGATTTGATAGAGAATCATCAATCTTATAGAAATGTTAGCCTATGAAAGTTTTTGTATGATAATAAACTACTAATACATTATGATAACTTCATAATCTTTCATTTAAAAAATAGTTGTTAATACTTATTGGCCTTCTGAAAAGGTCTATATTCATATTACTCTTCCTTTTTATTATCATCAGTTTTAAATGGTTGATTTCTTCTTTCATTTTACATAACTATCGGACTTTAAGCATTTTTTTTCTATACATTTATCGATTGTTGAGGTAGTACAGATTGGCTTTTTAAAGTGTATTCCCCAAAATTATAATATTTAGAGGTCTTTACAAATGATGGATTAAATTTAGGTTTTCTTTTCATTCTTGCCTACGAAGACTCGTCCGTTTCAATATTACATTCATTAGATTGCAAGTATTTTGACCGTAGGGAGCTTGATCTACTAGATGGTTTTCTCGTGGAGGAAAATCTTGAAAGTCTTTCTGTAGAATCACCAGGCGATTTTTTTTTTTTATTTCGCTTATTACCATTTTCAGTAAATCGATTAGTTCTGCTTTCTGTTCTTAGTTCATTTTCTTAACATGTGCAATCACATGAAATATAGTTTATATAGCATTAACATTAACACCTACCAATAACTACTGTTCCCATTAACAAATTAATTTTACTTAATAATGAAGAATCAAATATATATAGTAGCAAATTAATGTAAATAATCGAATCAATTCCGTATCAAATAACCTTTTACTAAAGCAACTAGGATAGCAAACTAGAGCAAAGTAAAGTTGAAATTACAATTATCTATGAAATAGTCATATATTTAGAATACATTTTTTTAATTATGTTTATTAATTTTCAATTCTGGTTTTCTTGTTAAACTCTTGATATTTTTGTAACTATATAATTAAATTATACAACTACTTAGTGTTTTCTAATTAGTCTTTATTATTATCGATTTAATCATCATCTGCCTTTTTTACAATAATAGAATTAAACATTATTGAATCTTATTATTACGAAATACTTAAATTTTATTCAAAAACTTTAGACTCACTCCCTTATGAGCGAGATTAAGTATCTTCTACAATATACTGTTTTATTCTGCTGCAGAGTATTTAAGATTAAATATTCGATTCATCTCTGCTTTTCCAAAAAATAGTCAGATCTAATTGATTTTAGCTATTAATGATTACCTGAATCTTTAGAATCAATAAAGCAGGCGTTAACTTTAAATTTATTGTCATATATTTAATCATCTTCTATAGGTCGGTTTGTAGAAATTTCAATAATTTATGTTTAATTGGGGTTGATTTGACCAATAAATGGTATTATTTGAAATAAATCAGGTTTTGTAGCTTTTATCTATATTATTTCAAATTTAAGGCTACTTTGAAAGCAACATTTTTTTCAGTCAAATTTTTAAGAGACATTTAGGCATATGCTAATTTATTTTCTTTAACATTAAATTCTAAAAAATCTTTAGGTTCAATTTCTAAAAGCTCTTCCATTGAATATTATTTCTGCTTTATTATGCTCCTGAGTATCTAAGATTAAATAGTTGATATATCTCTGCTCTTCCAAAAAATAGTCAGATCTAATTGATTTTAGCTATTAATGATTACCTGATTCTTTAGAATCGATAAAGCAGGCATTAACTTAAAATTTATTTTCATATATTTAATCATCTTCTATAGGTCGGTTTGTAGAAATTTCAATAATTTATGTTTAATTGGGGTTGATTTGACCAATAGGTGGTCTTACTAGAAATAAATTAGGTTTTGTAGCTTTTATCTATATTATTTCAAATTTAAGGGTACTTTGAAAGTAACTTTTTTTTCAGTCAAATTTTTAATTGACATTTAAGCATATGCTAATAAAATTTCTTCAAATTCTAAATATTTTTTAGGTTCAATCTCAATAAGCCTTTGCATTGAAAATTAATTTAATTTAATGAATAATTTTTCATAATATTTTTTTAGAGAAAATGAAGAATATTTGCATTTTATATATTCGCTATTAAAGTGTCTTCAAGATCCCTATAAAGTGTTTTTGAAATGTAATTAAAAATAATTGAATATCAAATAAAGAATATGAATTCAAATATATTTGTATCTTGGGATAATAAAAGACCTAAATTCATAATAATAGTTTTTTTTTTAAATATTTTATACTAATTAACTACTCCATTTTACAAGTAATCAAAAGTAAACTAATTAAGATAATTAATTTAATTTTATGCTAAGTGACCAATGAAAGAAATGGATGTAATTGAAAAAAAAATATGAATTCAAAATAAGTAATTACAAATAGATGATTAAAGATAAGATCATCTCATTAAAAAATATGATTATACATAGTGTTTTGATCACATTTGCAGCATTGAAAACAATGTTATATTAAATTTAATGATCTAAAAATAATTATATGAATGATGTTAGAATCATTGACTTTGATATTAAGATTATTGTAGTTAAACTAATAGATTATTCCAACATAACATCCAGAATCTAACTGTGGTTGATCTATATAACTAGGTTAAAATTACTTTTGATTTTAGTTTCCTTAGAATTATGATAAAAAATGGATCATTGAAAATCAAACAGAACTCAAATTATGTGAATCCATAAAATATATTATGATTAATAAAATTAAGAATTTCAACTCATTTCCATCAATCTATATAAATATTAATAAAAATGTAAGTTAATAAATAGAAGTGTATGTTTTGTGAGAAGCTATCAACAGATGGATCTTTTCACTTTATTCTGAAAAGAGCTCTCTATTGCAAATACTCTCAATCTCAGATTCTGATATTTTCAAAGGACATCAATGATATCCTAGATGATAATCCAACAAAATGCACTATTCATTATAAAGATCACTTGCATTTCAATGACTAAACTGAATACATGAGAAGGTATCTCAATTATTTCAATACAGATTTTATCGTTTTTTTGAGAGTGATGATCGATTGCCATCTCTATTTGAGTATTATAAATACCATATCAATATTCCTCGAAACTTTTACTCCAAAATCATCAATAAACGCATGGAAAAGAATAGAGAACTTCGTTATTAAAAGATCAAATAAGAACTAGGTCTTCACTAAGAAATTACAAATTAAACATCTCCAAAAAAGAAGGACACTTCTGAAGATTAATCTGTAAGTCAAATGAAGAATCTCCTCAAAGATCTTAAAATTGAATCAACCCAAACTGATGTCTCTAGAGTAAGCAATACAACTATATTGAAAGATCTAGTTAAGATGATTGGCAATAATACAGAAAAAACAAAGCCTTTTTAAATCTTTAATTATAATAAACTAATATAAAAACAAATCAATCCCTTAATTGAAGCTTAAAAATTGTAGTTAAAGAAACTAGAACCAACTCATAACAACGAAAACACAATAAAACATATTAAATAGGCTTCACTTACTGATAGAAATCCTAAATCTAATTTATTATCTAGACATTCATCCCATTCCAAAATTAAGGTTGAAGTCAAACCAATCAAAAGACCCCCTTAGCTGAAGCAAAGACAGGCATCTTTAGGCAATATTGAAATTACTAAATCATGTCAAACGACTGCCAGAAACAATCCGTAATAAAACGAATTACTCTTGGAATTGGCTAAGAAAGTGTTTTCAACCAAAATAGCCTTAAATAATAATGTTCTCACCAAAAAGAAGTCCAATTAACAATAAAACAATAACTTTTTTGTTAAGGGGAGATCAAATATCTATGGAAGTTTGAAGAATCTAGAAGAACTAAAGAGCTCTATGAGAAGTCTAAATGTTCAACGCAAAACTCCAAACAAATTGATTAAATCCCATTAAGGCACTCCAAATTAGAAAAAAAAATGATGATAGTTTTGTTTGTATGATGATTAATTTTATTAATAAATTCAAATAAAATACTTCTGAAATTAATTATAAGTTATTTAGTAAGGGTAATCCTGAAATGATTAAAAGAACAGTAGAACATGTTTACTCTTCACATCTAACACTTTAAAGTCATCTTAAGTAATTATTCCATCTTAATCCAAATCTATGTAGTTGAATATTACATCAACATTCTTCATGTCTGATCCCATTTGATGAGTTGATTCTTTCCTATATCTAATTAATTCTAAATATTTCTATATCAGCACTTTTATAATTTTCTTGGTTTCATAAGTAAATGCTCCAATGTAACTACTCAAAGGCTGCTTGCTTTCTGGAAACAAATACTTAAAGTCAGTGAGACTAATTATTGTTATTATTTCTTACTCCCATTAAGTTTAAGAATGATGTGTCGAATAGCTATGAAGTAATTGCCTAATTATAAACTCATTAACATCTATTCCCAACTACAAAAACCCAAGTTTTAAATCTTACAAATCAATAGAACCATCTACATCAAGATCAAAGAACTAAAATGCTTGAGAAATTGAATAGTCAGCACGGCTTGAAAGCTGAATATAGTTATTGATTTACTTCTAATTTTATTTGATCCAACTCATCTTGCAATTTCCCTACTGTTAACAAGTGCAATTGAAATTCCAATATTTACTCTTCCTTTAAACTTGATTACTTCTGTAAGGATTTAGTGGAAGATCTTAAAGGAATATTCCTATTTGAATTAGTGTTTTCTTGATCAGTCTTTTATCTAGATTCACTTCTATGAATTGATAATTAACTTTGTTATTTGCTAACATATTTTTATAGGTTTCCTCTAGAACCTTAATTAAATTTTGGCGGTTGTGAACATTTAAGCAGCTCCTCCCAATCAAATCTATTTACATCTGAATCTTGATCTTTATCCAATCTCCTTATGGCACAGACAACATCTTCAAAACTGATATCTAGATCAATATTTTTAAGTAACTATAAGAAGACTGGCATATTTTTATCGCTTTTAGGACACAAAAAGTTCAACAATGTGTTCTTATCAATTCTTAGGATCAATGCATCTAAATAGGCCTAGGTTTTTCGAATTATCTCTATGTTCATCCCAATAACTTTGCCTATTAAATTAAGTATATCTGAAGTAGGATTGTTATAATTCAATTGTCCTTATTAATATTACTTTAAAAAGATCTAATTGTTAGGAAGTATCAAGTCTAAAAAACTAATGGGTTATTATTATTTATTTTACTCCTAATAGGTAGTATATTTAAGCATTGATATTTCTCTTTAATCAAAACGAATTTATTAATTTTAGAGGAATACTTCTAAATCATTTCTAGTTATTCTGTCCTTTTCATAAGCAAGCTAATATTAATACGATTTTAATAACATGTAGGAAACAAGTTTGGTAGCTTACATTGCTATCAGTTATTCGAAGAATTAGGCTTTACTTAATATTTTCCAATTCTTTTTCTCCTTTAACAGTATCTTTAATCAAATGTATAATTGTGTTTTTGCTCTAATTTGAAAACATAATTATATTAATTTTGTAGCTGTTATGATAATTACTTAATTACTATTATATATTAGGATAATATTCTAGAAAATAGAACTTATAGAAGAGAATAACTCTCATAAAACATAATTTATAATAAATAGAATCTAAGACAAGAAGTATATACCTATCTTAATTTAACCAATTAATTTATAAATTTAGATTTTCAAAATTAAATATGGATTATCTAAATTTTACAATTCAAAATGTTATTTGAATATATAAACGGAGCTCTTCATATTTTTGTTCAAATTCAAAATTTAATCTCTTATTTAGAACATTTTCAATTAAAATTTTAAGAATCATAATATTATAAAAGGCACGACCTCAATAAAATATATTATAATGATAAATGAAAGTTGTATGTATTTGAATATGAAATGAAAACTGTAGATATTCTAGGTAAAAATGAAATTTATTATAGAAAAATAAATATGTATTTAATTCAACCAATTTATCTATAATTAAAAAATCAATAAATCCCTTAAAAGTAAATTAACCAGAATTCCAAAACTTAATATTGATTGATATAATAGAGAATTTATGGGATTATTCAATAGAATAAATCATTAGATTTTTCAGATAAAAATACTTAAATTTGATTTTATATGATTTCTAAATCGTTTTAAAACTGTCGCTATTAAGGATTATTATTTGCAAATTGATTAATGATTTATTATTATAAATAAAAAGCCGATATTAAAGAAGTCGAATTAAAAATCATAAAAGTGTTACTTCTTCAATGTTAACTATTATTTTGAGGAATATAAATATATTATCAAAGAAATTTCACTGTTTTTACTTTTTTGTCTAACATTTTTTTTAATGTTATTTCTGGAGATTAATAATCCTATTATATTTATTTAGATGTACAAGTATTTTTCTTATGTCTTCGGTTAATGAGTCTCCAATTTATTTAACTTTGGGAGGGTACCTAATTGTAATAGTCGACTATCTTTGACTCAAACTTGGTAATTTCAATTTGACTGATTAATTCCCTTTTTTAATTATGGTTCTTTGTGTTAAATCAATTAAGTAAGCATTTCTCTCTACCATAAACGATCTTATTTAAGGTAAACTTTGTTTATGATTATATGACATACTAAATATATTATATTATAATTAATTAATTTTACAAAGTATATAATGAGTTCTCAATGAAGAATTAATTCACTCATTAAATTAGTAGCATTATAAAATGAATTTAAAGTTAATTATGATATAAACTTAATCAATGCAAAGGAACAATCAAAAATTAAAATCGTGATAACGAAATTCCTTATTTCCAAAATCAACTCTTTCATATACTATCTTATTTGATAAGATAATTGATACACTTAGGTTTTTAAAGATAGATTAAAGATTTATTCTAAAGCTGGTATCAATTTCATAGGTTAGTTTGATCTCAATAAATAGAATTAATGAAACACCAATTTTTTTACTATTGATATAGATTATAAATAAAGTTATCTGTTTTAATCGCTATAAATATTGGAAGAATACAACTATTTATAATCAATGGATTATTATAAATTTATTAAACTAAAAAAGATAAGTCTAATCAAGAGTTAAATAACAATTAATGTATCATCATTAAATCAATAAGTTATTGTTTTAAAGCTGCTTTTAACTTTTATATGAGTGGATCATATTATCATTAAATAGAAAAATGAATATTGTCTTATTGAATAAAATGACACTTAGTATTTATATAATTAAAATTAATTAACAATATGAATTAGAAATTTAAATTCCATGAGAAAAGCCAATCGTTACCATTAATAGTTAGAAAACCGATAGCGGTTATGAATTATAAATTGTATGAAAAATATCAACACTTTCAAAATTACTACTACATAAGAGATATTAATGAGATATTAAGTGATGCCTAAACAAAAATAGTAATAAATTTTAAAGATTAATTGGCTATTGACGAGGATGTATCTCAAGTAATTAATATCAATAGGAAGAATATCTAAAGAGATTTTATTAGTTGAAGGAATTTCCTCAAAAAATTGAGTTGCTCACAGAATATTACAAAGTATAAAATTGATACGAAATAGTTCCATGTAGATATTGCTCGGATATTCTAAGAGCCAATTTGTTCAATCCTAAACAAATATTATGATAAGAAAAGAAAGTATGACTATTTTAGAATTGCTAAAATGATAGAAGAGGAAAATAAATTAAATCCAAATAAACCACCCAAAGGAATTGTGGGTGAGAGACCTTCCCCTGCAAACTCTTAAGAATCAGCACTTTAAGAGTAAGATGAGAAAGAGCATCAGAATATCAAAAATATTTAAATATTAAATGAATTGAGTTGGTTAAAAGTAAGACTTTACCATATAACTACATTAGCATGACAAAACACTGCCTAAAGAAGTCTCTTAAACCATAAATGAATTATGCAAATAAATCGGTTCTGGAGGAGATTAATCATCCTTCTCAATAATTAATTTTTAGAAATAAGAAAAAGTATCTTTGGATAATTTTCTAATGTATATTGGAGGTAAAGCCAACGTTCAATAGAAAACATCTCCAACGGCAAGACACTCATAAGAATAATTGATTTAGGAATTAATAATGAATTAAAAGGCTAAAATGTAATAAAAGGATAACAAAAGAAATAGTATGCATAAGAAGAATGAAACCAAGTATAGTATTGGTTCGATTGAGATGAAGAACAATTTTGTAAAGGATCAATTTAACAATCTCTCCAAGAAATCTAATAGATAAGCATCTACAGATATTATAGAGAGTGGAACTAGAATAGACAATAAACCTTAGGAATTAGTTAAGGTTAAGTCTAAGACTATAGTAAGTAAAAATTAACTCAAAATGAATAAATTCATTGGTGATCTCAATTAAATTTCTCCTACTCCATCTATGCTCAAAATATCCTTAGGTCCTGCATCATTGAAATCATCGTAGCCAATTATTTAATTCTAAAACAATCAATTGACTAAACTTTTGCTTGAAGAAGTTGAGTCATAATAAAAATTAAGAAATGGTGCAATAACACACAGACCTTAATCTAGTAGGAACACTTTGTTTGGGTCATCATCAACTAGAAATAGTCCTTCAATCAATTATAAAAAAGTGACGTCGTCCAAGTAATAAAAGGAGGATAATTAAAAAAATTAAAAACTTAAGACTACAAATTCTCCTCAAAAAAGCCATTAGCTTGGATTACTCGCTAAGAATCTATTCATTAAGGCATTAAATGCTCAAAATAAAAAGAATTCCAACCTTGTCAAATTGAGTTCAAATTAAGAAAAAGTGCTTAATTAATACAATAAACAAAAGCCTAGTTTTACATCATAATAAAATGATATAGTTGAAAAGAAACAACACAAAAAAATAAAATCTGATTGTAGGGCCTTTTATAATAAGTTTTCAGTTCATGAAATAGGATGTTTAACTGATAGAAATGACAAAGAAACTAATAATATGTTTAGTAAAATAAATAAACATGGGTCTCCATAAACTTAACATTTTAGAAGATTACATAGTGAAAAGCAAGAATCTCTCTCGAGTAATATGAAAGGGATATTAATTTCATAGATGTTGAAATAACTAACAAAATAAAATCTATAGAGTTAATAAAAACAAGATCTTAGATCGGTAGTGAAAAGTTCAACAAAAAAGTTTTGATTATTTAATTCTATTATTTCTAAATAATATATGTGTAACTCTATTCAAATTAAATAAAATATTAATTATATTCATAGTATCCTAAATTCAATCATGGATAATTAGACAATCAATTTAAATTTATTTTCTACAAATATTTTAGGCTTTAGTTTAGGCTTATAGTTCTTTGTACAATTTATATCGATTTGCCTATTTCTCATAATCCTCTAACATATAATTCTATTGGATTGATGAATTTCTTCTCAAGACATCCCCTATCATGCTAATTGGATTTTAAGTTTGATCTTCATTATTTAGACTTTTAAAATAATCTAATAGCAACTTTTTAGATTGGTATAACCAAATCAATAAGGCATTTTTTTAATCAACATCCTCTTCTTGCTCTTCCTCATCTAAAATTTGGACTTTATCTTCTTCATCCTATTTTCTATAAAGATTATTATGTAAAGTACAAGCTTTTGAAAATATGGTTCTCGATGAAATCCTCTTCCTCCAATTAAATCATTTTTTTTATTATTGGACCTAGGTCATAATTATCTACAGAAATATGTCTTTTAAAATTGAAATTTTCAGATCTACTACAATTAAGCATACAAATCTCAAATAATAATTTAGAATCTAAGGATTTTGATTTTAGTAATTAAAACAAGTATATTTATAAACTTATTTTGGCTTAAACAATCGGAATTTGGTAATAAAATTACTCTTAAGGAATATTGAGTTATTAGGATTCACAATCAATAGTCCCAAAATATAATAGCAGTTTAATATCAGAACTTCCAAAGTTAGAAATTATTTATTTCATTTTAATTCCCCCACCAGTTAATCTTATTTACTATATGCTGTAAATAGCATCGATTGGGAATCCACTTTCAATTAGATATTATTGCCACACTTAGCCTCTGATTGCACATTCAAAAAGAAAGACTATGTAAAATTATTTTGATAATCTAAATATTCAACTAAACATACGTATATAATGTAGATTTCAATTCTTTCGATAATACACAAGCGCAATAAGAATTATCACATCTTGATCCAATGATTTACGAACACATAGTTATCTCATTTTGCTGTTCCCAAAAAGATTTTCTTTTTCTAAGCAATACACCTTTATTAATAGTTATAAATACTATCAAAATTCAAAACAATGATTTTATTTATTTAGACATCTGTTCGCTATGATAAATACAAGCATTTAATGTTTACTCCTTTTTTTAATTAATCATGAATTTTTGGTTATAATTTGATATTTATTAGATGGTCAATACTTTCTTGTCTATTTAGAAGGGGTTTAAATATAGATCCTTTCATTTTGGAAACAACAGTTTTACTAGGAGTTATAACGGGAGAATAAATTTTTGGCAAAATCAATTCCTATTAATTGTGTTCAGTATAATCTTCATTTTGTTCTTATCTACTTCTGAGTCGAGTACTCTTGCTCATACTAAATATTTTATCTTATTTTGGGGTTTCACTCCTTTCAGAAACTTGAAGATTTCGTATTTTAAACACTTAGATTGAATTTCCACCATCAATTGAGAGATCTCTCTCCTAACTTGTATTATTTCTGCTTGATGTTGGTGAACCTTTTGAGCGATTTGATTTGTTGGAGCCCTCTATTTCAGGAAATTTGAACCTTCTATGCACTAAATTAATGGATTTTTGCTACATGGTTTTTAGTAAATTATAATAATATTCGAAACTAATCAATAATCTGTTAAATTTTTATTTTCTGTTATTAATTTATTTCAGCTTCAATAAAAAATAAGCAACATCAAGATTCTCATCTAAAAAATAGAATAATATTAGAAAAAATTAAAGAACAAGACTAATTAGTTTTTTCTAAAATCATTTAAGGTCTAAAAAAATTCAGATTTATATTATAAAAACGAAATACTACATACTATTTTGCAGACTGAATTAATTAATTATTCAAACTTAGAATCTAATTTGATCTTAAAATAAAGATGAATTGCTTACATTTTTACAATCAAAACTTATGAAATAGCATATTTATTTAAAGAATTTAATTCTCTTAATATTATAGGATATAAATATTAAAAACAATTCAAATATTGTGTAATTATGATATGAGTCATTTAATTTATTAAAATTATTCTGTTTTTAATCTAAAATTAGTAGTTTATTGATTTAATGGCATATTCTAAAGAAGCATCCTAGTAGCAAGGATATCCACAGTTTGATTAAAGTATTTTTCTAGTTGCTTTTCAAAGCATTTAAAATATCGATAAAGAAAATCCTTTAGAGATTTTTCTTTTAAGTCTAGTTTGTATAGAGCTGAAGTGAAAAGAATATTAAAACACTATCTTAAATCATCTAAAATGATTTAAATCCTCATATCATTATCTTTTTCTTTCAATTTCTCTTTTTCCAACATATCATTAAGAATTTATGTTTATGTTAATGCCCTATCATACTCAACTTTCATATCGCTATATTCTCTCTTAACCTAAACAATCTCTTAAATATATTAAAAATTTTAATTTCTAGATAAATATATAATTTTACTAATGTTCCTCAACTGAATGTGAACAAGATTCACAAATATAAATATTAGGTGTCTTTTAAATCATCACATTACAATTCCTCAATTTATCATTAGATACTGAACAATTTTTGTGACAAGTTTTCTTGCAAGTATTACAATTAGTCATAAAAATTCGAATAGGACAGTCTTTTATTAGTATGTTGGTTTCAAATATAATATAGTAAAATTCTTTATTCTCTTTTACTATTTAGTCATAATTTTCAATTTTATTTTTATTGGTTTGTATAATTTTATCTATTTTCATTCTTAATTAAAGTTCTTCCTACAATTATTCAATTTTTTCTTTTAATCTATTTCTTTCCTTGATAACTTGAATCGTTTAATCTAAGGCAAATCCTTCATCAGAAGTGATTTTATTGATAAATTTAGTGTAGTTCTCTTGATTTCTTTTATATTGAATATTTGAAATCATGTCACATTTTTTTGAAAAAAAGACTGAATTTTAAAATTAGCAATATTCTTTAGACAATTCATTAATTTAGACATCACTTAATAATAAGGTGCCTTCATTATTAGTGGGACTAGTTAATGTAACTGTATTCTTGCTAAGATTATACGTTTACATCAGATTATCCCTCTAACTGAGAACATAAAAGATGGATTGTTGGTTTTCAAAGTTATTTCTATGTATACTTGTAAAGTCAGAGAAAGTCAAAGCATGAATATAGTGCTGAGCCATATCCATTCCAAAAAGCTTTAAAACGTTTAGTAGAGCCAATTATTGAAGTGTATGATTACCATCCACAATATAATTTGTCGAGAGTTGGGAAACAATGATAACCTAATGAATTTTTTCCTAATTATCATACAATTTCTTTAGTCGCTCAGAGATTTAATCAATAATTTCTTAGTCTCTTTAAACACCGTCAGTGTCACATAATCCGGGTGTATCTATAAAATTAAATACTAAATCATCGTCAATCTAGATTTTATATAAGTCTACGTTTCGAGTCACTGACTTTCCTGTTTGGTTTAAACGATCATCATTAATTACCAAATATCTAGTTTCATCTTCGAATTTTATATTCTTAATAAAATTGTAAAAACTATTAATTAAAGTAGTTTTTCCTTATCCTGTTATTCCAACCAATAAAATATTTTTAATTCTCTTTCCAGGATTTAATTGTATAATTTGGTCGTCTTCATTAGGAAGTAATTCTGCACTTCTATAATTCCAATTTAGTACTTTTGATACTGTAGTATAATTTTCATAAATCTTTTGCAGGATCAGAAATTCAGCAGGTTAACATCTCCTACCTATAAAGCTTTTTTATGAATTTTAAAAAACAAGCATCATTTGGTCAATTGTAACTATATTGTTTTTCTTAAAGAGTTCTGTAAACATTTTTCTTCTTTAATCAGACAAAATTTTATTAATAAATTGTTCCTCTATCTTAGGCCATTCACTTTATATTTTTGGTTTATAAATTTATTATTATTGGTTTTGTTATACTTAAGATTCAGGGTTTTGAGGTCGTCCAAACAATTCTCTGAATTTTTGACAACAAGATTTTTGATTTCCCTGCTACATCTATTGAATTTATTTAATTATATTATTCTAATTTACATAAATTAAAAAAAGATTTTAAATAGCTAATTACAAAAACTAAATTTATCAAAATTATTCTCAGCTTCTTTTTGGCTAGTATATAAATAGATTCTTTGATTTTTATGGCAATTAGTGATTATAGCAAGGTAATTAAGGAGCCTACATAGATTCTTAACTCAGACTAGTAAGTAGATGTTTGGTTTAATTTTCATCGGTGATCATAGGTTAAAATCTATCTGTGTCACTGATCTAAATGGACCCTCTAAGCTAGTTCATGTCATTTAATATAGAATTCTCACTCTATTGCAACCTAAGTTAAATGATAAATGGATTACTCATCATCATTCTATTCTTCTTTTGAGGAGTCCATATTTTCTGTGTACTCCCTATTCTTGAAGTTCACTCTTTTAATTAGTTTTTTTGAATGAGACTCCCAAGCCTTGAATGCAATCAGAACATTTAGATAATCGTGTAAAATATTGAAATTAGTTCTCAAATCAACCAAGCATATATTGGCTCGTTTGATAAAAAGATTTCTTCTATAATTCATCAGCTTCATTTGCATTTCTTTGTTATATTGTTTTATTTATTTGATGCCGTTCTTGCTTCCAGTTTTAAAAACATCCTCCTAAAAACAAGTTCTAAATAATTCGTAAATTAATTGATTATATTAAATATACCCTCGATGATCACTAAAATAAGGATGAGAAATACCATTTCAGTTTAAAAGCAGAGGCCTGTTTGGCAGCATCCCAAAGATTCTCTTCCTTCCCTCTCCCCAAAGGTGCTCCTAAGTCCATAAGAAATCTACATAAAAATTTATAATGCATAGCTTTCCCTTATGTTTCAGGCGAGTACTTACACCAAATTGTTTTGATTCTGTCCTCATTTTCAACATATGTTTAAATAATTGAGTTTTGTACCTAAAAAAAGGATTCAAACTATTCTATCAATCCTAGCACAAATAAATTAAGAAACACGTAATTAGATAGTAACATAAACAGAAAGAAATAGATCTGGCTATAGGTTGATCCACAATAAGTGGAATCATTTGTACAGTTCGGATTGTGATGCATAGTATCAGTCATAATAGTTCTCCAATCATCTCCTGAAGCACATTTAAATAAAGTAAGCATAGCCTATGCAATGTTGTGAAAATTGATTTATTCATCCATAACTTATCCGGAGTCTATTTAGCCATATAATTGACATCCAAACAAAGCAAAAACCAGCATAGTGTCTATCAAAATAAAGAATATCTTTCCCAAAAATGGTAGGGCATAAACCATCACTCTCATTAATCTCTAGATGTTGATTAAACCTTAGAAGATGAGAATCAATCGCAAACTTCTGAGCATAAAGCAAATTCTATAGAGTCTATAATAGGGTGTTAAAGGACTTGAGTTGAAGGCAAATTCTACCCAGGAGAATTCAAAATCAATTACCAAATCTGTGATAGCAAATAATATTAAGATAAACAGGAACTACCTCCAATAATTATCAAAAAATCTAAACAATCCTAAAGCTAGATATTGAATTAAGCCCCAAATGGTTATTGTTATAGAAAAGCCATGGTGTATGTAATTGATAATAATCAAATGTTTAGTAGTCATGTCTGAATGAAATAGTATATTATTAACTAAATCAAGAAGTAGAACAATAAAGAAGATTGTCTGCATAATATTATCATTCATAATAATAGAAGCAAATCGTCTGATTACATTGTCTGGTGGTGTAGAGAATACTGGGATGTCTTTGGTAATTATATCAGATATTTCTATGAATTCTTTTTAGTTTTGATTGAAGTCCTTTTTTTCAATTTTTCTTTAATTGACTTTTAAATTCGAAAAGAGCACTCCTGTAAATAAACTCAAAAAGAACATAGAACCAACGAAGCAAAACGAAATGAAAAACACATAAGTGTGAATGTAACTATTGAATGGAACCGGCCCAACATTAGCATTATCACTATTTTCTGCAATCTATAACATTTCTCCCCATCCATCAAAAGTTGATACTGTAAATAATGTTGGAATAGCCATTGTAATGTTATCAAAATTATGTTTGAAATTTACCCAAGTTCTATTTTGTTCTATACACTCCTAATAACTAACTCTGAATTCCATTTTATCTTCACAAAACCCAAATTGTCTCTCGTACAAAATGATGCCATAAACACCAAAGATGATCCAGACTGAAAATAGAGTCAACAATACATTCAATATATCAACTAATGATTTATAAAGAGCTGAACTCAGGACATTCAAGATAGTAATTCTATTCAATAAATTGAGGGGTCTGAAATATCCAACATATAAGAAGATCTAAAATATAGGTTTGACATAATCATCCTTTTCATATTGAATGAAGAATGCAATAATATAGATTACATCTAAAATCTGCCAAATTGAATTAAAGTAGGCTCCATTATCAATGAATAATCCTTTAGCAATGACATTAATAGCATAATCAATAGCAAGAATAAGATTGATGTAAAATTAGGCCACTTGTGGATAGGTTTCTTTATTCTCCTCATAATCGTTGTAGGTTTGTATGATAAAAATAACAATTGAGGATACAAGGGATAAATCATTAATTAAGATATATAATTTGGATCTGGCCACTAGCATACATAATTTTCTAAGATGATTTGTCTTATCAAAACAGAATAATGATTATTCGCAATTCACTCCATTGTAGAGTTCTGGATTCTCGTCTTATATCTTTTAATAGATCTGTCTTATTGAATTTATTAAGTGTTAAATTAAAGCAATTTTTTATTTACTATTGGTTTTTTGAAGTGGAACATTTTGAAGTGATCTCATATTATTTATTTCTGAAAATTGCTGAGTTTGTTGAGTTTCTTGTTATTCTGTATTCTAGATCACCAATTTTGAAGGCTCGTTCTCCTCCATCTCAGAAAAGATTTGACGATCCAAATATTTACCAAATCCATCCAGAAGAATAGCCAACACCAAACCATATGTCAAATAATTCAAGACTATCACCATTGAATACGAATATACAACTGCAAATGTTTCGTTTATGCCTGTTCCCAAAATAAATACACCGTACCAATCATCATTTGTCATTATGTTAAATACTGTCATAAATGATTTTAAAACATTGTTATAAGAATGTAATTGTCCCAGAACATCGCTTTGATCAAATCTGCCTGCATAGACTTCCATCCCAACCAAGGCATATAAAAATATTACAATGAACATCAAGAATGTCAAATAGATGTATTGTTTGAAGGTTTTAGATGCTATGTGACCTATTGTTACTGCCATGCTATTGTACTTTAAACATCGATAAAATAAGATACACTTGGTTCCCCTTATCAATCGTAAATTTTATTCGGTTAGATTAGGCATGTAATCACTCATTGTAAATTCAATGAAATTCAATATAACTATCATAGTTTGCATGATGCTCTCATTACTGTTGGACAATTCTTTAAAAGAAAAACTGCAATATCTTAAAAAGGTTTCGATTGACAACAGAATAGTAGTAATATCTTCAACTTAGGAAATTATTGAAGCATCGACTATTCCATAGAGTGATAAAAAAGTAAAGTTGACGAAAATGAGTAAGTCTAAGGCAATTTCAGTTATTTTACTCGATACCATCCTGCTTACTTACTTCTTAAGAATCAAAATTTTCCCAATTATTCCCCTAACCCAAATCACTTAATCAACTTTATTCATGGCAATCAATGTACTTCTAAAATTAATACTTATATCGTTTTAGTCAATAACATCATTACCTGACCAATTTTAATCAGAAATAATTTTATTCTTAATATCTTTCATTCTGATGTTTTTATATTCCTATTCTAGACATTATTATTTAATTTTCTCCTTTTCAATTTTTTATTTAATTTTAAATAAGATTTTGTCATAATTTAAATAATATCCTTATATAAATAAAAAGGTTACAACCTCACCTTTTTTAAGAACAAATTGAACAGTATGTTTAGATCGAACCATGTGTTTTGTAAAACCCTTATAGTTCTTTTTTTCAGTTCTTATACAAGGCTTTCGTGTAATGACTGAGTCTTAAGAACCATTTTCTTTGATTATGTGTTTTTATACTCTAAATGACTTCTTTAAAGGGTATTTGAAACTGTTCTATGTGTTATTAGATTTTAATAATTGATCCTGCAATTAATTCAATTGGGGTATTGCATATTGAAAGGAGAAGGTGTATTTGCTGAAATCGATAACTTTGTCATCTATGTGTTTCTTCATATTTTAGATGTTTCTAAATAAAAGAATAATAATACGCAAAGGAAGGCAATACATCTTCCAAACTGGAATACTTTTGATATTGGTTGGGGTTGAGTTATTTTGAGAGTTGGGCAAAATCAAATTTCATCAGGTCTTCTAGAATTTTGAGGTAATCTTCATCATCAGTGTAGTTTTTCAGATTGATCAGACTTTGTTGTTTTCTGAGCCTAGAGAACTTGATTAGAAGTACGTTCTTGAAAGTCAGCCCTCTTAATTTCTACAAAGATGACTGGATGAAATTCATCTAGAAGTAATAAAGATGAAGAAGTTACATTGTTATCATTAACGTTTCTTTGCTTAGCAGACAGGAGACGTGGTTAAGTGGAATTTTTGGATTGGAAATTCTCCAACTTGTATGAGGATAATTGTTTAGAAGAGTTTAGTAATTTATAGTATTGTGAAAAGGTTTTATGAAATTCAATTTTTTTAAGCAAAGCAACATCAAAAACATTAGTAGTGTCTCTGATTTATGTTTCATTATAGTTTTGTTATTCTAATAACTGTTTATTGATTTCTTACTACTCCTATTGTTGTAAAAACTCTTCAGCAGCTTCAGCATAGTGTGTTTTGAGTACAGCAATAACCAAATTGAAACCAAAAAAGCCTCCAACAAAAATAATTAACAGATAGTAAATCCAAACCCAAGGACTAAAAATGCGGATGGTGAAGAACATTACCCAACTCCAATCATCCATTGTTATTGTCCTGAGGATTTGTCCATAAGAATATATTATGTTGTTAAAAGAAGTGGGAACCTTCACAGTGTTAGCAACATATTAGCATGTCATCTCATCAGGACATTAATCAACATTGCATTGAATCCAATCATCTCCTGCATCTTCATCTGGGTTTGTGGGCATGCATCTGTAATTGAATAATCCTTGAAATAAATAGAGTCCAGCCAAGGCAAAGAAGAGGGAGAATAGTCCCACAATGGCCAAGGCCTCCAAAATGTATTTGATTGATTACCTTAAAGCAGTGAGCATAACTCTCAACCCATCAAATATGTCACCAAGATACTGAAGAAGAGTTATGATTCTCAGGGGTGATAAATCTATTATCATTATATCGGGACGATACAAATTTAGGGCTGATAGGAGGACAATCGAAAAATCAAAAACATTAGAAAAGTTGATGAAGTAAGCATTCTTTGAAAAGAGGAAACCTTGCGAGAGGATTCTCAATCCAATTTCAGTGAAAAAGAGGATGGTGATGATTTATTCTATCTGGTCTGTGTCTTCTCTGTGTTCAGTCTTCACAATAATGTAGAGTGCAATATTGAAGAGTATGAGGATAGTCATTAAAATTTGAAACCCAATTGAGTTTACAATGGTCTTAGCCACGATTGGAATCAAAAAAGACATGTACACGATTATCTTTCGCACTTGAAGCAGAGGGTAAGGATCATGGTAATGCTATATATATGTAAATAAAGAGGACTACTTCCAGTTCGTGTTTGATTCTCTGGTGTCCGTGCAGCTCAACTAACTTAACATAGTATGGATCGGTTCTGTAATTTCTTTGAGAATGCTTTTCATGCTTACGAATAATGTCTTAATCAACATCCAAAATGGCAGGTTCAACTTAAGGTTTTCTTTAAAATTCATTCAGATCGCCCTAACATTTCATTTGCTTCACTATGTCCACTTTGCATCGATCCCTCGCCTCATGTTCAATCAATTAAATCAAAGGAATAGGTTGTTCAATGTCAAATTTATTTTGAAATCCTTCTAAAGAGTGTCTTTTCTATTGGTGTTCTTGTTCGGATACACTATCTTAGGGCAACAACCGATTTTCAATTCCCATATAACTACTCCTGTCTGAGATATTTATAGATTGCTTCAATTGAGAATGGATCGAATTCAATCTATCAGATTAATTAATTTAGTTAATCACTTAAACTTCCTCACTCTACCGCTATTTGAACTTTATTGCATTGCTATTCTCGCTCTTTTTCCTCTCGTGTCTTATTTCATATATCATTTATTAATAATAATCTCTTATTTAAAATTTCACTTGTTTTATTCTTTTATTTTTTTAAACTTTTTTTCTAACCTTCACATTAAGTAAGCCCACATTTTTAAATATGTAATCTTTAATTAATCTCGATCGACATTACTTATCATAGTCAAATTCCCTTATCGAATTCAAATCAACAAAAATTTAATATCAATACTCAAATCATCTATCCGATTACAATGTACACTAGAATTCACTGTGTACGGGTTTTCAAATACCATATGTAACAATTTACTTTTATAAAATAAATAAAGCAATTATGAAATAAATATTGGATCTTCAGAAGCTTATAGCTTTTCGACATACTATGCATTAGAACCCTGAAGCATCGTTAAAGGAATTCTAAACTCAAAAGCGTGTGAGAGAATTCTTGATTGGCTTAAACGTCTAAGAGGATGTTATTAAAGTATGCGGAACAACAGGATTAATTGTTGATTTGAGTGGAGCGGCAGAAAAGTCTGGAGATGATAGGTTAATCGCATTCCGCGCTGATATTGATGCCCTAATATTGAATGAAGCCAATGAGCATCTCCCATATAGAAGTACAAATGGATGTGCTCATATGTGTGGACATGATGGTCATACAACTTGCCTTTTGGCATTTGCATAAATCTTCTAGCATTATAAAGACACAATTCCTAAAAATAAAACAGTGAGACTATTGTTTTAACCTGCAGAAGAAGATTATGGGGGATCTGTAGATATGATACGTGATGGTTGTTTAGATAATGTGTAAGAAGTCTATGGATTCCATCAATGGCCTACAGCCAAGATCGGGTAAGTATGGTGCAAGGAAGGATCAATGATGTCTCAACCAATTCAGATGCAATTTGATTTTAAGGGAAAAGGCGGTCATGCATCTGAACCCCATAAATTTAATAACCCTGTGCAATGTGCGGCTGAATATCTCTACACCATTCATAATTAATTAAGTCAGGAGAAGGGACAATTCACATTTGCATGGACATGCTTCAACGGTGGAACAGCTTTCAATGTCATTCCAGATACAGCCTCAGTCAAAGGTATGATTCGTTCATTGGAAGCTGGCCTTGGTGATAGGTTGTTTAATGACGTATATATATTTCTTATAATAAATTAGTGTTTTAGTGTTGCCGAAAAGACATGCTAAAAATATGGATGCTCTGTTAAAGTTTAGAGATAAGCAGAAAATTACCCTCTGACTGCCAATCATCCATAAGAAGCATAACATATATTAAGACTTGGTGATAAATATTTTGGTGCTGGCAATGCAAACGCTGGTCCTTGTCCTGTTTATGCCTCTGAAGACTTTGGAAATTACACTCTAAGAGTACCTGGAGCTTTCTTCTTTTTGAGTTCAGGAAAAAAGTAAGATATTCCAATAATTTTAATTAGTGATACAAATAATCCTATGTTGCATCAATCGAACTTTGATTTCAACGATGATCTCATTGAATTGGGAGCTGGATTTTGGTGGGAGATTGCCAAAGATCGTCTATTATTATGAATAACATATATAACATATATAGTAAATTTAATAAGTATCATGATTTTGAATGCGTTATACCAATCGAAAGTAGAGTATACAAGATACCTCAATATTGTTGGCTAGAAAATGATAGAGTAAATTAAATTTTAGTAGAGATAGCAATCTAAATATTATAACTAAAAAAACCACAATATAGAGAATTAGTCATGTCAAAATTTTGAGCTAATTAAATAATTTAGATCAATAAGAGATTAAATTTTAAGGTCAATGACAAAAATTTCACTTCAAGAATTTAATTATTTAAACTAATCAATATATTAAACTAATATAAGAAAGGATCCAATGAAAGAGTAATGATTAAGGATGAACAGCTGTAGTTTATTTATAATTTTTTGGTTAAAGTTATTTATTAATCTTCATTTTCTCAACAAATTTTTATAGAACTTAATATTCTGTTTATAAAATAATTTCCTTTATTTAAACATCTTTTTGATTCTTGTAAAAATTGAAGTTTATTGGTTGTTTTATAAGGAAAGAGTTAAAGCAATTTACATTTCTGTAAATTTATTCTAAAGCATTAAATGATAGTATGGTTAAATAATAACAAATAGTTAATTTTTGGATATTGAATAAAATAACCTTAATTATAGTTTAAATATCAATGATTGCATCAAATATGAGAATTATAAGGCCAGAAGAACAGAATAATTATCAATCTTATTTTGAATATCTAATAAATAGTAACTTTAATTAAATAGCACAAAGAATATATGCTTATAAAATTCTTAAAACTTATAAAAAATTTTAATGGGTAAATATTAATGTAATTATTTTTATAAATTTACTTGATATAAAATTTGGAGTAAATTTTGAGTTGATAAATAGGTTTCTACGATTCAAACATTTAGATGCAAATAGCAATTTTATAAATAGGAACCAAAATAGAGTTAAAATAAACCAGTAATATCGACATAAATATTGCAAATGAAGATGATTGATAGTTGAATATTTAATAAGATCACTTTTTTTATTTGATTTAAATAGTTGATGACCTCTTTTTTCGTTCATCATTTCTCTTAATTAAAATAGAAAAGTTATTATAATCTAAGGACGAGATAGATCTTACTTTATTGATCTCTAAAGTCTCTGTTTGTAGTCGAGTCTTGGGTTTTATTATTTGCTTGAGTGTTGTTTAGGAAGGTATTCCATTTATCATTAAGTATTGCTTCTGTAAGATGATATATATACTCTAGATTGAGTGTCAGTTACACTCTTTTCGGTTTCTATTCGTCTTCTTGATGCGACATCGATTTCTTTTTTGAGTTGGAATATTTATCTCTCTTGGAGCTTGAAATTGAATAGGTGATAGATACATCGATTTTCATTTGAAGTATTCTACATTATTCGTCTTTTTGAGTAAGACTCTCTTATATTGAATCACAATGAATCTTTAATCTTTGTTCCACCTGAAATAAATGATAAAATGAACATGGATGTGATATCGATTTTCTGATTCAATTTTTTGTAATGATTGTTCCAACAGTTCATATTATTCAGTTATCTCTTGATTCAATCTTAATGTACATATTGAGTTTACTCTATAAACTAATCAAGAATGCGAGTGATGTATTTAAATGCTACTGAAATATCGTCGGGGAGTATAACGCGTATATCAGAGTAGCCAATTAGATTCAGTTTGTTTTGCAATTCTTCAAAATACTCTATGATTTATGATTTCAGATCACTATTTAATTAATTCATTAACTGAATAATGTTGCAGGAATCCAAATAAAACAGAGTGTGTGTTCCGACTTAGAGTGCCATGCAAGAATAAATCTAATATGTAAGAAAATTGCATAAGAAAAGGTGACTTGTGGAGCTGAGAGTACATTTTGTATTACGATACAGAGGAAAGTGTTTATGTGGGGATCTGGGATTCAAATTCCATAGCAATTAGACCTGTAGGAGATTGAATAGATAGCTGCTTCAAAGGAGCATTGGTTTGCATGGTCTGAGACATAGGTTTTCGGATGGTAAGAAGTGTGGTAATTTAAATATTAGTGGTTCAAACAAATAAGGCAAATTGGGTATGAACAACTCAGTGAATACTCCGACGTTGTTTGACATTTTCAGTGAGGCTTCGCAATATGGATGGCAACTTCAAAAGATAGCTGTTGGATTGGATCATAGTGTAGCATTAATAGAAGTGGAGGAGGAAAACAAGATTTTCGTTTGGGGTTCCAATACTTATTAGCAATTGGGTTTCGATGCCTCAGAATAATTTGTTGCTATTCCTCATCAATTAGATTCAGACAATCTTCCTCGAATTGTTGACATCTATGCATAGCACAATTACACTATGGCCATAGATGAAGAAGGTCGTATCTTTTCATGGGGGAGCAACGAATTTGGACGTCTAGGACAGAATGCATTTGCCAAGTGTATGAAATTGCCATCTCCCATAACATCACTTGGCAATGCCAAAATAGCAAAACTGGCCTTGGGAACATTCCATGTGTTGGCAATCGATACTCAAGGCAATCTCTATTCATGGGGTCGTGGATTGTAAGGGTAATTGGGACATGGGAATTCGAATGATTGCAACAAACCCACTCAAATTAGTTCTTTGCAAGCAATTAGAGAGGTGACCTGTGGAGAGGCTCACAGTATGGCATTATAAAATAATGGTTCTGTGTATGTCTTTGGATCTGGTTAATTTGGATAATTGGGATTGGGAGATTACAAACAATAAGATACACCTTAGATGTTGTAGATTCATGGGGAGATGATTGCTTGTGGGAGACATCACTCAGGTGTGCTCACCAAAAATGGGGCTTTGTTTATGTTCGGGAACAATGAGCAGAGTCAGTTGGGATTGGAATGTGGAAAGAGTGGTGCCTATTCGACTCCTTTGCCCAAATAGAGTCCTATGAATGTATTACAGCACTTATGCAATTTAGATAGACCAATCAAATCTTTGAGCTGACTGACGAATTCATGAATAAGATTGAGGCTAGTAGGAGTGAGGATCTTGAACAAGTAAGCAGTATGTCTCTATTCCTTCTAGTTGTTGGTTGAATATCAATAGAACACGCAGCAGATTCCCAATACACAAACGACTATTTTTATCAAGGATTTGATGGAAAGAGTGATTGCTCTTCTGAAGAAGAAATGATGAATATGATACGATATATATTCTGGACATTCAAGTATATACTCTTTTATCAAATGTTAAATAAATTAAATTTTAATTAATGGAGTAAGTTGATTACGAGGAGCTTCTTAAACGATTTCGATATTCTTACGTTAAGCCAAATGCTTAATTAAGACAATATTTACAATCTCTGCCTTCTGACTAGTATCCTGAATTGTTTCAAAAGATTGAAAACTTGAATTATGATGCTTTCAAAATCAAGAGGTTGTTGAGAATGCTCAAGAAGCCACATTAGATACCTCAGTACTTCGATTTGAAATTACGGAATAAGTTGAGAATCAATGAGAATGTGCCTCATGAAGTCGTTGACTTCAATAAGAAACACACATTAATTTTAACATCCCAACAACAGGGTTAATAATTATTCGACAAATTAAAGGAAGAATTTTTTGTTGATTCCAAAAACAGGAAGAGTGGTATGTCTATTTTCATTCTATTAAAGATTCACTTACTTTCAAGCATCAATTCTACAAGGCCTTACAGGATAATCTGACTAGTTAGTGTATTGAATAATGTCTTCGTTTACTTAAGCGATCCGAATAAAATATGGATACCTTATAGATCGTATTAGGTGAATTAGTTAACACAGAATATGATATTACTCCCTTATTAGGAGCAATTCATAATGCATTGTCTGAATTTATTAAAAATGATTTATCAATCACATGTTTAAAATTAGCACATTCTTGTGTAAAAGGTGATTTAACTAATGCAGTTTAATTTGTTGCTAAAATGATCTAGGGAACTCATGATGAGAATAGAAAATTCGCCTTTCTTGGCACTCTTCCTAATAAATGCGAAAAGTAAGTGGAAATCATCTATAATTTGGCCGCAATTCTAAATGATGACTAAAAAGTATTTGATTTGGTCACAAGAATGAGAGATCTTAAAGTCCCCCTAGGCAATTGGGCTCATCTAAAGAAACTATTAAGCATCAATAAGCATACGAATGCCTTCGTCTCATTATTGGTCGTGGATTGGCTATTGGAAAAGAAATAGGAATCAAATAGTAAAGATTTAGAGTCAGTTATGGAATAGATTGTCAATGGATTAGCTACAAATGTAATTTAATTTATTCGATGTTTTTTTAGTTTAAGAATTTTGCCAAAGTAGTTACTCAACCAGTTATGTTCTTGGCTTAATTGAAATGTGTTGTCTTGTATGCACTCTTTTGTGAAGATGATGCTCCAGCCAAATTGATGATTGCTATTAATGAAAATCTGAATAAGAATACTGATATCTTCAATCCAAAGAGTCACCTGTGTTAATTGAAGTATTTGATAGCACCATCATGTTAAGAGGAGAGTCAATTATTCTTGGATTGTTTATTTATGTATTAGGCAATCACCTATGATGAGAATGATCAATTCAATTACCTATTGCCATTAATCATCTTGATCGCATTCAGTGGCAAGGTTAAGAATAGTGTGAATGTTAAGTCATCTCTAGAATTATTAGCCCTATTCTAAGCAATCGACATCAATATACTTTACAACAAAATATTTAAGACCTTACATGAATTTCTGTATTAAGTCAACCCATACTAAGGAGAAGGCATCAATTTCAGAAAGGACAGATTGATACACTTCGTTAGATTGATTGTGGTTCAACTTGGAAACAATCAAATTGAATCCCCAAAATACATTTACACTACCTTTTCTCATACATTTATTTCTTAATTGGAATACAAGTTACCCAAATATGAAATCGATGTGAATCCCATCAGTTGGTTCACTAATCGCGGATTGATGAGCAATAATCCATACACTGTTCAATCTATAGTTAATTATTGCAGACTCCTAGTTGAATAAGGATATGTCGATCAAATTGTTTAACCCATTGAAGAATGGTTGAATCCATCCAACATTAACAAATTAAACAGTTTAGATCACCTAGATGAATAATTGGAATAGTTGGAAATTGAATAATACGACCATACTATCTTATAACAAAGTGGATTGAAGTGGATGATTGATGAAAAACCTGTGGATGAGGCTGAATTGCAATTACAGCAACAACTCAAAAAGTTTGAAAACAATAACGCAGTCCTTATGGATGAAGGAGAAGCGAAGTAGCAAATGTTATTGAAATAGAAGAATAAGATGTGTTTATAATATTCATTGTGCTTAAAATTATTTGAAGGACTTCTTCACACAAAGGCCAAAGAATAGTTTATCACAAAATACTTTGATAAGATATCAGCCTTTGCTAAAGAAATCTCAACTAGATATGATTGCTGCATGTACTTACTCAAGTATTTCGAAACCAATCCATTATTATAGTAATTTAAATGGCCTCTTACTTACTTCTTTTTGGAACGCAGTATGAATTCTATCCCTAGTGATAAGATTCTAGAAAAAATAAATTAATTCCAAGATTGCCTTCTGAAAGACATCAAGAACCCACCCATCCATCTAATTCATTTAATGAACTTATACATAATCAACCAAAATTCCTTCACTCCCATTACCAAGTTCAAAGCCTTTGCAATCATTCTGAAATATAAGGATTAATTAGCCATTTCAGAATACTTTACGCCATTTGTACTCAACATCAATATCTGTGGACATGCCAAGAATGCAGGATAAGTATTGCAACTAATCTTCAACAAAGAAAGTCAAGAACATTACCATTTATTCTTTAACAATATTTTGAATCTTGTCCCAGAAGCTCAAAATTTGATCTTGAGAACAATACCAAGTTTACCTGATAGTTTCGACATTCACATTAAGGTTAGAGTCTTAGCTGAGTTTGATGAAACAAAGGACAGTGCCCTACCTTTTGTAGATAAGGAATTTAAGGTCTTGAACTAGCTCTAGAAATGGGACATTGTGAGTTTTGTGAAGAAATTCCCAAGAGAACATAGTGAAGTCATGATCAATCTATTGAATGAAGTGAATGGATTCCCAGAGATGATAATCTAAGCAGCATCTAAGTTGGTTGCTGATTAATAATTATAAGAGGAATAATTGGAATTCTTCCCTTATTTTGTTAGCAAATAAATAAACACTTATCCTAAATAATTGATTGGAAAAACCATCGATTTGTTAATTCAATACTCCTCCACTCCAGAAAGATAATAATTGGCAGTACTATGTAGAGAAGCAGGAGTCTTATTAATTAAATGTTTAGGTAAAGAGAGCTCGAGTGATATATTGAATTAAATTGAAACTCATCTACAATCGAAAAATACTTGTGCATCTATTCGTGCCATAACATTTTTGGGTGTTCTGTCCTAATTTTTATAAGGACACAACCAGCGTAAAACTCAAGAATAAATTGTCTAACTGTTTAGAAACAGCGACAAAGATTCATAATTGGAATTAGCTCGTTCTTTATAAGAATTATTAAGCTTCTTCCCTGATACTGAAAACCTGGTTATTGAATTATTGAAATCTAATAAGTAAGAGAAGGATGAGAAAATAAAGAGAGGAAATGCATATATGATAGCAGGGTTAATCAAAGGTTTGGGTGTAGAGATGATGGAAAAGTTGGGAATTTTGGAATTATTAGAAGTGAAAGAGAAAAAGGAGAGTCTGGAGGATAAATTCTATGTTCTCATATAATTATAAGCCATGATTGAGTTATTTTAAAAGATCTTAGAACCATATGTGTTGAAAGTGATGGGCATTTTAATGAAATATTTCGGAGAAGGAAGAGTGGAAGTACGTAATTTAGCTATGACCAATGCAAGTAGACTATTGTAATCCCTCTCAAGTTACGGTGTTAAGATTATGCTTTAACCATTACTTGAAGGTCTAGATTCTGATACTTAATGGAGAGCCAAAGTAGCCAATATTTGGGCATTAGGACATTTGGCACATTGTTCACCAAAATAATTATCAAGTTGTCTTCCCTAGATTGTCAATTCCATCTCTAAAGCAATTTCAGATACTCATCCTGATGTAAAAGCAGAAGCCAATAAATCATTGAATGAAATAGGATCTACTATAAAAAATCCTGAAATTTCAAGTATTGCAGACATCCTCATTATTTCATTGTCCAATCCATATGACGAGAATTTAAGAGGATTATAAGTTGTATTGGAGACTAAGTTCAGACATTACATTGATGCTCCAGCTATGTCATTATTGATTCCAATTATCGATTATGGTCTCAGAGCATAGGACAGTAATTAAAGAAAATAAGCTTCTATATTAATTGGAGGATTGCCTCATCTAATATAGAAGAGTGATGATCTAGTGCCATATATGAATTTAATCGTTGGAGGATTGGAAGTAGTGATAGGGGATCCCTTATTGGAGGTCAGAACAGTAGCAGCCAAAGCAATAGGTTAATTATCAAAGAAGATTGGAATTGAAAATACTAAAACATTCTTCAAGTTTATTTGGGATGTCTTAGAGAATAAGGAGGCAAGCACAAATAAGAGATCAGGTGCAGCTCATGCCTTTGCTGAGATTTCTTGTATTCATGGAGATATCTATTTGGAGGAATAATTACAATTCATTTTCAGTCAGATTCAGAGACCAGAAGTATTTGTTAAGGAAGGATATATTGGAATATTTATTTACATTCCTAGTATTTTGTAATAGAAGTTTGAAAACTATGTGAAGGATGTAATTGAGAATGTTTATGAATGTGTTAGTCATGAGGATGATATAGTAAGCAGTATCACCTTGAGAGTGTTGAAGATTTTAATTAAGAATTTCGGTATTTTGTAGAATGAATTACTGTATCCATCATTGACAGAGACTATGTTGAATGAGGATGCCAGGAAACGTAATGCAGGAACTATTTTGAGTGGTGAGATGCTCAAAATAACATAGAAGTATGTGTTTGCTCAATTAAATAATCCAGAGAGTCATCAATATATTAATATCGATCTCTATTATTTGAATTTGATGACATTATATACAATGCAATAGGATGTAGCAGATGTCGTCAGACAAAATGCAGTCGCTATTTGGAAGGAATTCATAGATAACACTCCTAAGACTTTGAAGAAAGGATTGAAATAATACGTTATTTAATTGTGTAATATTATGAGCAGAGATGGTGTTGTGTAGAATGGTATTAACAGTATTAGGAATTTCTGTGAGAAGTATGGTGAGACATAGATGAGTGAGGCATTCAATCATATAGGTTATATCTTATAGAATTACTAAGACAATTTGTCATTGGTCAAGGGAGCCTATTCAGTTTTGAATCAGATTTACATTCACATCTCATTGGACATAGCTACAAGATACAGAGATTAATTCATAGAATATTCAAGAATCTATATCTTCTGCCAAGACAACCTAATTAAATCTTAATTGTTTTAATCAATAGGTACAATGATCAACAAAGTGAAGTAGACTACTTTTGTGGAGTTGATCATCGAACCATATTTGATTGATTTGTCTAATATGAATGAAACTGATCCTAAATATTCTGGCTATTTAGAAGTGTTCTCTAGATTATGCTAATTGAATTAGACTCTAGTATTGCACTATTTGATAGTGTTGATTTTGGTACCACCACTCCATCAATTCAAAATTGATATTCTAACTAACAATGCATCCACCTTCTCTAGTGTCATCTACAAGAAGTATGAAAACAAAGTTCCAATCCAGATCTTGTTTAACGATCTCTATCATTGTGCTGATTTCAATGCTCACTATGAATGGAATGATAGAACTGAATCTCTCATCTACTGTATTCAATAATTGAGTATTCACATCAAATCTGATACTGAGAACTACTTGGCAATCTTTATAGAAGATATCCTTCGATAATTATAAGCTAAAAGCAAACCAATCTTTGAATCTGAAGCACACCCTAATGACTTTAAACATTGTCTAATTCCCTTGGAAGTGTTGTAATACTTCTTACAAAATACATCTGAAGACCATCAACAATTCTCTCAAGCTATCATCGAGAAAGTAGCTCCTTTCTTGTATCTATAAACAAACAGTCTTTCAAAGCAATAACTTGAAAAATTCTACACTTTAGCCAATAAGATCATTTATGCAATCAATAACACATTAGAAAAGCAACATCATTTCGATAATATGCGTAACATCCACACTTGTTTCATGAATCGTATCAATATCCAAATAATACCTGGTCTCAGTATCTAAGATGGAGCAGGAATAGAACCCTATGTTTCCATGCTCATTGACAGTTTTGTTTATGGCAAAGAGGAAACATTCAAATATGCCTATGACTTCATGAAGATCCTTATTAGATCAGCTGACACACAATAACTCCAAATCTATATTCTTAAATTGGCCGGTTCTCTTATACGTATCCTGAATTACAAGGGCAATAATTCAATGAAGGTGCTTGCATTGTAATTGCTACACCAATCCCAAGAGAAAGGACTTGTGCTGAGATAATTCAAACCACAATTGGCTGTCACCTATGAAAAACTCATAATTGACATCAACCTAGTAGACGGAGGATTGAAACAACTGTCAAAGAATTATAGTTAATTCCTTAAGTTGCATGATAAAAAGGTAATATGATTATTCTATCAATACTAGGATCTACTCTTGAATCAACTCTTTAATAAGGGTGTCTAAAGTGCCACTTAAGAGGCTAGAGAATGCCATTTGAAAATAGTGAAGAAGGCAATCAAGGATCAATAAGAATAAGTGTTTTCATCAGCTGTCTTAGAAAAGTTCTTCACGCTCTCAAAATAATATTTTGAGAAGTGCATTCAAAGTTAGAAATTTGATGCTGCTTCTCCTTGTGAATTGAACCGTCTAGGTATCTATATCGATTATATTCAATTAGCTCACATTCTTGCATTAACATACAACTACACCAATAAAAACAACAAAGAGTAATACGTTCAGAAGTACATTAAATTTGATCAATATGGATTACTTTTAAGATTGCAATTTGTCAGATATTAAAATAAAGATTTAATACCTGAAACAATATCATATGCTGTCGAATAAATCAATACTAGTGACAACATGACTTACGTGCTGCAATTACTGAGAACCTTAAGAAAATTCCCCAATCTTTCAGTCAGACAATAATTAAAGCCTAAATTCATGGAGATCCCACAGATTTTAAGTGCGTTATCAAGATTATAATGATATAAAATATATTAAATAACAGTCATAATAATGATCTAGTCTTTCTAACAACAATGCGAGCAGCTCCAATCTGAAAACTAAGAAAGTAATAACTCATACCATATTCTAGTCATAAAATAGTTAAACAAACTCAAGTAAAGTGCACTCGAAAAGAATCAAGAAATATTGAAATTGCAAAATCTAGTTAAAGGAGTTGATTAAGAATACTAGCCAATTCGTGATAAAATACAATCAATTAAGGACTAGCTTCTAGATTCAGAACTCAATAAAGAAGCAATAGTTGATTCATTCGATGATCTTGAGAATATGATCATAAGCTAGATTGCTGAGTAAATTAAGCAAGGCAAAAAGGGTAAAAGAATACAAAAAAAGGAATCTCCATCAAAGGGAAAAATTAATAATGAAAATGACCAAAACACAATCAATCTAAGAAAACGAACAATTAAGTCATAACATTTTGATGAAAATCCTGAAACAAGTGAATCTAGTGAACCTATCAAAGTCTAGAAAAAGAAAGTCAAAACTAATTCAGAAGCCATCGATAAAGCTAATTGTCTAATTAACGAAATATTTAATTTTAATTGATCATCATCTATTTAACAATAATTTTATTTATCTATCAATGGGAAATAACAATGTCTGCTTAGCTGAAATACCTGTCTATCGAACTCATCACACCTCACCAAAGTCAAAAACCAAATGGAAAAGAGAAGATTTAAAATCTGGCTCCTGTATATAAACACTAGTCGATAAAGAAAACAATCCAGATTTCTTTATTCATTACCAATGCGGTTAAGAACTACCTTAATACCGCAATAAATTAGCCTAAACTAAATGGTCGGAAGCTGTTAATAGTAGTATAAGCACAATTAATGATTCGTAACAAACGATTGATTCTTTGATTGACAAGCCTGAATTCAGGGAACTTGTACTATTGGGCCCACCTAAATAATTAAGATGGCTCAGTTGGATCAATTTGTTAACCAAATCCTAACCTCCTATTAGTTATGAAAAATATTTAGAAAATCCACCAACAGACATATCGAATATTATAAAAGATATAGATCGCACCTTTGTTGATAATGCTTTGTTTTCGCATTAAAGTTGTGGATAGGAACAATTAAAAAGAGTTCTCTGTGCCATATCTAATGCTTTACCGACTATGGGCTATTGTTAAGGGATGAACTTCGTTTGTGCTGTTCTACTTATTGTATCTGGTTGTGATGAGCATCAAGTATTTTAAGCCTTTATGTAAATGCTTATTAATGAATAACACCTTTTGTGTTTTGCTTTCTCCAATGACATGCCACTCCACTTTTTTTTAACTAGCTTGATACATTATCAAATTAGAAAGAAATTTCCAAAACTTAACTTAAGTGATATAAGTGATTCATTTTGGTTGAGTAAAATGATTCTATCTTTATTCACTTATGTATTCAAAATGGAAGATTGTATAAGATGTTGGGACTATTTGATGGTCCGTGGCATGATCCGTGGTATTCCTGAATTGATTCTTGCATTCATAGATGCTACTTACACTTAATTATGTAAATTCCAGGAGGAAGATTTTGCTTATAATTTTAAAGGTCCTGAAACTACAACAATCAAATTTAATGTTGGTGAACTCATATATTTAGCCAAGTCTAATCATACCTTAGACAGATCATTCATATCTAAATTCGCCAAGAAAATGAGAGATAAAAATAACCCTTCGTAATTATTAGACCTTTTATAATATTACAACAATCCTCAACTCTACAAGAAGCAAGTATCATTCTATATTAACACTATTTATTATTAATGTTGATTTATATATATATATTAGTCTTAACAAATATTATTTGATTATTAATTGTTCTTTATTAATCCATTTATAATTTAGATGTAATGTAAGAAATTTATTTGTATATATAAATATTAAAAATTGTAATTTGCAATAAGGGATAATTTAACTTGTCGTTAAAAAATAAAATTAATTATTATATTGTAATGATTATTATTAACTTTAATTACAAATTTTGACATTCAATCAAGATGCCTATAAATTTTGTAAGTAAAAGGAAATGGGCTTTCAAAGAGAAAAATATATTAAAAGATTAGAAATATTAAGAAAGGATTTAATTTAATTGATATTATTAACGAAATAATTTAGAAATATATTTGTTATTAAAGATATATAAAAGCAAGCACATAAACAAACAGCAATCTGATAAATATTATAATAATAAATACATATCTGAATAGTGATTCTGTTATTGCTCATTTCTTTGCCAATTTTCAATATTGAATAATTAAAGTCCATAAAGGTTTCAAGGTGAATTATAAAAATCAAACTATGAAAGAGCCTTGCTGCAATTGGTTGAATTAAATTCAATGGCAGGAAAATCTCAAGGATGGACTTGAATTTTTTGACTTCAATATTAAGATTAAAATAGATTAAGAAGGCTTAAGTGAAGAAATTCAAAATTCATCTCAAGAAGTTAGAACCAATCATCAAATCCAGATGCAAAATTACTTCTTTCTTAAAACTTTTAACGCATTTGATTTGATATTTTTATTAAATTCTATTATTGAATCAGAATCGATCAATAATATTTCCATAAGATTTTTCATAAATTGATATAAAAATTCAAATGTTTTTTGAGTGTGTTTTTTTACTTTATTTATTTTTTCTTTTAATTAAAGAGCCATAAATATATGATGTATTCTTAATTATATATTTGAATTCAGATAAGTTGATTACAATTAATATTGTAATAATTAAATTAATTATGAGAAAGAAGAGTCAAAGTAAGGGAAACACCCAAAAATTATAAGTTGAAGTTGATATTATGGTTTGATTGTTCTATATACTCGTAGGAATAACGAATTGTTGGACTTAAATAAATATTGCAATCTCAAAAAGAGTCTGCTAAAGAAAAAATGCAAATGAGCTAAGGATCCACAAGATGGTCGGCAGCTTCCACTAATGTTCCTCTTAGAAGTACGTGAGTAATTACTAAGATAGATTATGGGAAACATGTTTTAGAAAAACATAGGGAAGTTGCAAAGACATTCCAACAGAAAAATAAATTAAACAAAGTGCCATCTAGGCCATCCTCTCGCTCTAGTTCACTTTCTAAACAGAGCAAGCAATCAGAAACTTAATCATAATAGAATCAGAGCTATTTGACTTAGAGTCTGAATTTTGCAGGGAAGAATTCAGCAAATGAAAATTTGAAACGAGCACTTCAAGTCTAATAATGTAAATCTAACAGACTTAGATTAGTTAGAATACTCTAATGAAGTTGTCAAATTCCTCAATTCCATTAATCTTGATAAACATGCTGGCGTAATACTTGAAAATGGATTTGACGAGATGGAACTTCTAAAGGAAATATCAGTCGATCATTTAAAAGATATGAATATTCCACCGATGGAAGCAAGGAAGTTATTGAACCGAGTGCAAAAGTTAGTGGAAACAGAGGAAAGGAAGCTGCTTCAATCTTAAAAATAAGCTTAGCGTTTGAAGGAATCCTAAAGTCATATAGAGGAGATTGCTAACTCAGAGATCTATGATGAGGAGGAACAACACAGGTTATTTTAGGAAGCAGTTATGGAGTATAGACAATAATAGAATTAATAGAAAGAGTAGAAGGAATAGAAGGAATAAGCTATATAGCATACAGAGGAAATATTAATTGAAGATGAATCATTAGGGTACATATCAAGTAGACAGAACAAAAAAGAAGAATAATAAAGAAATAAAATGAAGTTTCTCTTATCAGGAGCTAATGAATGGAAGATGTTTGATGTCGATTATGATTAAAAATAAGGGACTGATTAATAACCTGTTATAATTGATAAAACATCCTGCTATTAATGTTATAAGTTGTTCGATTAAAAGTTTGCAATAGGCAACAACGGCAGAGAATTTTGCACAAAAGAATGTCTTGAATCATATAAACTATAAAATTTAGTAAGTAGTTTTCATATGAATTTTAGTATCTCTGTAGGTCTCAGTCATGTGCTAAACAAATTGATATAGCTTAGGCATATTATGAAATTGGGCAATGGTTCTGTAATTAGGACTGTTTTAAATAGTATCAATGGGAAAGTGTCAACATCAGAGGAAGAACCCACATTAGTTTATGATAATTAAATATATATACATTCATAACTATAGAGTTTTAGATAATATTTTTCATATGTATTTTTAATAATCAAATTTTAGGATGAGGAATGTGCACCTTTGAAGGAACCTTGACCATTAACTGCTTGAAGTGTCCAACTTTGGCCTCTCTTGTGGACTTTCCTACGCTGAATGCAGGATAAGATTTCTTTTTGGAATTCACTTATACTCCCACGGCAATCCTTTTTATCTTATTAAGTTTACTATTTGGTATCATATGTTTGATTCTTATCCCAACCCTCAAAGATCTTGCCTATCTTTGGTCCTTTTGGAATGGTCCAATGGGCAGGATCTTCCAAATTGCTTGTGTTAGCAGGAGGCTTTTGCAAATAGGCTCCAGGTCCAACGATCACTGGAGTCGAACATGTGGGTGCTAATGCTGATGCTCCTGGGATATCTCTTCTATATCCAAAGGAAAATTGAGGTGGAGTTGGGACTTCAGGTTTGATGGCTGGGTCATATTGAGGTCCAGGGGTTCCTTTGAGTCTTTTCTCAGGAGGGAACTATAAGTTATGACGAAAGTGATACTCTTGATTCCAATCCTATTTTGACATTTGGAGCTTTAGTCTTTCTAATTAGATCAGCTTCTTGGGGTTCAAACTTGAATAGAATGAGTGTTTACATCGACATCCTTTCTTTGATAATAATCAAATTTGGCTCCTGTGTTGAGTGTGTTACGAGGATCTGTTCCGAATTTAGTTTCTGCGTCCTTTGTGTAATAAAATTGATCTCCTCCTCTAACATTGTAGACAGGTCCAGGACTTCCCTTTCCTTAAAGGACTAAGTTGGATTGATACCTGCAAAATCAATTCTGGCAAGTTCTTTATTATGATAGAGCTTTGCTTGATTGGCACGCTCAGCAGAACCGAAACTGTAACTTGGCAGTGTTTGTTTGGTGGAAATGGGCATTTTGCCTATGGAACTAAAAGCTTGTTTATTTTCGAATTCGGTCAAGTCTGCATAGGAATACACTTTTGGCTGAGCTTTAACTTCTTCTTTTGTTTCTGCCATTTTATATATTAATATTATTAAAATTAAATATATATAAAACTTATCAACATATAACTCAAAACTATAGATGAATAGTATTTTCACTCCTGTCTTTCTTTTGAGTTTCACTTCTAATGCATTGGGCTATTCTAAAGAGCACCAGTCTATAATCATGAATAATTGATTACTTGATCACCTTTGGCTTGAGTTTATTGTTCTCCCATAAGGGTAACAAATACTCTTAAGTGATTTTGCTAACTTGAATATTGATTCTAATTAAGTGATTACTTGATACTTCTAGATTGCAGGCAAGTCCATGATCGCCTGTCCAATTTTACCATCCATTTAACTCTACTATTCAAGTTTAAATGTAACACATCCACATATCAACTGTTTGTCATCGTAGAAATCTAAACCATCATTTTTGATTTCATATAACACTCCTTCAAAATTTGATTCATCCAAACAATCTACATCGAAAAAATTAATCTCTTTCTATTGATCCACTTTTTCATAGAGAGTAATGATGTTCTAAAGGATTGCATCAAGGTAATTCTCCATGACGAATCCTCCATCTCTAAAGGAGTCTTGGTATGGCTATGTAGTTACATATTCCATTTTGATATTCTGCACCAAAGTGAATATTATCTACAATTGTTATAAAGCTTACTTTTTCCCACTTTTAAATGTCATTGCACCAATCCAATAGTTCAAGGAAGGAGATTAAGACCGCTTTAGGATTCTTATGACTAAAAGCCACTTATATCTTATCAAAATTGTATTCGTGATTGTTAATGTGATTCATCAATGAGTCAATAATAAAGAAATTGGTTTTCTTCTTCTCATATATATCTGATATGAATTGCAATGGTTTGAATGCCAAGGGATCATTTGTTTCTGCTAAGCGGATCTCGTCTAAGTGAGAGCAATATGGCATCCACAACCTTTCGATAATTTGCTTAACTTAATCAATCCAATCAATAAAATGTATTTAGATGGTGATGTTGGACAACACTAAATTGTTATTTTAAGACTAAAACTTCTTTTTCCATAATTTCAGATTCTAATCAAAACTTTAATTCTTGTATAGATTATAGTGGATATAATTTCTAATGAAATCTATTACAATATAACTAAATTACCTTACCAAATTATTAATCCTAATTTATCTTAGTCATGAAGGTTTTAGTTTCTTCCAAATCCAATTGTATATGAATTTCTTTATCCTTTAAATAGATTTCCAAAAACAATTACCTTGAATAATTCATCAATTGCAGTATCTTACGCATTTACGTTTCTCAATGTGTTGATCATATGATTCTTCAGTTTGATCGTCGCTAATGCTAAAGCATATTGATTTTAACCAAATAACTTTTAGAATCCAGTCACAAACTTATTGGAAATTCTAACCAAGTAATAAACACAAAAAATACAATTTCTTCTCTATCATGCCATCACCCAAAATTTGCTTAGAAATTACAGCATTTATATGATCTTCCAATAAGTTATTTTGTTTGAGAATCTAGAAGAGTTGGATGTGTTTTTGGAATATATGATAAATTTTGGTAACTTGAATTATAATCTATTTAACAAAATACTTAATTCCTAATTGTCTTGATCGAATAATAAGGATTCTACAAGTGTCTTGTATTTCAGATCTCCAAATTACATCCTTGAGTTAATGAAGGATTGCAGCTAATGTTCATCCAATCTATTCATGTCTATTATAATTGTTAGGAATTGTATTAATAATTTAAATTCTAATGCAATTGTCAAAATAAGAAGCAATTCTAAAGGAATTATTTGAAGATGATTATTTTACTCAAATCATTCAACATCCCTCTGTGCAATCCCCATATGAGGAACTTATCTGTGCAATTTGCTATAACCTCCTTGAAATTCCAATCGTACTACCAGATTGCAAACATACATTCTGCAGAGACTGTCTCGATGCATGGGTTGGCCAATAAGCAATGAATTGTCCTTATTGCAGAATCGATGTCTCACATTATTTATGTATTGATGTCTCTAACATTTTTAAAGCAAATAACTAATTGAAATTCAGTCTCATAGATTTCAATACAATGTTTTTGATCGACAACATTGAGATTAAATGTCCCGATTGCAATTGGAAAGGTAAGACGAAAGATCTCAAACTTCATCAATAAAAGTATTGCAATCTAATGTCATGTCCACTAAAATGCAATCAAAAATTCACCTCAGAAGAACTCGAACTCCATAAAGATATTTGCCAAAATAGAATCATTAAATGTCCTCAATATTGTGGTGAAGAATTTGAGGCACATAAAGTGTTTTCTCATCTCTAAAACTGCATGTACACTTATAAAGAGTGCAACAAATGTAATTGTATTTTGTAGGGTGTAAAAATATTGAATCATAATTGTAATATTGAATCTTGTAGAAATTCTTAATTTGGGTGCAAAAAACAAGAGATGCATTAAAATTGTGAATTTGAATTAAATTATTGTAAGTATTGTTTCAATTTTTTAATGAACAAAGATCTAGAGACACATATTTGTTAAATATAGAGTAGCATACAAGATGTTTTAAATTCATTTTAAAAGCAACTGCTAGAGTCCTTATAACCAGTTAAACATGATTTATAATTATTGCAAAATGCCATGAAAAAATGTCAATAAGAGTCAATTCTATTGTTAGATGTACCAACGGACAGAATAAACATAGTGGAAATATTGTAATTATTTGGGCCGGTTCAAAATCTGAAACAATACTTGAACCTCCCTAATCTTGACTAAAAAAAAGTAGCTGTTAGATATTTCCACGAAAATGCTGCACTCTGTTGTAAGCAATACATGAAGATATTGGGAATAACAACTTAATCTTTGGAAATGGGGGAAAAATAGGTTAAAATTTAACCAAAATAAAAAATTTCATGATTTATTTGAGTGTATAATTAAATAATTAAGTATAATGAATTACTTGTTTTATGGATTTATAGGATATTGCACTTTATCATTAACCTTTTTTGTATTCCCTTACAAGAAAAAGAATGTCTTCAAGCACTCGAAATACCAAAAATATCTTCAAAGAAAAGCTATCCTTCACATATCTCACAGAGGTGGATGTAGGGAAAATGTAGAAAATACAATGCAGGCCTTTTAACATGCATATGATCTAGGTACCGATTGTTTAGAAATGGATTTGTGCATGACAAAAGATAAGAAAGTACTTCTCATCAACATTGTTAGGTTGTAGTCTTGCATGATTCCTCTTTATTAAGAATGTGTGGTGTAGAAGCACATGTGAAAGACTATAATTATAAAGACTTGCCAAAATTCCTAGATAAAGTCAGACTGGATTTTGCTCCGAATGATTACATTTCAACTTAAAATTGCAAAACTCCTTATCTTCCTTTATTTGAAGATGTTCTTAAAAAGTTCCCTGATGTCTTAATTAATGTTGAAATTAAGACACCAGATCCAGAAGTAGTCAAAGCAGTAAACGATCTAATTCTTAAGTACTAAAGACAAGATACAATCATATGGGGTGCTAGATGTATATTAATATCTAATATCATAGTTTAAAAGTAGAACGAATTACTTAAATCAATTAATCCTGCCATACCAAGATTTTTCACTGTGGAAGGTATTATGAGGGTGTATTTACTCTACATAACTGGACTATTACCATTTTTCGATATCCCAGATGATTCAATGTAAGCACCCCTTTACACTGATGACTTTTACAATTGGAAACTCCATGTCGCAAATTCAACTTCAGAGAAGTTATAGCAAATGTTTTTGTAATTTAATTTTCTATTTTGAAGTCATAATTTTGTTTGGTTTTTGGGGTTAATTTCTAAACCTCTATTTTATCACTTACATAATAGGGGGATTTTTGTATATTATTGGGTTTTGAACAACGAAAATGAATATGAGAGAGCTCTTAAAACTGGTTGTCATGGGATTATGACTGATTGTCCAACTCTGCTGAAAGAGCATTTAGTCAAAAAAAAACTATATGGAAAATAGTGATCTCTATATAAACAGATATAAATATATTTTTAAAATAATTATTTATTAAATACTGAATTAATACAAATGCCTGGTTTTATGAGTTGAATAATAAAGGATTTAAGTTAATCTGATAAAATAAGAAGCTGAATGTAGAGACCTATTATTATTTGTACTCATGAAATCAAAAACGTATTCCATGATCATCAAAAATGTATTCCACGATTATCAAAGTTTGCTGTGCTGTTGGAATTTTAATAATATTGTTTTTACTAAAGAAATGTAAGATTATCTCTTTTCTGATATTTCTACTTTAGGATTGTGATAACTAATAAATCTAATATAAATGATAACATATTAACATAATTTTAATATATATATTTAAATAGATATCTAATACCTAATGTAAGGCTACAGTTATGATAAAGTGTTTAAGGATGGTGGCACGAATATTAAGGCGGAGATTTAAGAAGAGTCCTTTGGATTTAGTCAAAGAAATATTACATAATTCGGAAGATCGTTAATGTTATTCTCAAATTAATATTAATAATTGATAATAATATTAAAAATTAATAAAAATCAACGCGTATTATCTCAACAGTTAATTTATTTTATTCTGATTAAGAGGATATCATAATTCAAAAAATTTAAGAATATGTGGGATTTTAAATTGAAGTTCCTGTTCGAAACAGATTGTGATTAATTGAGGAATCATTTTATGGATAAAATTATTGAAATTAGTTTGGGTAATTTGATGTGATACCTGGTAAATTATTTATGAGGGTCAGTTCTGTTCACACTGGAGATATTTATGCTGAATTAAGAAAAAAAAATATATTTTTAATTAAAAATACTCTAGCATTTAAAGATTTTATGAAGCCAACATATGTTTATTCAAATCCTGTGCTGAGTCTTCTGAGCTCCAACTCAACTTAGAGTAGTCCAATGACTACAAGTGAATTGAATGATTCGATCGAATACTATATGGACCAAAAAGACTATCAGACTGAAGTAGAAATAGTTAAATATCTGCATGGTTTGGGAGTGCGGACAAAAACAAACCCACTGATTAAAGAGTAACAATATTGGGAAGAAAGAAAACAGAAGAGCCAAATAATGTCAGAGACCATCGTCAACTCTTCGGAAAGGTTGGTGTTAAATCCAACCGTAAATCGATTGATGAGAAAGAATGTAATATAAATACCAAGGAATTCAAATAGTCCCTATTTCTTACTGGATTAATTATGATTCTCCTTTTTATCAAATCACAAATATCTCTATATATAACTGAATTCAATAAACCATAATTAATTAGTTATTCATTAATAAACAAAGTAGCCTGATGTCTTTCTCTCGATAGATTCAAACTCAATAGATTGCTTATATTCGAATCTAAACAGATCAGGGAATTCCCTCTCAATAATGTCCTTAGTTTCTTGAGACACCTGCACAAACCCTTTGGCTCCCTTGGACTCCATTTTATTCGCAATCAAAACATCAGGCCCATAAATATCATACCTAACCAACTCAGTGCCAAGAACACCCCCAATGATGGATCCCTAATAAAGTCAAATTGAACAAACTTACAGTATGGACTCCGATTCTCATGTCCAACGTGGGATGATTGATGTGGGCTCTCACTCTTCTGATCGCATCGATCATTGCGAATCCCATTCTTACGACATTGACTGCTTCTTATGAGGGATTCCTTTGGATTCCCTTGCCATAATCGACCATTCCCATGACAACGTAGCAATCTCCAATGGTGTAGAGTTTGAAGACGTTATGCAGAAGACTATTTTTATCAAATTCAGTAAAGAGGTTTCTCAACATATTAACTACTTATTCAGGTTGTACTTTGCTCGAATACTCAGTAAAACCTGCAATATCAGCAAAGAGCAAAGTTACTTCATCAGCCTATTCTCTTAGTACACGTTTCTCCTCGTTTGGCCTGAAAAACTCCTCAAGGACCTTGTTTGATAGAAATAAATTAATTATACATTTTTAGGCAATAAATAATTCAATAAATACTGGTACTTGATTGATTTTTCAATTAATTATTTGTTGACATTATAGGAATTGACATTCTTCAAAAACATGAACAATTAAATGCAAAAGGCGAATATCGAAATCACAGCACAATAATAGAATCTACTCCATGGCCAATCATTCACTATGATGGCAGCAATTGTCACTCCCAAAAACAGAACCAGATAAACCAACTTATTTTAATGTCTAAGAACTCTGTTAAGAAGAACACTTAAACAATAAATGATCCCTTTGGCCATCTAAATCTCGTAATGATCTGTGATTAAGAAGCAATCCAAGGCGTAACTTCCAAGTAACAAATACGCTAATATCAAGAAGTATATGACATTATAGAATGATTCGTATCTGTGGATCAGAGTGCACTACAGCAAATGCAATAGACCCACCATGACTCCAGTTATCAAATTCGCCAAGTATATCTATCCATTCAAACTCACGCAAGACATTGAACTTATAAGAACACAAGAGCCTATAGTCAATAAATATTGAACTGCAAATGGTCTATACAACGATGATAGAAATTCGTAAAACTCTAATGTGACAGTGGCATCTTCATTGAATTCCAAATACAACTTCTTTGGATTAAGAGTCAATAATAAGTTTTGACCTTAAGCATCCTCATCGACACTATAAAGAGCCCTGATCTTATCCTTTTCCACATGGTATTCCATATTTAATTGATAATCAGAAACATTTAATTCACATCGAGTCTTCCTCTCCAACAATTGAATTAGATCTTGATGTTTTTAATGTCTATCATCATACCCTTAGGATTATATCCCTCCCATAATGGATTGAGAAGCATAATTTTTTGAAGACCCCCCTCCTTGATTTAATTAATGCTTGAGACTATGTAGAAGAGCATTTATTATTGAAGCGATTTGTTTGGACTCTCAATGGAAATTTACTTTTGTGTTTTTGTTACGAAACTGTAAATTTCACTTTTCTGCTTTTTATTCAGAGTCACTGGTTAAGGATCTTCATTTCTATTCACAAGAGGTTATACTTCCCTATTTGAACCAATGCCAATTTCTGATAGTTAATTCTCATGGACTTAATCCAAGTTTTAATAGTCTTTTGGATCTCTAAAGGGTTGTTTTGGAGGTCTTTGAATCATGATTGTCTACTTTCTTTACTTCCCTCCCCTCTTGGTGTTAACAACATAAGTAATCAATTTCCCCTTCCCCTTAGCAACTACGTCTCTCTAGACATACACTAATTCATATTTGTTAGTCTATCGATATGCCTATTCAGAAATGGCAACATCCCAAGATTCAGCCGTCGAACATATTCTACTTGCTGTATTGATAGTGTCACCAATCAAACTGAATTAGGGCTTATGATGTCCAATGACTCCAGCAATGACATTCCCATAATGAATACCAATTTTAATTTAAAAGGTCTCATTAGACATCACATACCTTTTCATATCCAATGCCAATGAAATCACCTTATTGACAGGATTGGACTTCTAACTAACATGAATTTTGAGTCCAGCAGCAGCCATATAGGTTTTGCCCACAGTCTCGATTTTCTGAACTTCATGTTGTTAACAAAGTAAATCAAATCTTCTGAATAACTTATCTAAGATGTCAACTACATTGGATTGTTCATTCTTTATTAATTGATCGAAATCAATGATGTCGCAAAACAACACTGCCACCATTCCTTGATCTTCCTGAATGTCATATTGACCAGCCTTATTGATGCGATCTCTGATAAATTGAGGAAGGAGAATAGAGAGGATGTCACTCATTATTTGGTTTTCCTTATTCATATTGATTCTGCCTAAGAAGACCTCCAAGAATATGTGAATAATCCTTCTGAATGTCAAGACCAATAGGAATAATGATGCTATGCTCATCACGTATTGATTGATCAGAATATAGACATCATCCTCATTTGATTTTTTGATTAAGTAAATCGCCACGTAAATGGCCGAAAACACTTAACTAATGAGTGGTTATTCTTGGTAATGATAGATATTGACTGCCAAACTCAGTTATAACATATTGAGATTCATTCCTCCTACTGATTAATCCTGGTTGAATAACCATATAATTATTGAGGAGCATCGAATAAACAAGATGATGAAGTTTACTTCGAAGAAATACAATTTATAATAGCGAGACCAGCAAAATAACATAAGCAATAGTAGTACTCCAAACATACAAATGTAATAGTAATCAGTCCAATAAGATAATGTAAAACTATCAAAGGCTAACAGGATTATAATATATGTGGCTACTTCATAGAATAAAAATGTTATTGCCACTATTATTCTATAAGTACGCACAACATATTGAAGAGTATCTTCAGTGAACTTATTTTATAACAATTGAGATTTGAATCTGAGAGTGATTGAATTTATGGAGTTTTCAGTCTCATCAGCAAATGCTCCGCTCAACATCTACTTAATGATTGGATCCATGTCTTCATCACCATTAAAGAGCTTCCTTGCAAAGTAAGAGATTTTCTCTATCGTTGCTCTATGTAACTTGATTTGTTTAGCCAAATCACCTGAGATCTTATTATAGATTTTCAAGATCTCGTCATATTCCTTACTTGTCTAAATGGCCAGAGGCATAAAGAAAGGCCTGTTAATGTGATACAGTACCAAATTAAAGATGCAATGGATTGCTACTATGAATACGAAGGAAAATAGAATTTAAACGGATGCTGCCCATTAATAGATGATGGAGATTGAATCAAATTGAAGAGATATCAGTGTATATAATCCAAAGGTTAATCCTATATTAAATACAAACTGTTTTTAGGTGATGTAGTTTCTTTGCACCAATTTCGAAGCATCTACAGTTAATAAGAGTAGAAAGAGGCCAGATCCTAATTCACTTGATGTTAGAACTATTCCATTTTGATTTGATAGATCTGCATATTAAGTGTATAGATTGATGAGCAAGGCTTGAATAAGTGGGAAGAATGTGATTCGTGCTATGTATTTACCAAACTTATTATGGTTCAACTCTAATTAATCATTTTTGAATACGAAATACATGAATTCATTGTGATTGAAATTTTCAACCTTCTCACTGATTTCGCTTATAATAAAGGAACTTGAAAGTAAAAAGAAGATGTTGGAGTGAAACTTTAAGTAATCCTTAGTTATCACAACAATTTCATCTCTAATCAATTAGGTCACACACAACAAATAGATTATTCCAAAACTTCTGAATAATGCAAAGATCAGAATTCTCTCAAAGTACAAAGCTGCCTTTCTGGAATCCAATGCTATCATTTTGTGTATCAACTCAAAATCCTTAATATAGACATCACTATTGTACAATGGTTCAATAAAACCATGATCTTATTTGTGCTAACAGAACTATGATTCTTAATCCAATTATTTTATTGAAACTCTTCCATGTTAGAGATCTTCAAAATTATTCTTATCATGTGGAAAGATCTATCTTCCAGATTGCATTTAAAATGTGAAATCCGAATGATTAAATAAATTGATATCACTAAAACTATCTCCTATGGACAATATAAATTTATAATTCAACTTCCTATCTTTTAGTAATTTAATTAAAATCGACTTCTATTATGGTGTCATCCGATAACCAATGAAATTAGAGGTAAATTGAAATAGGAATTAAAAATGTTTCTTTAAATAAGCATCTCTTAAGATCTACTCTAAAGATTCTCCGCTTATCACAATTTGAAATGGTTTTATATGTAAATTCTTCTATCCACTCGAAATCCATCTCGGACTACAAGTAAATGAGCCTTTTTTATGAATTAAAGTATCTGAATGTTTTAATTCTTTCTTATTTGAATGTGATCTCAATTAACCACTCAAACTTTATAACAATTGTTTTAATTATAGGAACAATTCATCCTAAGTTTTTGCTTAGATATGAACCACCGTATCATTTTGATTTAACAATTAAACCCTATAGGCTATAGGTAACACTTTCTCATAATTGTCTCCACTAACTACCCAACATGGGAGTCCTAATTATTTGATATAATTTAATGTTGGAGTCACATTCTTATTGACTTTTTCTTGTACTCCTATCACACTCACAAGATCGCAATTCTTTTCGAATTCATGCATCAAAAACTAATACTCATGCATGAATTCAATTTTATTTGATTGAATGTCTAATAATTTATTGGCCTCTTTATTGAAGGTCTGCATTTAGCTTTCAGTCATCAAACTTCTATAAAACAACACTGGTCTGCTACCTTAGACTTGTAAGTCCTTAATCATTAGATCTAATTTAGCCACTTAATCCTTTTCCAAAGACAAACAACCTATCATATCTAAGCTGTCATCTCTTAAGTATTACAAGTATTGTGAGTCTTCATTCTCTAATCCTAATTTGGTGCATAATTCTTCTTGCAATTTGATAATGATACTAAATTTTCTGGAATTAAACGAATGTAAAGACATGACATCAATCAAATGGATTTCTTCCCCATCTTGAATTACATATCTCATTTGATTTTCCTATTTGCTCCTACAAATGAATTTAAAACCATAATGCTTGCACAAATATAACTACTACTTATCCAACTCTGAACTATATTCATAGAAGAACGAGTCATCACTTTTTTAATAAAGTGATCTTGTGTTCTAACATACCACTAAAGCGAACATGGCTTCAAAATAATGAGGTTTGAATTCATCATCTTGAATTCTTCTAATCAAAGTGATTTCATTTCCAGAGAACTCCACTTCTGAGACTATTTCTAAATTTGATGGAATTCTAGGAGCATGGAACTTTTAACTACCTCTTTAGTAAGTCAATTATCTTTTGCTTTCATGGAGACTGTTGACAATGAGACTGCTGCCTCTTGCTAAAGATTACTTTTAAATTTAGGCTCCTTCAGCACTTTGATCGAATTGACTGCTGAGTTAAGATTCAGGTCTGAATCTGGGCGGTTAAGTACGATGCAACTCATCATATGGAGGATGATCATCATCTAAATCTTCTATTTTGAAATTGACCTCTTCATTATTATTGCATTTAATCATGGGAGTAGATTCAGGTTCTAATCTTTCATCGATTGGTTGATTCAATTCCTGTCTTATTTTAGTTTGCTTGAGTGCATTTTGAAACTCCTTCTCTGCAAATGCTTTGTATCTCAATTTGTAGAGGGAATCAAAGATGAAGATCCATTTGATCTTAAAATTGGGCATCGTCAAAGTTCCAGTTTTATCAATAAGGACATGGTTTATCAATGATAAATTGGAAATCGGAGAGTAATTCACTTGCAAATGGTTTAATTTTATGTGTGCATTATCCAATAAGGGATTAATTTCTTTGAGTGGGTGCTTTGAGTTACCTTTTTCCTTAAGAAATAAGTAATTATTGTACAACATTTGAGTGAAATAAAGTAGGTCAATCAGAAAGTAAAAATACAGAGGCAATAAACCAGAATAGTTCATTAATTAAAATTCTAAATTGTTATGATGTTCACCATAATATTCAATAGTATACTAAATCACACTGAGCAGGATTAAAGACAGTATGGCTATAAGGAAGTACAAATTCGCCTTTTTTTCAAAAAATAACCATACTTTTCTTACATGTTTAAATGACTTATAGCATCTGCAATCAAGACCAACTGAGAGAATTACTCCAAACAAGTACAAGTCATTTAAGAGTAATTGTTCTCTGAAGAAGATGTTTTCTTTGTTTATTTCCAAAGGTTTTGGATCCTTCTTCAATTTTACCATGCCCTTATAATATTGATCTGAGTCAGTCTAATCATATCTAATAACCCCATTCAAAATAGTGCGATAATCAAGCAATTGTATTTTGTGTTCTTTCGATATTGTAGTTAAGGGACATGCTCTCTTTCTAACTTCATTTGTATTTCCACTCATCACAGTATTGCTAGCCATACTAACTGATTGACCCATGTCCAAAATCAAGACATCGGCAGGACATATTTCATTATTTTTTAAATATATGATATCCCCTACTTACAGTTAATCCCATCGCTTCATAGTAAATAAAGGAATTCTAGATTATTTGTCCTATCGATACGTCACAGTATCTATGCTTACTTTTCTCATGCAAATATCCTTTTGGTAATTGTTGTTATTAACCAAGTTTTCGTGCTCAACGATATTCTAATTTAGTGATTTCCTTCCTCCCAATTTAATTAAATTTTGGGATGCAACACTTTAGACATTTTTTTTTAAATCAGCAAACACGGTTGCCTAACGAGAGTTGACGATTTCATCACGTTTCCGCTTTTGAGTATCGAAGTACAATTCAATTATTATGTGTATAGTAAATGTTAATAGAAGTGAAATTAGATAGTTGTAGTCTAATTAGATCATGTTGATGACAAATAAGTACAAATTCAGAAATCGCTTAAAAAATTTAATTATCAACACATATAAACAGTTAGTTAATGTGTATCGACTCGTCTTTACCAAATTGAATTGGTTTTCGTTTCCTCTCACATTTACACTCTCTCCATTTTCCAAAACAATCTATTGATAGATGAATCATACCTTCTTTGAGTACTGTTAATTCTCATGCAAATGATCATTATTAGTCTAAGGAACTTCTGATTTGAATATTTAAGACAATCTTCTCAAAAGACCCATTATAATAAAATTAATAAATTCATTTCATATGAATAACTCCTCAATCTCTCCTTGAATTACTTATCAATCTGACTCTTCTTCTGCTCCAACTACAATAACTGCTACTACTCCTTCTCCCTCAATTGATTCTTCCACTGATTCTTCTAATTGGTCCTCTCATCTACTCCCCAATTCTTACCTACTTAATCTGAAGCTACCTAATAGATCTCTGGAATCTCGCATCCAATTCCTTTGCCAATCTCACAGGTACTTCGACTGGTAAGGTCAATTGCTTCAATGATTGCAGACTTGAATTCTCCTACTATTGAAATTTAAGAATATCATCCAATTTATACGAAATTTATTCAACATCTAGATTGATCTCAATCTCTACATTACTAATTTTGAGCCTATTTTAACCGCTCTCCGATCTCCTCCTATTGTTTAGTGATATAGTTTTTCGATTATTTGATAATTATATATATATTCATAATTTAATCCAAGCATCCACTTATTCCAAAACGCGAATTAGCTTAACTATTAGATCAGTTATACACTAAGCATCCTTCCTCTCAAAATAAGGATCCATGTTATGAGTCAATTTATAATTGGAAATTGCCTTGTTCAGTTCAAGAAACTGGTAATTCACCAATTGCCTATTGGGACTTAGATGATTCAACATCACTGGCAATTGATTAGTATTTCGAGTCTTGATTTTATTATCCAAAAGATGAAGACTCCTATGTTAGAAGATGAGGTTCTTTCTGATTGGGTAATTAATGAGGCTTTTCCTCTTGCCATCCTAAACCAATTGATCCATTTTTTGTATTGCAACCTTATTGGGAAGAGTGTCGTCATCATTGAATATCAACTCGAATCCCTCTGCATCACTCGACACATTAATTTCATTATGTTCTACCAATCCGTAATTCTTCTTGCCCTTCCCAATTGATCCCTGCTCCAATTTCCTGATGCCCAACACTCTCAAAGAAGAATGAGGTAACTTGAGTTAGCATTTGAATGTAATACCAAAATGGCTCCGTTTACCATCCTTTCATGAAAGATTGTGGCCTTATCGATGTCTCCCTCCTAGAAGTAGTACTTCCCCAAATATTCGTAAGCCTTCAATTCGTGATCCTTCTTGTTTAGTTTCCAACTGCACATCAAATATTTGGTAAAGTAGATTTTGGCTTGTCGGTTTCTTAATTTAAAAAAGCAGATTCCCAAGAGTTTGTAGGCCAACAATTTATATTTTAATAAATGCTCGTTGTCAGACATCCTCTTGACTATTTTGGCCAAGATTATGCTGAAGTAGAGCAATTTATAATGGCACACTACTTTGGCTAATTTTAAGTAGATGAATATTTTCAAGTCTATATAAATTACTTGTGGATCATACCTGGAATCTTGGATTTCATCACTTAATTGCTGATTTCGTTGATTATTCTTATCGCCTAATCTCGATCCTTCCGTTCTAAAAATAATTAATTTAATTGTATCAGAGTATTTTGGATGATAACTCTGTTTTATTACAACATCTCAGTACTCATGATATAAGGGTACAAACTTACATCATCTATTGTTACTTTTCAGGCTGTCTTATCTCCTCCTTGATCTTGTCAATTTCCTCCTAAAATGCTAATTTTATATTTGAGATCATTAGAGCTTCTTTTATAGCATTCCTTACTCTGACAGTTTGTCTACAAGTCAAATCACTCCTGAATCGAGAGTCATTAGTAGACTACAGTTGATCCTGACTGGTTTCGGTCTAAATGTGTCCCGAATTCTTAGGTAAGCGCAATTAATTTCTTGGTCTTACTTTCATATTTTGATAAAATAATATAATTTGCAATTAAGTTCTAACTCTACATTTTCGATTAACATTGAAATATCGATAATGTCAAAACCAAAAACATTAATTATTATAGAATTTGTTAATAAATATACTGATGGCCGAACATATCCCTGAAGAGAGAGCCCTTACAGAGGAGGAAAGACAAAAATACGACCGAGCAGGGTTTATTGGGCATCAAGTCCAAAAGAGGTAATAATGCTAAGTGTGACAATAGACTTTTAGCCTCCAATATATTAATCGTAAATATGACAGGGAGCAACACCGAATTAGCCAAAAATCTCATATTAGCAGGTGCCAACATAACCATTGTGGACAATGAGATAATCAATGAAAGGGACACTGATACCAATTTCATTTTTACGAAATAATTACTAGGATAAAAAGTACTCTATTTATTAGACATCATTTTAGAGAGGTTAAATAGCTCAAGAGGAACTCAAATTGATAAATCCGTTAGTAAAAATAGATTGGCTCCAGGAATTCCCAACTCCAGACAAACTCATCAAACACAATGGCATAGTCACATCTACCACAGATTTTGAAGAAATGATCAAGTACGACAAATTGTCAAGGGAAATCAACATCCCTTATTACAATCTAGTGTGTTGTGGACACTATGGGTTTATGTATATAGGATTGGGATCCAAATTCACATATGAAAGAGAGAAAAAAGTGGTTATGCAGATTGTGTTTGGGAAGAAATTGTAAGAATAGGATAGATACAGAGAATTTGAAGAAGTCATTGCTCACTCTGTTCCATTAGAGGAGACATTGAATTACAATTACAAACCTCAAGGGATGTTGATCAACACCATTTATTATTGTCTTTTGATGATGAAAAAGGCACAAGAAATTCCAGAATTGAAAGCCTATGATCCATATCAACCAAATGACGAGTTATTGGACAAATTCACTTAGATTGGCAAGGATATCTATAAGGCTGCAAATGGGAAGGATGCTACTGAAGAATAAGCAAATACATTTAGGGATTTTGCAAGACTTTATGGAATTGACTATTGTCCAGTGTACTCTGTTGTAGGCAGTGTGGCTTCATAGGAATTGATAATTTCAACTAGTAGAATTAACGAACCGGCTCTGAATTGGTTTTGTTATGACAGTGTGTAATCATATGGTTAAGTGGAGGTGATTTAGGATGTGTCATCATTCAAAGTTAGGGATTTACCAGAGAGAAAGCAATTAGTTCCCAAAGAATGAAATATATATTAAAATTTTTATGAATATTTTTAAAGTATTTTTGTTATGAATAAACAGTTTTACTATTTATACGCGTGAATAAAAAGTACGCAACATTATTATAAAAAATATAAAATGTCAGCAACTTAAACTTAACATTTGATTTTTGGGTCAACTTGGCCCCAGGAAAATATGATCATCAAGTACTGTTCTTTACAATAGAGTTTTTAGAAAGTTCCTATCAACACTGCATTAAAGGTATATAAATTTTAAATCATTCCTAGATCAACAATTGGTCATGTGCCATTCCTTACAAGGATAATGAGATTCTAATAACAGGTGGATTGGGAAATACCAATAAAATAATCTCAAATGATGTCTATCTATTTAATACACAAACTAATTAGGTAAGGAATGTAACGCATTTTAGTTAAGCCAATTTAGTTAATTCACCCAATCTAGATATGTTCATCAATGTGTAAGTCACAATGATAAGGTATATGTACTGGGAGGAAGACAATATGGCCCAGATTTCGAGAGTGTTCTATCACATTGTGAAGTCTATGAAGGAGGTGTGTGGAAGGTATTTCTATTTGAATTATCATAGACCATTTCCCCCATGACCAAGAGAAGATCTAATTTCGGAGTATTCATCTACAATGATCAAATATATTGCATCGGAGGATTCGATGGAAAAAAAAATACAAAGTCTATCGAATACTATGATGAAGTCAAAAACATTTGGGTTAGGAGTAAAATAAGGATGCCGAGAGGATTGGCAGGATTTCACTTGATCCCATTGGAAAATGAAAAAATAATGATTGTTGGAGGAATGACATTATAAGGACCATCCTAAGCTTGCATAGTCTTAAACCTGAAGAGTATTTATAATCTATTATACCCCTTAGATAATACATGTGTCTCATACTCATAATTGAATTAAATTCGATCTCTATTTCATATGTTCAGAGATGAATTTGGTAATTATATTGTATATGGTGGAATGAATAAACAAAACACTTTTGAATTATTCAATTATGAGAACAAAATCTGGGAGGAGTTTCTGATAAATATGGATGAAAATGTTCAAGAAATCTTGAATTAGAATTTGAGAGGAATGTCCTCTGTTTAGTAGGTTTGTAGAGTAGAAAACTACTAATAACTTATGTAATAAAAATAAGAATTACAACTCTAACCAGATGATGTAGTTTTTATGTTTGGAAACGATGAGTATCCATTTATACTCCCACTTCCTAAATAACCAACTGAAAATTTGAATCCCTTGGAAGTTCCAACATAATTATGTATGTATTCATACATGAGTGTCTGCTCAATTGATGCAGAATTGCCAAATTGCAGATAAATTCTCTTGGCAGGTGGCATTGATTCTAAAATATCATAAATTAATAAGAAGGCCTATTTAGTTACTATAATATTCCCAGAAATGAAGGTGAAGGTCAAGAAAGTTGGAAAGTTGAGTTATCATAGATATGCAGCCTCTTGTGTTTACAATGCTCCATATGTCTATTTCATAGGAGGAAGAGGATATTAGAATGATGTATTATCACTACACAGTACTGTGGAGAGATTCAATATTGATGAGGAGGAATGGGACTAAATTGCTCCCTTGAATGAGGCAAAATGCTCAATGACTGCTAATGTAATTGGAGAGAAAATCTATGTCTTTGGAGGATACGTTGGTGAAGGTAGATTCTTATAATTAATGTATAGGACAAATTTCACATAAGATAGAATGTTACAATGAACAATCATAGGAATGGGATGTATTGAATATTGAATTGCCATTCTCATTAGAAGGGTTATCGTCCATAGTTATAGATGATTAAGACTTATTCATCTTTGGAGGCAAAGGATTTGATGGTAGCAAGAAAGAAATCATACGATTCAATCTAGATGATTTAGAATCGAACCAGAATGTGTCAGGGTATTCTATATATCAATAATCAATAGACAAATAGTGGGAACACTTTAACATTCTAGATCATTGCCTAAACCAATTTTACTGGATGATAAAAACGTCTTAATTATTGGAGGTTATTTCTTTGACAATCCTGAAATCAACTTTGGAGAGATGTTTAACTTAGATAATCCTGAAGATTCCAACAATGAATATGCCAATCAAATAGAATTAGCAATCATCTAGATGGGAGCCAACGATTCTATCAACTTATTCAGCATAACTAATTGAAACTATTAATTATATATATATTAATTTTAAAATGAATTAATCATTAGTTTAAAACTAGTAGTCTTAGACCTCAATTAATTATGGGAATGTGAAGTATTCATTCAAATGTTTGCGTCGTCATCTTTTTAGGGATAAAGTTTATCATGTTCATGTACTTCACAATATGATTACTATCGGAGAGGTACACCAATAAACTAGAAGTAGCTATTTAATGATCCAAATCCTAAGTATAAAATGGAGTTGAATCTCAAAAACACAGTTTATTGGAAATAAGAGCGTAGACAAAACAAAGCCTTCGGAATTAAATATAAGTAAGTAATTTAAACTAATATTTGAATAGAAAGAACGTAAAGTTTTTTGATGCTTCTCCTGAGCATTTAATAAAATTTCGTTAAGCCATCAGTTGTTTAATAGGGTTCCATTCTATTGAAGATCATTATAAGATAGATAGAATGATTGGACGAGGTTCGTTTTCTTAAGTCCATAAAGTTTATAGGTTACAAGACAATAAGGCATTCGCTATGAAATAAGTGTCAAGCAAGTAGAAGACTGATAAGGAAAACATGGTATATATCAATTTAATTCAGTAATTATTGGAAAACGAAATTGGGATTCTTCATTCTTTGAACAATGAGGCCATCCTCAAAATATATGAGGTTTTTAGAATAGAAGAAAACCAATATGGCATTATAGTTGAATATGTTGATGGGATTTGTTTGGCCACACTCATTGAACAACTCAAAAAGAATCAAAATAAACTAAAAGAATACGATATCAAAATTATGTTGTAAGCAATTCTTAAAGCTTTGGTGGTCATTCATTCGGAGTAAGTGATTCACAGGGATATTAAACCATAGAACATTATGATTTCTCAACAATCATTTAGAAATGTTAGAATTATTGATTTTGGATTAAGCATTAAAAACTAATTGTAATATAACAGATGTGGAACTCCTGGTTATATGGCTCCTGAGATAGTTAACATGAAAAAAGATGAACAAAAAGCTTGGACATCTCTATGTGATATTTTTAGTCTAGGCGTTGTGTTTTTCAAATTGTACAATATGACCACTAAATTAGATTATCCAAAGGTATCAGTTGCTTTTAAGGTCAAACCTCAGATCAAGTCGTAGTGAGCAATAAAAAATGTTAGATCGACTGGACTATTGTTCAATAATTTAATTATTCGAAAAATTGCATCGTAAATCAATCCATTATAATGTTAAGTCTTTATTAAAGGCAATGTTAGCTATAGATCCAGGAGAGAGGATTACTGCTGATCAAGCACTTTAGCATCCCTTCTTTGCTGATTTGCCACCAATTTTGGCAACAGACTTTGCAGGAAACTCAATGACATTTAAGTCGAAGAATCTGATAAATCAAACCATTGACAAGGCAAATCTCGATTCCATTGAAAGCTTCAATGATCTCTCTGGCATTTAGAAATAAAGAATTTACGTCAGAGAATTGAAGCCATCAAGGATTAGCAGAATAGTGTGATTTTATATTTTATGATTTCATTTTTACATCTTTTTATATCAAAACGAAATATTTATATTTATTATGTAATACACAGAAGATAACAGTAAAGAATTTTCAGATTTTTCTATCCTGAAAACCAAAAATAGCGAAACCCAAGTTGTCCAACCTACTGAAAATCCGTAAACAATCAAATTTGAACTATAGACCACCTATGAAGTTTACTTTTTAAGAGGCTGAAGAAATTATTCAAAAATTTCGTGTCTATAAACCTTAAAATAAACAGTTTAAATACGAAAGCCTACTAAAACTCTAGAATTGCAAACTCAAAATCTACAAAGATTCATATTATTTTGGTTAATTAGTTAATGGAAAAAAGAACGGGTTCGGAGTGATCTTGAGTAATAATGGAAGAACATATGAAGGGTAATTTGAAAACGATAGAAAGCATGGATAAGGGTTTGAGAGGTTTCCTGATGGAGCTTCATATCATGGCACATACATAAATGGAAAACCTGATGGAGTAGGCAAATTTCTTTGGGCTAATGGTGAACTTTACGATGGGAGCTGGCAAAATGGATTAAAACATGGATAAGGGATATGGAATGGAATCAAAGGGGATTCATATGTTGGAGAATGGAGAATGGGTAATCCTCAAGGCTTTGGAGTTCATGTGTGGGTGAATGGAGACAGATACGAAGGAGAGTTCCATAATAGTTTAAAACATGGAGAAGGAATTGAGTATCTAATAAATGGAGATGTGTATAAGGGCTAGTATGTGAATGGGAAACCAGAAGGAGTTGGAGAATATTAATGGAGTTCAGGAAGTTACTATAATGGCACTTTTTCAAATGGTCTAAGACATGGCAAGGGGTTGTGGATCAAAGATAGAAATGCCACTTTAACTGATAGTTATGATGGAGAATTTGTGAATGATAAAAAATGCGGCTATGGAGTTTACAAATGGGCAAAGGGAAGTAAATATGAAGGGAACTTTTATGATGATCTCAGACATGGGTATGGAAGCATGTATTGGAATGATGGATCCTACTATATAGGCATGTGGGAGTAAGGATATTAATGGGGAGAAGGGGAATACGTAACATTATAATCTTAAATTTAGTGTAAAAAAGGAGAGCAACCTAAATTTGGAACATTTGAGAAAAATCTATTGGTTAGAGAAGATTAAGAAAAATTAATACAATATCATAGTAAATAACAACCTTAAATCCGCATTAGATAATATACAAGTAAATAAATTAATTAGGTTTACATAGCTAGTTAAAGAAGTGTTAGATCTAATAGTCAAAGGCCAAGTAGCTAGAGTTAACAAAGAAATGTGAGGCCCAGTAGTGTTAAGAGTGTTAATTAAGTCAAACAAGGATCGATGGGCAATAATTAATTTTTTTGTAAGAAAAAGAGATAACCATCATTACCAAAATAAACATTTGATTTCGATTTTTGAAGGTTTTCAAAAAATGATTTGATTTCTACTTCATTTTTAGATTTATTGAAAAAATGATCTAAAATATTCCGAACTTCTTATTTAAATCTCATTGTTTAATTTATTTATATTATTATTGGAGCTGAATTGAGGGTTGATTAATAATTTTAAATACTGATCTATATAATTCATCCAATTAAAAAATGCTTTGTCCCAAGTAGACATCCACATTCTGAACAATAATGTTGTACATCTTTAAACATTTTTAGGAAATAAACAAGAATCGCCAAAGGAATGGTAAGAATAAATACAACAAACAAAAGTATTAGTAAATAAGCACCTTTTCCAGTTTTGTATTCTAATTTAGTATTAGATACTTTTTGACAATTGATACACTATAATTTTTGAGATTCTCTACTTTAAGGTACCTTTGGATACGCAATATCAGTTTGGCTAATAAGAGGTAAATCTCCATTTAGTGATATAAGAACTTATTTAGTTGTTTAGCATGGTTCAGTTCGTAATTCTGTACTTTTATTATCAAGTTGATATTTCATTTATATTATATATATATATATTTAATCATCTTTTATATTTATTTGTTTCCTATCTTTTCAACTGTTAAAATTCCTATTGGAGTTCCTATTATATTTTCTGTAATTAAGTATCTGTTTTTCTAAATTACCCAGTCTAGTGAAGCTCTTTGAAGGTTTCTTAAGTGGAGAATGCTTTATCAGTAGTTTTAGTAGATTAAATGCTTTGAAGTGCTTTTGGAGTGGCTTTGACAGGATTTAATTTAGGAGGTTATGATTAAGGTTTATTTTATTGTTTTGGTTATTACTATTGATTATTTAATTATTATAACTATTATCTTTCTTATTATAAGTTTTGCATTTATTGTTTAACTTTTTAGGTTAGAGCATTATTAGCTTATTTAATAATTTTTTTAGGTGGATTATTAATTTAATTTAATTCTTATTATTATTATTATTATTATTACTATTATTTGACCTTATTTAAATCAAAACCACCTCCTGTTAATAAATCTTTCTTTAATAGTCTTTCCTCTTCTTTTAATCTTTTTTCCTCCTACATTTTTAATTGATATTATTATAATTTTTCATCTGCTCTTTTCTCTAAATTAATAAAATACAATTTTACTTGTCTCTTATTATCTTTACAATAGGTCTTATTATTATTCATTCAACAATCTCTGTCTCTCTTCTTCCTCCTATTATTTTTTTATTAACAAAGTTTGTTTCCTTTACAATTCTGCTTGTTATTGTTATTTCTTTAATTCTTCTGCTTGCATCAACTCTTCTTATCTACTTCCAGCCACTAAATTGAGATTCAAAGGACAATCAATAAGTAATAGTTCATTCAGATATAAATATACTTAATAATTTCCTGGTTTGTTAACTTATAAAACTAGCTTATGTTTAGAAGGTTCTTCAATCTCCTTAATTTCAGCTTTGTAGCCATCGTTCATGAAATTAAGGTAAGTCTTATTTTCCTATTATGACTATATCTTGCTCATAGAAACAACTTGATTTTTATGTAATAATTATTCAGTAGTCATATCAGAACCATCAGTAACATAAATGTTATATCTGATTGGATGATTTTATTTAATACCATAAGGTCCATATTTATCTCCTAGATTGACAATAAGATTAATATCAGAAAAGGTTTCAAACTCTTCTTGATCTTCGTCTTCTAACTCTAATCTACACCATTCTCCTTATAGAACAGTCGATTCACAAAGCCTTATTCCCCTACACAGGTGGAGTTGTCTTACTGGGGCAGAGAAGTACAACTTAGATTTTGGTTCTTTGTCAATATCCCATTTAAATATCTTTCCTTGCAAATTCAACGCGTAAATAACTCCTTCATATATACAAGCTTAGATGATTTGAACATCTTCATCAATTTATAGTGTTTTTGGGTAATCAATAACTTTTTCCTTGCTTACTTACCCGCAATACAAGACTTCTCCATCAGAAGTAACAAAAATGCTAGCATTTTCATTCGCATTAATATAAAAACACTCTTCATCTTAGACCTACGAATATTGCTAATGGTTATTCTCTCCTAATTGATGAAATTTATTTTATCCAATCCCCCACACTTCACCTTACGAATTGAGCGATAATAAATGATTGTCTCCACCTGCAATTTAGTCAATATTATCAGCTAATTTAGTTAGTTTAGGATATTTAATGTTTTAATCTAGTTCTCCCATGATGAACAATGACTTTCTAGCAAGGATAGCTCCATATTTGAATCCTAAAATTATCTATTGAATATCAGCAATAGGATCTATTTTGAGTGGGTGCTTAGCTCCCCATTAATAAATGCGACCTTCTGAATCCCATGCAATTGAAGTGCTTTTGTATGCTTAAACTCCAATAATGTTCTTATTGCTTAACTAACTAATATTATAAGGAACACTAATAAAATTGCCATCTTATTCGTTCATAGTTACTTGACCTAAGAAATTCTCTCCCCAACCAAAAACTTCATTACCATTATTACATTTTTCTCCTTTGCATTAACTGACTTAATAGGGATTGATACAAGAACATCCACTAATTAAAACTAAGACATGATGCTCTCCACATCCAACTGATAATATTTTCCTGTTTTTGAACATTTAATATTGAGTTAACTCACTGCATTATGTTAAATCTCCTTAACCCAAACATCCAGTGGCACTATTACCTTAGACACCTAAAAGAGATATCACCTTTTTGTTATCTCTCTAGATCTTAAATATAGTATTTTAATAGATTTCATCTATCTGTTTGTAAATTTACTCTGGTGTGAGATCATAAATGCCAAGATTAAAGGATGGCATTAATTTAACTGTTTCAGCATAGCTTTTTAATCTCAACGCTTACATACATCCATTATAGGTTTCATTTGTCTCTAACTATGCCTTGCATAATGATAACAACACCTTCACTTTCTCCAATGTTGCTAATTCCTTTTCTAATAATTCAAAACACTCTGTCTTAGCCTCCTCATACATTCTATTTTTGATTAAGAAATCGCTCCTCTGTACCTTATACTGTAATTATTACTAAGGTGTGGCTTCTTTGTGATTACTTAAAGCTTTGAGGATAGTGCAAATTTGACCAATATTCTCGCATTTATTAAATTCCTTTTGCAGTTCCTTTAATGTCGCCTAATCAATACTATGCACATAAGTTGTGGCCTTCACTTGTTTAGTATTTTGTTTCTTGAATCCCATTTCTTCCTCTGTTATGTCAACTTCCCTTAGCATACACACTATGTACATCCTCTCTCTCGCAACAATCTCTGTGCGAATTCTTAAGCAAATCGATTGGATTCTAGATCTTAAACGTTGGTACGCACTGAAGACTTCTTTGCTTTCCTATTAAACTTTCTATAATCTTCATCAGAGGAGCTATCTGACATTTTAAAAATATTTATATAATATAATAAATCACTCCCTTTTGATTTTCGGTAATTGCAGTCTCTAGGTTACTTGTTCCACTATTGTGCTCTATCTATAATAAATTTATAATGTTACCTAAGCTAACGCTCCTGCTCTTTTGCTGGTTTCACCAATTAGCTTCTTCTTAAAAAATCATTCTCTCTAAGTGCTTCAGGAGATGGGTCATAGTGCCTTAATCTTCCTAAGAAATTTATCCTTGGCTGAAAACTGTAGAAACCTCCCTGGGATTCGCTTTATTTTTATCTATTTGCTGTACCTGATGTATGAATCTCGACCTGTCCCATCTGTATGATAAAGATTAAATTTGCTATTAATAATTGGCAACGAATTTTGCTTTGACAATTGGTAAAAGGACTCATCTGTATGTAATGAGTCTGCTTTATAAAATCCACCATTTCCATAATTGATATATGTATCTCTTCCAGATCCATTTACTTTGTAATTTACCACTTTCGTCATTATTTATATTATATTTTTAGTTTTTATGATAAGTTTTAATCCATATTCAATCTTGATAATACAATAAGAGATTTTTATTTTATAAAATATAATAAACACAGGTCAATTTACCAAAACTTCCTTATATTTGGATGAGAAAATCAAGACTGCAGGGAAATGCAAAATTCATTCATTAAAAACTAAATCTTTTTAATCGTTATAATTAGAGAAATAAATTATGTAGTAAACATTCTAGGTATGGATGAAACGAAATTTAGTGAGGCTGAATCTAACATGAATAACTTAGTATTGAGTTACGAAAATTTCAAGTTAATACTGGAAAGAAAAACAAGAATTTGGAAGAGAAGGAGAATAAAGTTAATTGTTAATCATAACATATATATATATATCAATTACAAACAACTAATTTTGATTTCTTACTTAATACTTCAAAAAACATATATAATTAAAATGCAAAAATCAAGTCGATCTCTTTCATCCAAAAAAAATGAAAAACTCATTACCAAAAGAAATAAATCTCTTTAAGAAACTGAGAGCTATGGAAAATTTCTTGAATTTCTTAATTCTAATCAAAATTAGCCTTTCAGATAATTTTTATATATGCAAGAATTCTTTAATACTAACTTGAATTCTTTTCCTTCAGATGAGGAAATATAAGCCATTTAATAAAGTTTATTCTCAATCTAATAAGGTATTTCAAATAGAAAAAAAAATTGGACTTTTGATGAAAAGAAAGTATTAATATGGGTCGTAGGTAAATTAAGTTAATCTCAAGATCATGATATCAGAGAACTCCCTAATAGTTTTTGGGATGATGTATCTGAATTGATTTGCAGGAGAGACCCTTAATCTTGTAAGTTAAAATGGTCATAACTTAGAAAACCAGATTTATAATAAAAACCATTCACTTAATAGGAAGATTAACTGTTATTAGATTTAATTAATAAATACAATGATTCTGAATAAGGGAAAAAATGGTGTTAAATATCGGAAGAGCTTAATTCCTAAAATTTAAATTATCGAACTAGTAAACAATGCAGGGAAAGATGGTTAAATCATTTAAATCCAAAGATTTCCAAGTAAATTATCAAAACATAATAGGGACCCTTGGAATGACGATGAAGATATATTGTTACTAGATTTAATTTTAGCACATGGAAGAAAATGGGCTGAAATTTCAAAATTATTTGATGGCAGGAGAAATGAGAATAATGTCAAGAATAGATTTTCTAGTTTAATCAAAAGAGAAAAAGATTTGATTGTTGAGTATGAATATTAATTTATAAATTTAAGTCTAAAAAATGGGTAAATAACAAATTTAGATGCTATTTTGGGAAATCCTACTGGGCAAACATTAAATAATTAATCAAGTATCGCTATTGAAGTTTTAAAAAATAAAATATTGTGGAGAAAAGGTCAAAACAAATCTGGTGAACAATTCAATGATTTTAGAAGAACTTCTATCCATCAGACCTCTGGAAAATAAGAAGAATTTTACCTCAAAAGAACATCTATAGTGAAATATTCAGTAGGACATTTGGGTTAAGATGAAATATTAAATGATGAATTAGTGCCTTGTTTAGTGAATTTAGAAAAAAATATCATTTATTTTTGCTCAAAGGAACAAATATTAAAATTATTAGAAAATTAAATAAATTAAATTAATTATAATTTTGAACAAGCCAAGAAAGACATTAAATCTTTTGATTCAGGATTAATTAACTTTAAAACTCAATTAAGTATCATTAGTGAAATAAACGATTCAAAGATTAGCTCATTTTTATGTGGATAAGATAATGAAGATAATTATAGTTAAATTGGTAAAGTAGTTTAAAAGTAATTCATGGATTTAGAACAATATCTTAACTTAGATCCTCCTTAAAATTAATAAATAAAGCACTTCCTAAATCCAATATAATAAATACATTATAAAGCATACTATTAAATAAGGAAAGCTTGTAAATCAGAAGTTCTTTAATAAAATGTGAGAATAAGTGATTAAAAAATTCCAAGGTCTTTGCCCAATGTAATTTCTATTGTTTCTTAATGAGCATTTATGAGTATTAATAAATGTAACAATTTAATTAGAAATATTATTAAATAAGATAATATTGATATTATAATTCATAAATTTAGTCAAACTCATCATTTATATTTGAATTAATTGAGTTCCTTCATCAAAATATCTGTGTTTTTGCCTTCTGCCTAATATCTCTTAACCATCTAGAAAGCCCATTCATCAAATTCTTTGTCTTGATTATCTAATCTAGCTAAACACTTATCCCTTTCATCAAAATTTTTCATAATTTCTTAGGTTCTTTTTTGAGTTCGTTCATTTTCTTATTAGTGATGAAAGTCTTTTAATTCTTGATTTTTCTTTCTGATTTCCATTTTTTCTCTAAGTTCTTGTTCATGAAGTTCTTTATTTCTATTAATCCAATATTATTAAAATTCTTAATTCAATTTTTTCTCTTCTTCTTCTTATTATTATTTAATTTCCATTTTAACTTTGTGACTATAACTTATTGCACTTTATAATTTACGTCTTTACTCTTTTTTTATTTTTTCAACTTCTTCTGCTTTAATTTCAGCTTCAACGATATTTTTATTTAATAATTTTTCTTACTCTTCTTTTTATTTCTTTAATTTTTCAGTTTAAGCATCAATTAATTTTTATCTTTAGGCTTGCTTTTCTGCCTTCCTTTATTCATCTCTAATTTTCCTAATTTCTAAGACTCTTTCCTTTTTCTTAGCATGTTCTTCTATTTTTTTTTCTTCTTCTAACAATTTCTATTTTTCCAGTTCTCTTTGCTTCTTCAATACTTCATTGCCCTAAATTAGTAATTGTTGATTTTCCAAGATTTTATCTTTCTTCTGTTTAGCAATCCTTTGTTCTTCTTCCAAATCTGCCTGTACTTTAGCTTTCATTAATTCTCCTTCTATCTTTTCTTCTTGAACTTACTTAATAAATTTATCCTATTCTAAAATTAACACACATTACTCTCATAATATCATGCTATTTCTTAAGCATGTCATGTTGTTATTTTTTTTTCTCTAGTAATTCTTCCTATTTCTTCTTTTCTAATAAATCTTTTTCGGCCTATATTTCCAACATTTGTTCATACTGCACCTTTTCTCTTTCTTTCTCTAAGAGCTTCTGCATCTCTTTAATTTATTTTTATCCTTCTCTTTCTTAAAGTGCATCTACAACAAGCATTTTGGATTGAAACTGTCTAATACGTTCATTATTCTCATAGATTTATTTATTAGCTTTTTCTAAGATTTATTATTTGACAAGTGCCTAATATCTACGCTCATCTTCATCTATTTTTCTCCTTTCCTCCTCATCCTTCTTGAAACGTTCAAACCTTAAATGAGATTTACAAGTATGATTACTTGGTTCTGTCCTTCTAAACCTTGTTCTGTTTTAATGTGTTATTCCAATTCTTTACACGATCCTACGATAACTTATGCCTTTTGTGAACAGTTATTAATACAATTCAAATTTCTCAGGAGTATCTTGATGATATACTGTAATATGGTCTTGCATTCTCTTCAACTCTGATAGGGGAATCACTGCTGTGGTCTATTTACTTGAAGCTACTGCTGATTATACTCTCCGAACACTCATTATATATATTATTATAATCAATTATTTTATTAGCCAGATTCTTGCATATTTGAGTTAATTTAATAAAAGTAATCTCTTTCGTTGATACTTTCCTCTAGATCTTGTGGGAGCAAGGGATTCACTAAACTAAGATTGTTCATCTAAAATACATTCTTGTTCTTTAGAATTTCCTCTGAAAACCTCTTCTTGGACACTACTCTATGAAATGTAGGCAAAGAAGTTGAAGAATTCCCATAAGGATAGCATAGTCCAACTTATTGTACTTTGGATTCCTCCTATCTTAGAATTGAAGTTTATTTACTTCAACATTAAAGAAGGTCTCTAAGTCCATAATTGTGAATAAAAAAGAACAAAGGATTGTGATAATAGGATAAGCTAGCAATCGTTTAACAATTTTTTTGACTTCTACAAATATAATTTCATCAATGATTTCTTCATAACTAGATTATTATTTTATGGAATGCTTTACAATTTCTTTATGTTGTACAGAACTGTCATGCTGTAGATGAGATAAAATATTATCGGGATTTCCCATGCTATCAACTTAGTGATTTCAACCTAAATCTTTACTGCTGAAGTTTGATGAGAAGTTGTGTAAAGATAACAAAAATTATTTGTCTGCTATTCAGATGTAGCTCCATCCAAGACTGCTGGCCAAATAGCCAGGAGGATCGGAATCCCAAAAGAACAGAGTAACAGTTTAAACTCATTGTTTCTCAATTGATTGTGCATGTTTTCCAATTCTTATAGAGATCCCCTATTTGAATATACATTAAATAGTTTTCTTGTATAGAATGAGAAATCTACTTTAATGCCCAAATCATTATGGTGCTCCAAAATATCATTATCAATGAACCACAAATCAAAACACTAACTGATACTTTGCAGTTTGTCATTCCGTAGCTCGATGATAATTGAATGCCTATTATTTGAATCATTGATCCTATAGTAATGTAAATAATCGTGTGAGAGAAAAATCCCTGACGCAATTTCTCAAAATGGAAAAATAAGAAGAAAATCACCAAGGCTCCACATAATGATAAGCAATTCCCTATGGTAATTATGATCTCATAAGTTTACATTTTATTTTTATAATTAAACACTATTCTATTGATTAAACTTCAAATATATATTTTTTATGGATTAATCACTAAATGATGCTGAGGCCTTCCTCAAATAAAAAATCAAAATAAACCCACTCAAGGACCAGATGATATAAAACCAAAAGAATTACGAGATCTAACTCCAAGTAGCTCATTATTTCAAGAAATCTGATACTTATACAAAAAAATCAGCAATCAAATTAATGAGTATGATTTTATCACATATAATTATTCAGGCAATGAGAATGATGAATAACTAGTTTATTTCATATTTGGAGAACACATCCCAGATTAGAGTAAAAAGTAAGATTATGAATCCTTCAAAATTGATGTCATAGAAACAATGCATCCAAGAATAGATAGATTTTTTGTCATTGTCTTTTTCAATACGAATATGATGACCGCATCAACACTCAATGATTTCAAAGACTTCTATGGGACACTTCCTGAAAAATACTTTTTTCATATGAAGAAATTTATAGTTCTCCATGCCAATTTTATAGTCAAAGGCGGAGGTATTTTTGGAATGAATGAAATCAAATCGTTTTTTAAGAAAATTACTACCTTTGCTGATACGTATTATTATATATTCTATCCAGGCTCTTAATCCTATCTAAAGAAGAATGGTTTAGATACAAAATGTTAGCTGCATTACCAGAAAGTGTTAAGGCATACGATTAATCCTATAAAGACATTGAAAATCAAAGAAAAAAAACTGTTCTCAGAAAACAGTAAACCTAATAAGCAGTTGGAGATGATGATATTGATTCAGATGATAATTTTGATAAAGATTCTAAAATTTTAGGATTGAATTTGCATGAATATGAGAGAAACAAATTTGGTATTCCAGTCATCCTCGATATGCTTGTTTAATACTTTGAAAAATAACCAGAGAAACTCTAAACAGAAGGAATATTCAGAAAATAAGCTGCTGTTTATGAAGAAAAAGTAGTTGAGGCAGCTTTAGCTTGTTAAAAAGTAGGGTTTCTGAATAAAGTTGAAAATGCTCATACCATAGCATGTGTTTTTAAACAGTTTTTCTTAAAATTGAAAGAACCTCTTATGACTTATCAATTATATGACTGGGTTGTTCAGAATAAACCATAAATTGAATAAGATTTGGAAGTTAGTGTGCAAATGCTTTTTGATTACATGCCTGAGATGAATAGAGAAATATTACTGTTCTCCTTAGGATTCCTATATTCTGTCATCAGAGAACAAGAACATAATTTAATGACTGCCTATAATATGGCTGTTGTATTTGGTCCCAACTTTTTTAGATCAGAAGTAGTAAAAATGGCTGATTTAGGCCATGTTACGTAAAAATTTAAATAAATTTAGACTTTTTGTCTAAATAGTCCAGATTATGTTAGAATAGAAAAAAGATTATGATTATAAAAAGATGTTAGAAAAAAGAAGCGATAATTTAAACTTTGATGCATCTTTGGTTCCCTTTTTGCCGGATGATTTAGCCAATTTAGATGATATATTAGACATGGTCTCTGGTAAATATTGCATACTAAGACAATAGACAAAAATGTAGTAAACGAAACTGAGAGAAAAGAATTAAAGGCTAGATATAAATGATTTGAGTATATTGTTAAATCAAATTATTGTGATTTTAAGTTAGTTATAATTACTCATAAGGACTCTTCAAGTGTATGCAAAGTTGTAGAGGTTAACTATTTCTTCTTAATATCTAATATCTAATTTCCAAATATTTTTGATTCATTTTTATATCTAGTTAGTCTAAATTATTTATATGGTTAATTTGTCATGATCTGATTTCTTTGAGTGCGTGCAGATTAATATAAGGATGGTAATCTATTATTGCATGATCGATTAATTCTCGCCTCTTTTTGTAAAATTTGGGAGATTAGTACATTATTTCTAGAAATACCCTTATTTCCATTCATTTTTAAATGAATATTTTTTATTTTATTAATGAATCCTCTACTTGACAATTTTAGACAAGAACATAAAAATTTGAAGTCATTTAAAGAACTGATTAAATTAGAAAGTAAGGCGTTGAAATAGTTTCTAAGTGAAACAATCTAATTATCCATAAAATACAATTCTTCATTATTTGATGGTTTTCATTATTTTCTGTCTAAATTTTAATCTGATCTTTAAAATCAGTATATATTATTGAAATAACTTGAGAAATACTTCTAGAAAATCAAACAAGATGTAAATTCTCATTATATTTATAAAAGGCGCAAACCTGCTTTAAAAATTTACTTGAATTTGATAATAAAGAATTCGACGAGATCGATATCGACACCAACAATGATATGCCAAAGTAATAGAATTACTCAATGATTCTAATAGATGATGTTATAAAAAAAAAGAAATGCTTGAGGAAAAAGACAAGTTAAATGATAGAAATATTCACAGGAAAACATAATTTTACGCTGTTTAATTATCAGAAGTCAAATAATCAAGAAAATACTTTATTTTCAGAAGAAATGAATATGGGTACAAATTCTGAAGCTACCATTTTATCAAATATTATTGAATCAATTATCTTGGACGAAAATGAATCAATTTTAGATGGTGGTTCCAGTTTTGAAAAATAGCTATTGAAAGATGGGTAATTTCATTAGATCTTGTGCGAACCTAAGAAATAGTTTTGATTTATTACTTTATTAGATTATTATGATTACAAATATTGAATATGTAATTTTAGTTACTAAATAAAATTGTAATTTATTTGTTCCTTTTATATTTATTATCAAATGAGGGCAAGTACAAAAATATCCTCCAAAAGGGTCACATTAACATCCGAATTAGCAAATCGTTCATTATCCTTAGCCTAAATCTATCATGGTATTATTGTTGCAATAATTGTTAAGTTGGTAAAGGTAAGAGAGAGAGAGCTGATTTCTTAAAGGATTCAAATAAGTTGAAGTTCTCTTTGCAGACATAAGCTTTCAAGAATTCATCGCATCCATCTAATATTTTTGATGATAGGTAGATTGTGAATAATAATTTAATTAAGGGGATCTGACTAGAGTGATGATTCATTTTATTTAAGCAGTGAAAATATCTCAGAAGATTCTATTCTTTCGGTTCATGTAGTTGATAAATACAATAAAAATGATGAGGGTTCTTCTTTTAAGTAGTCAAATAATAGTTAAAGTAAACAAGAAATCGATCAGCACAAAAGCCAAATTTAAATGGATGGGATAAATTATAAATAAAATAAAAATGAAGGAGAAGCCTAATTGTAAAAGATTATAAAAAAATATTAAAAGTAAATGTAAAGAAATCCTTTGTAAGATCCATATTATGTTCAATTAAAAATATTGAGAGGCTATGAAAGACTTAAATTCGAATTAACAGTATGAATTCTAACTTAATTAGCGCTATCACGACAAAAATAGATTTTTATAAATGAGAAAAAGGATAGTATTTATATTTTACATTTTTCCAATAATAATAAAGGGATTAGTAAAATCGATCTATTTTAAATTGTTTATGACAACATTGATCATCTTCAACGTTGCCTTATTCATATATGTTAAGACCAACAATAGAAAAGACACAGATCAAATTGAACAAGTGATAACAGTGTTCTTTTTGATTGAGGTAAGCTTTAGAATTATTGCCTCAGGAGTAATTTTGAATAGAAAAAGCTTTTTTAGAAGTCCATTGAACATATACGATTTTACATTAGTTGTTCTAACAACCTTAAATTTATACAGACCTGATGTAATAATCCTAGATCTATCTCCATTAAGAATGATCACTTTATTAAATTACTTGGGAAATGTATTGAAAGGACTATCAGTAATGCTTAAGGCATTGATATCATCTTTGAAGTTCCTTTTAGAAGCCTTGATAATAGTGGGTTTATTTTCATTATTTTTTGGGATATTTGGAGTGCTACTCTTTTAGAACTTATTTAATTACAGATGTTAATTTGAGAATGGAGATGAAACTGAAGGGTGGATCCAATGCAATGAGAATTAGTGTCCGGAAGGTATGAGTTGTTCATATTCTGACTACACACCAAAACCACCAACTTCATTTAATAATATCATTTATTCAGTAGGACAGATTTTAAGAACAATAACTATGGATGATTGGAGTTGGGTGATGTTTTTCACTATGAGAATATTCAATCCTTGGATATGGATCTATTATTTGTTGATCATTTTTGTGGGTGGATTCTTTGGATTCAATTTAGTTATTGCTGTTTTAAAAACTCATTATGCAGAAGTAGCATAAGAAACTGTATAGGAGGAAATTAAGTAATAAATGATGGCCAGGCTAAAGGAGAAGTAGGAAAATCCAGAGAGAGATTTGATTTAGATCTTTGATGTAGCTGTTTTAAAGCATATTGGAATTTATAAGGCTTTCTTGAGTTATAAAAAACAATTGACTAATCCATTGTATCAATCATAATCTCATCCCATTGAGGAATTGAGCTAGGAAAATATTAAAACAAAAGTAAGGACCTTATCTGGTAGATAGAGGACAAATGAGAAAGTATTATTATTAATTATTATTTAAGAATAGAAATCAGAAAGGATTTTAAGCCTATCTGGATCAATTTAGTTTGAAATATTTATTATTGCCTAGATTTAAATATTTGGATAAATTCAAACAAATGATTAAAGTATCCAATTACACTGATGATCCTTTGGAAATGAAATTAATATCTAGATTATTGGAGAATCAGTTCTCTTAGCTCTCTCCATATCCAAATTATGATTTATTTCAAAATTTTAATAGTGAAGATGATGTTTTGTTAGCTTTCATGTAAATTTCATATTTCATTTAAGTGAAAAAGAAAAACAAAGGAAAATCGTTGATTAAAATTAATTGATCAAATAATGCAGATAGATTAAATTTAAACAAGTTTATTCCCTAACAAAGGTGCCAAAGTAAACCATGATTTCATCAAAAGCTTTAATTCCAATTAAATCAGCTCGGAGAAAAATAAAAACTTCTTAAATCGATTAGACGAATGATGAGATTGCATTAAAACATCTTAATGTAAATAGAGAAGCATCCATTTAAGTAAAGATGAATAATTTTAAACATTGTTAAACCCAAAGTAGTTTTCCTTTCTCAGTAGTGAGTAAGAAGAAAATTTATGTTATGATACAAGAATAATATATTGATTATGAAGCATTATGTGAAAAAATTAATACCAAAATACCAACAATGATAGATAATTCTACTTCTAATGAATTTAAATATAGACTATTAAGAATGAAGGAATTAAAAAAGCGAATGATAGAAAAAAAGAATTGGTCAGGAAGTGATGTATTATTGTTAGATATTTTGAGGGCAAATGAATTTAATGAAATAAAATAAAAATTGAATTATCAAGATTAGCAAATTTGGTTGACTGGATTAAAAGGAAAGATTACTACTGCAAAGAAATATTGTTATATTTTAATAAGTAGTAGGTTTAGTTAATTCTTTTTTGATTTGATAATCTTATTCAATTTTACTTTTTTATCCTTATAAGGGATAGTAAATCCTGGATTGATATCAAACATAGAAGATATCACAACCATTCTACTATGTTTTGAATAATCATTAAAATTATTCTCTTATCCATATAGAGAGTTACTCAATTATCCAAGTTAAGTTCTTTAGTTGTTCATCATAATTTTGAATTTTATTGAACTTACTCTAGGCGATTAAATAACTAATTCAAATTTGTAAACTTAAAAATTGATTAGAGGAACAAAATGTCTTTTATTCTATAGATGTTTAAGATACAATAAAATGGCTAGTAAGATAGGACAAATTGCATCAAAAACGTTTGAATCTTACATTTATTTGACAGTTTTAATGTTAATGGTTATTTTCATATATGCATTGATAGGAATGGAAATGTATGCAGGTTAATTTAATTAATTAGATACTTTGGGATAGTTACATTCCTTTGATAATATCTTGAAATCATTTATGACAATTTTCAATATTATGACAAATGATGATTGGTATGGAGTCTACGTGATGGGAGGCAATATTAATTATACATTTTCAGTCATTTATTCATATTCTATGGTCATCATACTAAATTATTGTACATATGGATTAGTTTTTGCTATATTGTTAGATGGATTTGGGAAGTATCTAGGGAATTAAGAGGAAGAAATTATGGAAAAAGACGAATTGTAAAATCAATAAATAAGTGCCAATTCTGAATAGCACGAAATTACATATGATGAAACTATTGCTAATACAAATTAATTGCAATCCAAAACTCAGAAGATTAGTTTGATATCTCACTTACTTGTATCGATTAAATCATCTTATAAAAGTATTCAAACAAAGCATTAGTCTATTTATGAAGGAATTGAATGTCAATAGTCACTTTATCTCTTCGATTAATCCAATATATTAAGAATTGTAATTACTAAATTAGTCATTAAAATCTATTATCAATATTTCATAGATTTTGTGATCTACAGTTCTATCATAATATTTATTATCAAGACATATAATGATTTCGAAACAAATTCATCCGATATGCCAGATAAATTGCAATTTATTGCAAATATTATTATATTGACTGATTTCATTTTAAATGTAATTGCTAAAGGCCTAGTTTTAGATGCTGGCTCATTTTTAACAAATACTTGGCAACTTATAGATGTTATCTATATAATAGCAAATCTTATACAATATTAATTAAATAATCAAATTATAAAGGTTTTGTTATTTATGGGATACTTTCGACCAATGAAATTAATGTACAGGATTAAGTGGTTATCATAATTAAGGGCAGCATTGGGCTAAGCTCTGTTGGACATCTTAAATGTATTTATTACTCTTTTATCTGTTTGGTTAATATTTGGTGTTTATGGTATCATATTTTATGAAAAGCAATTTGGATATTGCGAAGATAAAATGTCGTTTTATGTATCCTATGATGATTGCATTGAATCTAATAAAACATGGGTGAATTATAAACATAATTTTGACAATATCACAGTTGCAATTCCAACATTGTTCACAATATCAACTTTTGATGGATGGGGAGAGATTTTATAAGTAGCTGAGAATAGTTAAACTTCAAATACTGGACCGATTCCATTCAATAGTTATTTGTATACTTACTTGTATTTAATAATCTTTTGTTTTATTGGATCTATGTTCTTTTTGAGTTTATTTACAGGGATTCTTTTCAATAGTTTGAAAGAAAACTAATTCAAAATGGAAAATAGCCAGTATACTCAAGTTTAAAGGGAATTTATGAAAATTACTAATATCTTGATGTCAGACTTTCCATTATATTCTGCACCTCCAAAGAGCAGAGTTAGAAAGGTTTCCAGTAAGGTTGTAAACAACACCCATATTCAATATTTTATTTATGGTTGCTTAATATTAGATTTAATAATTTTATTACTATTCAATTCAGAAATGAGTGATAACTATTTTGACATTGCCAATTCTATGCATTATTCACTTACTATCTTATACTTAATTTGGATAATATTATTATTTTTGGCTTTAGGTGTCAATAGATATTTTGATAATTATTGGAGAAGGTTCTATCTATTCTTAGTTGTAATTGGATTAGTAGATCTAATAGCTAATTCTATAACAAATTGGACTCATCTATATTTCAGATCACATCCTGGGAATGATTATTATCAATTATTCAGGTTGTTCTTCAGTCTTAGAAGTTTAAGAATTATCTTAATCTTTCAAGGTTTAATAAGTATCCAAAGATTACTCAGAGTGATGGTATTTGCAATGCCTTATTTGGTGAAGATTTTTACAATCCTTATTATTACAATGGTCATTTTTGCCCTTTTTGGTTGTTAACTTTATGGTAGGATAGATTCAGGATAAGTGATGGACGATATCATTAACTTTACTAATTTTGGGAATGCCATGTTAGCTTTATTTAAATGTGCTTCAGGTGATGATTGGAGAACAATAATGACTGATACTATGTAGCATAATCCATTATGTCAGGAAGATGACAAATATTGTGGATCTGCTGCCAATTAATTATTTTTTATACTCTTTATGTTATTGTCCAATTATGTTCTATTAAATTTATTTGTTTTAGGATTGATAGAGTAATTTGAATAGTTTTTTCAAATGCAGAATTCACAAATTCAAACTTATGTTGAGAACATCGACAAAATCAAAAATATATGGTGCAAGTATTCTCAAGAAACTTAAGGTTTGTCTATGCATTTTAAATTCCTCTGTAAATTTTTAATTGATATTGGATAACCTTTGGGAGTAGATAAGGATTCTAATTTATGGGATGCTTGTAAATTATCCTCATAACTTAAATTATAAAGGTATTGTGTAATTTATAGCTAGTGACATCCATGGGTACATTCAATATAATTTCTTGATGTATGAATTATTTAGGAGATGCTTTTATAATGAAGTGTTTAAATCCGGAAGCCAAGAGTCTATTGAACAGATAAAGAAGTTTAATAAGGAGTCATAATTTAGATTAATGTATTATAGAAAAAATAAAAATCTACCTCGTTCCAATATTAGTCCTTCAGCTACAATTCAGCCTAACATCAATCTTCTTCACGATTATTTAAATGTTTTAATCTTATTTAAAACATGGGAATAATTCAGCTAATAACTAATTGAGAAGGTGAATTAGGATCAAGATTATTTTACTGATTAAAGTGTTACAATGCCTGGAAAAATACAAAATGAGTAAGAAACATCTCCCCTATTTTAGTTATCAGCAAAGCTAGAATCACATTTTATAAAATAATTAGGAAAGTGAGTTGGAAAATGAAATTATTAGTAATGCATCTGTCAGCAGACATAGTGTATCCATTAACAGTCAGATTAATAGATATAATGATTTACCTATCTACAAGGGTAGCTATGATACATCGTTGTAGAGTGAGAACAGAGATTTCCCCTATTTCATCAAAGTCAATAAGCAAAACGAATTGGATGAATGATAATCATTTATTTGTTTTTAAGTAATCCTTTTAGAATATATTTATTCTAAAATATCATTAATTCTATTTGAATGTGCATCAAACTACTTACAAGCAATACTGCCGATAAGCCATCATTAATAATTAAATATTTTGTTGAAAGGAATTATCATATTTTAAGAAACTTGTCTAAATATATCAAAAATATAATAAATATAAGATTTCTATAGCTTCCTCAGAATACATTTTATTAAAGGGGTTTTAATAAAATTTAAGGAGTATTAATACATTTTCTAAAATACTTTGGAACATAATAATTTTTCACTATTTATATTATATGAATAATGAAGATTTGGAGCGAATAACATTCTCAAAGTAATTTCGATCTAATTACATAGTCAAACATCAATTTAAGGAACTGCTCATTTCAGGAGCAGACTTGGAAATGATAAATTTGAAAATATTAAATTGAACAAGCAATTAAAAAGTTAAAGCTTTAACACTTATGGAAGTGGTACACCGAAAGCAAGGAAGACAAAAAAAACTAAAACAAATATTATTTTAAGGAATGAAGAAAATGTATTTGGAAGCAGATTTGATAATGATAATTTATCAAGAAAGGATATCTCTTCTGTTAAGATGACATTTGGTGCCAAATCTGATAAAGTTAAGTAGGACAGCACTAAATAGGTATTTGATGGTATGAGTTTAGATAATTTAATAAATAAATGAAAAAGTATCGAAGCAGAAATACAAGTTTGCGTAGGAGAAAATGAAATGTAGAACTGAGAAGACCATCAACAATAGTGATAATTAATTCTATAAGATGAACAAAAAGTACGAAAAAATTAAGCAAAGAATTGAATAAATTTATTTAGTTGATTTATATAAAATATATGGATATCAAAGGTTGAAATATGAATTGAATGTAATTTATTATTTAAATAGATTTATCAAGATAATTATAGTTTTTTGGAACTTAGAAAAATCATAGTCAAATTTATCTATGGAATCCTAATTATTTTAAATCACATGCAAAGAACCATATTTTACAAAATATTTATGTCAATCGTAATATTGGTCAATCTAGTGATTTTTGTATCTAAAATCTTATCCTTAGATGATGATAAGTTTGTAGTTTACGAAATAAGTATAATTATATAATGAAAATTAGTGGTAATTTATATCTACATTGTTGATTAATTATTCCGAATAATCTCAAAAGGAATAATAGGGCACAAACATGCATATTTCAGAGTTGTTAAAAACTGGTTTGACTTAATTCTAACAGTCCTATAAATTAACACTACATTAATTCGTAATATAGAATCCGTAGATTTTTCGCCATTAAGATTAATTACATTACTTTTGTATTTGGGAGATTTTGTACCAGGTATTTATACTTTCAAATTAGGGTTGAAAATCATGTTGAAATCCCTTGGTAAATCATTTAAATACCTGATCGAAGCTCTAATCATTGTGATTGTTTTTGGACTATTTTTTGCAACCCTCGGCTAGAGTCTTTTTCATGGTCTTATAAATTATCGTTGTCTACCAAGATAATATGATACTTTAGACAATTAACCCTGGATTTCATGTAGGATCACTTCCTGCCCTGATGATTTAGTTTGTCAATACGTTTAATCAGGACCAAATATTCCAACTTCTTTTAATAATATTTTTTCATCGTATGCTTAGGTCTTAAGAACAATTACAATGGATGATTGGACTTGGGTTATGTATTTTACCCTCAAAAGCTATGGTACTTATATCTGGGTGTATTATCTATTGATCATCTTTTTTGGTGGTTTCTTTGGCTTTAATTTAGTCATTGCTGTTTTAAAAATTCATTACAGTTAGTAAACAAATCAAAAATTAAATCAACTTGAAGAAGATGATTAGCATCAATAAGAGGAGAAATTAAATTTGCAGGTCCTCAAACAAAATGGATTGTATCACCCTATTTTACAATATAAACTGTATTTGAAAGGGGACCACTAATTATTACATAAAAGTTTCTGTTCATTGGGCTCTAGTTTGTCAGAACAACCTCGTATACTATCAGGAAAACACTATTCAAAATATGATAACAATTATCAGTTTTTAAAGTAATTTTCATTGAAGACTTTATTGCTACCTAAATTCTTGGATATTAGAAAATATTAGAATTTGCTTTAGGATTTGTATGACAATTTAATGGAGAAGCCTGATATAAATATGCAGTGTTTGACTCATAACGAATTTACAAGATATTGGGCAAATGCAAAGAATGTGGGATACATTTCAAATAGTGCCTCTGATGTTATGCATATTAAATCAGAAATCAGTTAGAAGATGTTAGCTTAGCAAAGAGTTTTGTAGTTTAGATATCATACTAAACCAAGAAATCATATGTAAAACTAAAAAGAGTTCAAAGTATTTCCCATATTTAAGAGCTCAAGACTAAAAGATAAAATTGCATCATTTGCTTCTAGCGGGATTACATTAATGGATATTCATCATCATCAATCTCGGGCCACTTCCCAATTACAAACTATGTCCATCCATCCTAATAATAATTTATTTGTTTCAACTTAAATTAAGAAGAATACGAATACATTTATTTTGCATAAAGAGAAAGAAATCTATGTCAAAATATATGGATTCTATCATAATTATAAAGCAGTCTCAGAGTTGATCAACAAGAAAATACAAATTAGAATTGCAGATGAGATAAAAGATTATGAAGAGAAATATTTATAGATAAGAATGTCAGAAATGCAGACCGGAATTATTGAGTCCAAAAACTGTTCCATCTCTAGTGTTATTAATAATTATGAACATAAAAATATTATAAAGCATTCGTTAAACCATGTTGACTATTTGATTTGGTTGTTGGGAATAAGAGGAAAAATTATAATTATTAGGAAGATTACATTTATTATTATTACTAATAAATTTACCAATTTCTTTGTAGATTGTGTAATTTTAATAAACTTTTTATGCTTAAGTTTGATAGGCATTATATCTAATCAATTTCTTACAGTTATAGAAGATTTCACAACAATAGTAGTTTCGCTCGAACTTGTTTTAAAGTTAATCTCTTTTTAAACATGTATTAATTATGTTTATGTTTATAATAGCAAGATTAATTTAAAAAGACTAACTAATTTTCGAATCTATTATCATTTTAATTAATTTCAGTGAAATGTCATTTAGACAGGTTTTGAACTAATAAGATATTATTGCTCGATTACTAAGAGGCACAAAAATTCTATTATTTCATAGATGTTTAAAATATATTAGAATGGCAGTGCTAATAGGTCTGATAGCAAAAAGAACATTTAAATAATATATCTATTTGACCTTTTTAATGTTTTTAATGATTCTTATTTATGGTTTATTGGGCATGGCTGTTTATGCAAGTAGCTTTGATGAAACAACTTTGCTTGGACATTTGCATTCCTATAAGGACCCTTTAAAGTCTTGGATGACTGTGTTTAATATTATGACAAATGATGATTGGTATGGTGTACTAGCATTAGGAACAAAAGCTAATTAAGTATTTGCATTTATCTACTCATTTTCAATGATTCATTTTTTAAATTACATTACTTATGGTTTGGTGATGGCCATATTATTGGATGGCTTTGGAGAGTATCTGATAGAGATTAAGAAAGATTAAGATATTAGGTTCAAGGATGGAGTGTCAGAGAAACATGATTCAGACTCTGACGCTGAAGAGAATGATAAAGAAAAGGAGAAAGCTACCAAATCACTTAAATAATTAGCTTAAAACCAATAAGTCTAGAAGGATACTTAATATTGGTATCTTTTAGAATCGATATGTAATATTTGATATAAACATTAATAGAATAATTAGTGAAATAGATAAAAACTAAGAGAAGAAAGATTTACTTAGGAATTAAGTGCAAGGAATCCTTATTTTGTTTTGACAAGTTTAATAAATAGAGAATACTCTGTGTAAAGACTATTAGATCGGAAATCTTCTATTGGAGCAGATTGGGATTAAATATAGGATTTATCGTTTTGCTTGCAATATAAACATATCAAGTGGAGTATATGGTTATCGTTGACTCTTTGATTTTGATTACTAATCTATTAATAACCGTGTAGACAATTATGTTAATCATAGCATTGGGCTTAATTCATGAGAAAGGAACTTATATACAAGTATTGATAATTATATCTTTAGCATGTTTGGTAGATCACAGACATAATGTATTTAGTATGTTATTATCTTTAATTGATTAATACTGAAAGTAGAATATTACATTTATTTTTGTATTTAAGATATTTAAGACCATTTAAATTACTGTATTCGTTTAAACCAATAGTTAAATTGTATAATTCTTTAGTGGCTGCCTTATATAATATGAGTAATGTATTGATAACACTATTAATAATTTGGACAATGTTTGCAGTCTATGGTATGATACTATATTAAAATAAATTTGGATTCTGTGATGACTTGATGTAGTTTGAAATCAATAAATAATAATGTGAAGATGAAGGCAGAAGATGGATTACTTATTAGCATAATTTTGATAATATCACCGTTGCTTTACCTACATTGTTTGTGATATCTACATTTGATGGTTGGGGAGAGATCTTACAAGTAGCTGAAAATTCAAGACCTTCATATTAAGGTCCATTTCCATTTGCAAATCAATTGCCCACTTATATCTATTTGACTCTGTTCTGCTTTATAGGTTCAATGTTTTTCTTAAGTTTATTTACTGGTTTATTGTTCCTAAATTTAAAAGCAAGTTAATAGAAAATAGAGTATGATGATTTAACAGTCTATCAATAAGAGTTCATACAGATCTCGCAAAAAATCCTGAGGGATTCTCCTTCATTTTCCTAGCCTCCCCGAAACATCATTAGAAGAATAGCTTAAAAATTAAATAGTAATTCCTATTTCTAATATTTATCATTTCTTATACTAATACTAGATACAATAATTTAAATGTCATTTTATTAGGATATGGATGTTGAGGTTGCATTAGAATTGAACAAGTTCCATGAGATAATATCGGTCCTATTTACTTTTTGGGTCATAGTGTAACTATTAGATTATGGATTTAAGAGATTTATAGATGATTAATGGAGATTATTCTATTCATTCATAGTTATAATTTCGATGTTTGAATTGATTGCTACTTAAAAATATGATCTATTTAAAATTCAATTTACATCAACAATGTTCACTGAGAATTACCAGATTATACGATTACTGTTTGCTTTAAGGAATCTTAGAATTCTGATATTATTTAAAGGATTTGATGATCTCTAGAGATTAATCAGAGTAATGATTTTCTCATTTCCATTTTTGGGAAAGATATTATTTATTTTGATTGTAACTACACTATCATATGCTTTGTTAGGATGCTAACTATTTGGGCATATAGATAAAGGAGTCATTATAGATTCTCAGATTAATTTTTCAACTTTTACAAGTTCTCTATTGACATTATTGAAGTGTGGATCTTGTGATAATTTTAGAAGTATAATGACAGACACAATGATCCATAATATATACTGTTATGATGACCCTCGTTATTGTGGGTCATAATTTGCATAAATCTACTTCATTTCCTTTGTTTTCATATCAAACTATGTGCTTTTAAATTTATTTGTCTTGGGATTGATAGAACAATTCGAGAAATTCTTCCAATCTGAGAATTCTATACTTTAAGTATACATTGAATCAATTGATAAAATAAAAACTGTTTGGTGTAAATATTCATATCAAAGACATGGAAAAGCAATGCACTACTTATAGATTTGCAAGTTTCTGTTAGAAATTGGCTAGCCTTTCACTCATGTCAAAGATAACATTTGGGATGCAGCAAGATTGGCTGGATACTTAAAAATCAGGACTGATGATCAAGGCTATATCTAATTTAATTCTTTAATTTATGAAATATTCAGAAGAACCTTCAAATAATAAGTGTTTAAATAGGGTTCTGAAGATTCCATTAAGATCATTAAAAAGTTCAATAAGGAGATGCAAATGAGACTCTTTTATTTTAGAAGAGACAAGTTGCAAAAACGATCTTTTATTGCCACATATGTGGAATTCAACAGTAATTTTAGTATTGCCAGTGACTATCTATCGATTTTGGTCATTTTCAAAGCTTGGTAAAACTATACTAAATAATTAATTAAAAGATCAAAACTCGAATAAGAGGATTTTTCTGATAATTCTTCTTTTGGACAAGAAGTATAGTAATTTATTTTATTTATCACATTAGAGATATTGACATATTCTCAAGAGTAGACGAGGAAGAAGAACAAAGTAAGGAAAATCTAACTAGAAAGATCCCCTCGAATCCAATTAAATCTAATCAATGTTTAACATTTGAGAGTGATAACAACCTCAATTTTAAATAACTGGATTTACCTGTTTACAATGATAACGAACATTATTTAACTCCAAAAAGAGATGTTTCCAAAATGACTTCTAATCTGCTTCAATAATTGCAAAAACGAACCATCATTAAACCTAAAAAAGATTCCACTACTCCCTCTTCTATAATCAAATAACCTACAAAGTTAGCAAGATATCCAGCTGACATAATATTTAATCCACAAAGCAATCAAAGTAATTTCAACTAAAGTGCGAATAACTCTTTTAGATCATTTATATCGCATACAGAATCATCATTATCTTCAATTGATGGAATACCTGGGATGATAATCTGATTATATTCCTATATTTATTTATGATTAATAATTAAAATGAAATAGAGATTAGTAACTTAAACTGATGAAGGATCTCAAGAAAATCCAATTCAAAAGTCCAATTCACTATAAACCCAATTTTAAATAATCTAAGTTGTAGGCAACGGAACATTTGGTATGGTTTATTTGGTAATTAACTGAATAATTTCATATATAGGCTCTTGATACAAAAACTAATGAAAAAGTTGCTATAAAGAAAGTATTTCAAGATAGACGGTATAAAAATAGAGAACATCTCATAATATAAGAATTAAATCATCCTTGTATTGTCAAATTAAGATAGGCATTCTTCACATAGGGAGACAATTCTAAAAATGTAATTTATAAAATAAGGAGTTTAGGCAGACGATATATTTCTGAACTTAGTCATGGACTACATTCCTGAAACTTTAAGCAAATTCATTCGAAATTACAAAAAGAATAAAAACCCATTTCCTAATGTTTTACTTAAAATTTACAGTTATTAAATGTTAAGAGCATTAGCATATTTATAAGGTAATCTAAATAACTAAGAAATTAGGAATTGGAATCTGTCATCGAGATATTAAACCTTAAAATATTTTGGTTAATCCTAATAATCACGTATTAAAAATATGTGATTTTGGATCTGCAAAACGATTAGTCCCTGGAGAACCAAATGTTGCTTATATTTGCTCTAGATATTATAGAGCTCCTGAATTGATATTTGGAGCAACCGAATACACGACCTCTATTGATATATGGTCTATAGGTATTTATTAATGAATAACTTTAGGATGCGTCATTGTTGAAATGCTTACTGGTGAACCACTCTTTCCAGGAGAGTCAGCTACTGATCAACTGGTTGAGATAATCAAAATATTGGGTACTCCTACAATTGAATAAATTAAAAAAATGAATCCTCAGCATTAAGAATTTAAATTCCCTTAGATTAAATGTCATCCATGGGCTAAAGTAATTTACTAAAATATTTAAGGTGTTTGCTAAATTTAAACCAGAACCTTTATTTGTTGATTTTGTTAGTAAATTACTTGTGTACCCTCCAAAGGAAAGATTGAAACCTCTGGAAGCCTTACTTCATCCATATTTTGATGAAATTAGACAATAAGGATTTTCAATGCCAAATGTGCAATTGCCTAATTTCTTTGATTTCCAAAAAGGTAAATGATGATAGTAATATCGTAATAGAGGAACTTTAGATTCAACCTGAAATTGCTCATAAATTAATTCCCTCTTGGTTTAAGCAAAAATAGTGATTTTTTAATACATATTTTAATTCTATTCTAAATATATCAAAAATTTATGAAAATACAAATTCAAACCAATTTTCATTTCTCAAAGTGACAAATTCATTTTATGTACACCAGTTATTATCAATCTGTTACTACAGTTGCATAAATTGTAACAATAACTTCTAAATATATTAAAATTTTGGGGAATCTTAAGATGTGTAATTTCATCTCAATAATTTAACATTATAATAATAAATCAATTAATCTTTGTGAAAAATTTATTTAATTGAGGAACATCTTGTCTTCTTAATTGTTTCAATCCTAGAATCTTATCTAAATCAGTAGGGGCTGATTCATATTTCTTAGCATAATCAGGGAAATTCTCAACAAATTTTTCAATACTCATTTGAATCAGCTTTAAAATGGAATCACTCCTTGATAATGTCTTCTAAACAAAATTATTGAATGATTATTATGATTTGGATTCTTACTTTAATTTTGAAATTCTAACTAAATTTGTTTTCAATTCTGAAACATCCAACATCAATTAGGATAATCCAATCTAAAATTGAATATAATTGATAATATACTTCACTAATTTTTTTAATTCTGAATACTGAATTTATAAACTTATTGTTTAGATATACAACAAGTTTGTTCAAATAAAATATGAGATAGGACTCTGATAGTAGATCTTTTATTGTTTTGATGTGTCCTTCCAGAAAGGAAATGGTGTCTCTAATATATTTAGACGCATCTCCCATATTTTCGAATTCATTCCAGTCGATCTTTAGCATTTATTGATAAAACTAATCTATTTTAGAATCAACATAAACTAATAAAGTTTCAATTGATTTGTTCATCATCTAATTGAAATATTCCTCTTCGTTTGATAATTCAACTTGATCAGAAAAAGGGGAATCCAAATGTTAGACCAAACTCTCCTGTAATGCTGGAATAGTCTCTTTGCAATATTCTGCAGTATTAATCACAAAACAACATAAGATCTATGAGAGTTGTTCATTATTTCTGGATTAATTAATTTTGAATATAATTTCATCAGAATATCTCTTTAAAGCCTTCTTTATTAATTTTTAAATATCAAACATAACCTAGGTTCTACTGTATTGTGAAGCTCTTTTGAGCATTTATTTAAAGTAGGCAAACATACTCATAGACGAATTCAAAATTTTTAAGTCCCCTTCAACATCCAATTTATCTGAGTTTAAGATTGTTTAGATGTGTTGCATAATCTCTCTCTCTTCACTATCTATGTAGGGTCTTAGGTAGGGTTCAAAACTGTCAGAAATAGCTCCTTTAATTTTGGGTAATTCTGAAATGGCAAATTGATTAATATTCTTTTTGCCAAGCCATTCTTCATATCTTTTCTTCATTTCATCATTAAGTTTCTACTCAAATTTTAGAGTTGCTTGTAATGCTTTCATCAAAACAGCAACATCCAAATCTTTAAGAGTTTCCAAGATGTCAGTTATTTGGAGTCTAGTTACTGCACAAAATTCATAATAAATCTGACAATGTACTGCCCAATATTCTGGAAATACATTTTATGTTTTTGTATCAAAATCTTTAATGACTCTAGCCATCCAAGCATATCTTCTTTCTGTAGTTTCTAAACTTCTGTTTTCTATTTATTAAAATAATTCTTAATAAGGAGATATTATGTATTTGCATACTTTTTGAATCAACTCATCTCTGAATTTCAATCCCAAATGTTCAACTGTTTGACATGCGTCTTATAAATCTTTGACTTGCATTAAATTTGTGCCTTTTTAGAACAAGATGAAATCATCTATCAACTAGAGTTTTAGGTCCTTTATCAATTGTTCTTTTTCTCCATTTATTTCTAAAATTTATGGAATATTTTAAAATTTAACAAAGTATTATGATAATTCTGTGAATGCAGATAGAAGATTGGCTACTTCTGCATACTTTTTTTCTTTACAATGTTCTTTCAATTTCTCAATTGCTGTTAACATCATAATAAATTTTTTCAGAGCTGCAATTGAAAATGTTAGATTTCTTTTTGCAATGTCTAATGATTTTATGTCTTTGCACATTGAGTAAACTAAGTCTTCACTTTTTTCTGCTTTTTATTTGATCTCTTGAATTTCTGCAACAATTCCTTAGGAGAGTTATTCAACATCTTGGACATCTCTCCATATTTTATTTTACATGACTGCATGTTCATGGATGTCTTCTTATAATTCAGGATTAGAGTTGAGTAAGTTCAGATTGGAGCTTCTCAATTTCAGTATCTATGCCCACGAGTGATTATTCGTTGGGAAAGAGTGTATTAATATGGCTTAATACAATCAAAATTAGCAGAAATACGGATTCATACTTCAAATATTTTTAATTAAAAGAATTAAAAGATATGAAATACATCCTGACTGAGGAGCACGTTCCAATTCCTGAAAAGATTGAGATCACTTAGAAATCCAAGGTGGTTAAAGTCAAGGGTATCAAGTCATGTTATATCGTCTCTTAGGACCCAGAGGGGAATTAACCAAAAATTTCAGACATTCTGCTTTGGACATCCAAGTTTAAAAGAAAGTGAATAAGAAGAACAATGTTGCCAAATCTAGAGTCAGCGTTAGAATGTGGCAATCATACAGAAAATAAAGATGCCAAGTTAATTCAGTTGCCTCTCAAATTAGAAACATGATTAGAGGTGTTACCACAGGTTATAAATTCAAGATGGTCTTGGCATATGCTCACTTTCCAATCATTATCAACCTTATTGGTAATGGATAAGGCGTTGAAATCAAGAATTTCCTTGGAGAAAAGATCATCAGAACCATCAAATGCCTTCCAGGAGTGACCATCACCAGAAATGAAGCTGAAGAAAAGAGTAATAAAATCTTAATATACCCTCTATAGATGTCTTAACACTCTAAGGTAACGATTTGAATAACGTTTCACTCACCTGTGCACTTATTCATTAAGCTTGTGCTGTTAAGAACAAGGATATTAGATAATTCTTAGATGGAATCTATGTTAGCGAAAAGCGTTTAGAAATTTGATAAAATAATATATATAAGTACAATAAGATTATTGTTATGAATATAATTCAAATCCCTCCACTTTCATAACACTCATCTTCATCATCCTTCCACACTAGAAATATAATTTATTATTTGTTATGAGTAAGAATTATGATGATATTGAAAGCACTCTTCCTAAAACTGAAGAAAACGTACTTTGGAGTATTTCTAGGGCATGGAATAAGTCGAATAAATTTTATAAGGTATCAAATTTTATCATCCAAGAAATTTAAATTTAAAAAACATTTCGATTATTAAAATGAAATAGAATCCTTAAGCATTCTTCAATCATTATTTACTGCTGATGATAACTATCTTTTTGTTGTCAAATATATATTTTTATGAGAGCTGAAAGACAAGTTATTGAATAAGAATTACAAAATATTTAAAAGAAAAATTGTTGTTGGAATGAAATTTAATTAATATCATTATTTACATGAACATGCCATACTTTAAGCCTCGTTCATAAGCAAGTCAGAATTCTTTTATTAAACAATATCAAGACTTCCTATAAAAGAATAGAAAGAATACTGCATCCATCTTAGAACCAAAAAAACAATAAGCAAAATAATCATATTCTCCACTCTTTAAACAACCTAAATTAAGTTAAACAAAAGTTAAAAATTTAAGATTGCAAACTAGTCCCAGTCCTAAGAGAGCACATTGCTATTCTCTTAGTAGTAATCAATAAACTGAAAATTCCACCTAAATAGACAGATCTTTAAGTCAATATGAATTTGAAACAAAAGACAAATCTGTAGTTAGTAGTGCCAGTCTATTTTAGGAAACAACAAAATAATTAGAAGAAATTAAATAACAGACTCCTGAGTTACAATAAGGGATCGTTGGAATTTTGGGTTTAATTAAAAAGGAAAAATAAGTCATTTTAAATGACATGAAGCATATGACAAAGCAAATGAACAAATATAAATAACAATATGAGGAAATCTAAAAGCAATAAGAATAATTGTAGCACAAATTCAAAGTAGCCAAAGATGGCAATGAAATTCATGCTCGTTCTAAAGATAAAGTTAATGACACTTACCTTTAAATGATTTAATTGCTGAAAGGCCTTCAAGTTGAGTATAATGATGTCTTACCTGAATTAGAATTTAGTTTACAAAATCAAATTGAAGATGTAGATGAAGAAGTAAGAATACCAGATAAAGATGAGATTATAATCTTATAGAAATTAATCATTAAAAAGCTTGTCAAGAAAATTGAGGATTAAAAACAACTAAATTAATTACTCTAAACTAAAATCAAAGAATATGAAATTTGATTTTACTTTATATTATATATTTAATGTTTATTATAATACTATTCCAAATTATTACAACAACCTTTGCATTTCCAGATGTCACGCTCTCATTTGGATCTCTCAGACCAAAATAAAAAGATCCTGAAGAAAACCTGCCTGCTGTTGTTTATGAAAATAACCAAATGAATAGGTATTTCGATTATGATCAATTCCCATTATTATCCTGTTGTCCCACCAATCTAACTAAGTATAAAGTAGATACATTAAATCTTCATGGACATGGTAAGTAGAAATTTACATTACCCTTAATCATCACAAATAATCAAGACAAAACAATTGTTTTGAGATAATTAACAATAACAGACTATTTAGATTATTAAGACATCCCTGTTGCTCCTCAATTATCTTCTCTACCAATAATATAACCTCATTAAAGTTTTGTTGTCGACCTTATTCACAGTTGCGAAAGATAAGTTAATAACTCTAATTACTGGAGCATATAAAATGTATTTATTCGATTTCAAGACTTTTAAGGTTTGAATTTCTAATATTAATTCATATGTGATAGTGATTTTCATCCTAAAAGGTACTTAATTAATGTATAAATAGATTTGATTGGAGCAATGTCATCTTAATTACTTTTGACTCTGTTGCTATTATTATTTTAGCGACTTTCGGAAAAATTTACTCATTTCGCATAACTTTTGTGACTCCTGCTAAAAGAAAATAGTTTTAAGAGCAAAACATCTAAAATGTAGATCTAAGTCCTTTTTAAGGATTTTATTTATATTGGCCTTAAGCCTTGGTATACATGATGTTATTACTAATCGCTTTGTTTACTTCAATGAGTTATAAAGAAAAAGCAGAGCAAATCATAAAAATCTTAGTCTATATAATTTGCATTTTAACTTCATTCCATTTTTTTAATGAGATCTTTGGTAAATTTAGAAATACTCTTCCATTTTTAGCTTAAAAGATTTATTGCTTAAAAATTAGGGATTATTTCTCAATTATTTTATCAGCTCTGCTGCTATTCTTTTATCTTTATTATGAACAACCATGGTTTGTATGTATTATTTGATAACTACTCTTAGGTTAGTAATCTTTTATCAATTTGTATTTTAGGATCTTTGATCAAATTATTCAAAATAACATCCTTAAAACATGCCCTCTAATTTTTTGTACCCCTTATGATTGTTGATATATTTTGTTCCATTTATTTGAGTTAAACTGTCAGATATGAATGGGATAGTGTTGCATTGAGATATTTCAACACTCCATTATCAGCATAATTTCCTTATTTTCGATATATATACAAGAAAAAATGTGCATGGGTTTCTATTTTCAATTTGCTGTTTCCTGGTAATTTGTTAAACTACTTATTAGGTTTCTTTTTGGGTTATGTAAACAGATTTGACAAACATAAGTAAACATACGTCTACGAAATTATTGCCTTCTTTGGATTACTTTTAGGACTCCTTTTTTGGGTTCTAATTCAATATATTTTTTCATTTCCTCTTCCAACGTATCTAAAAATTAATATTAAAGTTCTATCTTCACAGAAGTGTTGATGATCCTAACTACCGCTTTGGTAGCAGTATAGAGAAATGAATTCAATATATTTTATTCAGGGAATTTCTATGATCAGATACTCATGGATCCATTCAAAAATGATATTGCCCTTTAAGAGCCTACAACAGTGGAAATGTTTGGATTAGGCACTACCACTTAAGTAATCAACTAGGACACTGTATAATAATAAGACCTAGTGACTAGAGGAGAATAAGGTTTAATATTTAATAATCAACTCTTTGCTGGACTGGCTTCCATTAATCGTTCTTAATAATAAAATGTTTTATAATCAAAACAATAAAGTCAATTTCAAAAATATTGAAAACGATGTTGTATTTTATTACAAATTACATTATATAAAATTTCATATAAATATAAATAAGAACACAATATTAAAATTATTAATTTTAATAAAATCCACTTTCTCCATTATATTAAATTTTAAAGCTTAATATTATTTGTAAGTATGAAGATCCCTGTTTGTCATAAGATTATTACTTTGAAATAATTTAAAAAGAAATTATCGGAATTAATGAAATTAGCACGAATTTATTAACTTTAAGATTTGATATCGTAAATATTTTTATTTATAGAGAGAAAAAAATAACTCTGAACAAGTTAAATTCTTAATAAATAAAAGCCCATTTTATTAAATATTTAATTCATACTTTTTCTAAGATCAATTTAATTAATAATATCAATGATGTAATTTCCCAAATTATTTTTGATTTTATAATATTCAACAATAATAATAATAATAATGAAGAGGAGTGAATAAATTAATAGTAATTTCTAGATCATATGATATTCTACTAGAAGCAATCTCTATAAGAGAAGCACAAGAAGTTGAAAACCAACTGCTAAAATAAAATCATTGCTAAGTTTTAGGTTTTTTGAAGCATGAATAGAGATTATATCAAAGTGAAATTACAATTAACTTGAGTGAAAATTCTGAATTAATCTTTGTTAAAGAGGGAGAAGTTCTTTCAATGTAAGTACTCCAGTTCAACTCTAGTTAAAAATATATTGATCATAATACCATTTTGAATATTAGTCCTAATTTTGAACAACTTAAGAGATTATTTTGGGTTGGATAGACCAATAAAAAGGGATAGAAGATTGGGAAATGGAATGCATTTTGGAGAGGTGAGAACCTTAATGTTGGAGGGTGTTACTATGATAACGGAGAAAAATATGGAAAATGGATTGAATTATTTGAGAATTATTGGGAGTAATTATCACGCAAAATATAAGTAAAGCCTAAGTCACATACTAAGGCTATTATGAAAATAATAAGAAACAAGGGTATTGGAAAATTCTTTCTAGTGACACAGAAATGTAAATTAGAATTAAAAATATTAAATTAGTGGGGGTGGAGAGTATGAAGATGGGGAAAAAACTGGATATTGGGTTGATATTTACGAAAATTATAGTAGGTTGGCAATCTTATTTATATCTTTTAGTTGGTGTAAGGTTACAGAGAGAGGGAAATATAAGAATGGGAAGAAAATAAAGGAATGGATTTAAATATATCAGAATAAAATAGTGTTTATTAAATTCTTTATAAATTAGAGGAGCTGGAACCTATAATGATGATTATGTTAAAGCAGGACAGTGGTCTGATTTGCATGAAAACTTTTATGAGTATATTAGAAACTAAAGAGTTTAGTTGGTGTCAAGTGACCCATGAAGGAAAGTATTAAAATGGGATAAAAAAAGGATAGTGGAAGACAATTTTTGAATAAAAAACGCTGTGAGAATTTTATTATAATCTTAGTGCATAAGTAAACTACAAAGAAGGAGGAATAAAGGATGGAGATTGGTGTGAGATTTATAACAACTTCTCTATGTAATAATTCTATTAATTTTTATAGAAATAATTAGACAAAATACATTTGCAAATATAAAGATGGGAAGCCATGCAAATAATTGCATATAATTGATAAAATCCATACTATGTATTATTTCAAATATAATAAATAAGTGGAGGTGGGACATTTAATGAAAATGGAATGAAAAATTGGAAATGGATAGAAATACACGAAAATTATTAAGAGTTATACATACATAAATAAAATATATTAGTTACGGTAAAGTGACTTATGAAGGAATATATAACAATGAAAGAAAAGAAGGAAAATGGCGCACTTATTATAATTACTTTTTAATGTAATTATTTTATTTGATTCAATATTTAGAGGTGGAGGGTGTTATTAATTTGGATTAAAGTTTGGCAATTGGATTGATTTACATGAACATTTTTAAGAGTAAATTCACAATTTATTCGAATAGTTCATGTTAGGTGAGTTTTAAAGGAGAGTACAAAAATGGAAAGAAAATTAAAAGGTGGGATACATTATATAAATAAGAAATAATGTAAATGAAAACTGTATTAATTCTTTAGAGGAGGAGGTTAATATGATGAAAATGAATACAAAATCGGAAGATGGATTACTTTAGATGAAAATTTTGGAAGGTAGAAAATATTAGTTTAATTTATCAGTCTTTGTTAGGTTACTTGGAATGGATAATACAGTAAAGGAATTAAATTTGGAAAATGGGAAATCTATTTTAAGAATTAAATTATGTATTTTGAAATCTATTAATATAAGTGGAGGCGGAATCTATGATTATAAGGGTACAAAATAGGGCCAATGGATTGAATTACATTCTCAGTTTTGGGAGTAAGAACCTCTTAATAATTAGCTAATAATGCATCAGATTTAGTGGAGAGTATTTTGATGGAAGAAAACAGGGATTTTGGGAGACATTGTAATAGAATAAAAGAATGTAGAATCAAATATTGTTAAATTTAGTGGAGGAGGAAAATATGATTTAGATGGCATGAAGTAAGGTAAATGGATTCAATTGCATCAAAAGTTTTTGAAGTACTTGATTTATGCTTAAGAAAGGAATAATCTATTTTTTATTGGGGATTATGTGGATTCTAGAAAATGTGGAAAATGGGATGCCCTATTGGATCAGAAATTAATGTTAGTTTAATTTACATATTAGAGGATGTGGTTTGTATGATGATAATGGATTTAAAATTGGAAATTGGATTGATTTACATGAGCCTTATATGAAGTAAGGAATAGTAATTGATCATAGCACTTGCATTAGTTATTTGGGGAAGTACAACAATGGAAGGAAAGAAGGAGAATGGAAGACCTTTATTTAATATCAGCAGATGTATAGGAGATTGATTATTCACATATAGCGGAGGAGGGCATTATGATGAAAATGGATAAAAAAGTGGAAAATGGATAGAATTGGATGGGAATTATAACCAAAATATATTAACTAGAGAGGCAGAATATCAAAATGGTATAAAGTAGTGAGGTTGTTTAATATAAATATATACAATTTTTGAGTTTTTTTAAATAGTATTGAGGTTTGAACAAATTTATATATAATTGGTATGAGTATTTGTTTAATAAATTAAAATAAATGGGAAACACCCAAGGGACACCAAGTGATTTGGACTCATTTAGGAAATATGCTGGACTAACAATTAAGCATGTTATGATGCTGAGGTACAAGTTGTATAATAGGAATAGGGAACGGCTGGAAATGTTATCGGAGGCGGATTTAAGTATAACAAAGGACGCATTTTCTTTGGCGATGAAGACAAAGGAGGAGGAGACTGAAAGGGTATAAGTAATATATATAATAAAGATATTTCGTATATTTGATTTGAGCAGTTCAGGTAAAATAGAAACATTAGAGTTTGTGTGTGCATTGTCATTGATGGCCTATGCAAATCTAAGGGTATGTAATAATGATGAGATAGGAAAAATGTGATTTAATGTTTGGGTTATATGACTTTGATCGAAATAGAACGATGAATAAATAGGAGTTGATCATATTGATAAAGACAGTTCTAACAACAGTGAATGCCATATCGTCGAAAGGAGAATGTTCAATATAAGAGGCAGTTGGGATAGCATAGGTCATTTTGGATCGTTATGACACAAATGGAGATGCTTCAATATCAGCAAAAGAGTTCTACAGTTTCGTTTCCAAAGATCCTGATATAGTGAAAATGTTATTAAGCTATGGATTAATATCAATACAGGATTTGAGATTCAATTTTGGTGAGCCTTAGAATAGTGAGTTGCCAGTGCCTGAGGCAGACAGTGATTTAGAAAATGAAATATATAAGAGCAGGATTATAAAGACAGCAGAGGATGAAGGAGTGGCTTTGGGATTAGAGACTTAGATGAAAGGGAATGGGATTGAATAGCTGGCTTGGTATTAGTAATTATCAAAGGATAATATGATTATGGATCCAGATGATCCTGAAGATGTAAATGGGAATCCACCGAATGCAACTTTGGAGATTGATCATGTCTATGGATTTAGATGTTTTGATACTAGAAACAACATCAAATATTCAACCGAGAATGAATTGTTGTATCACACAGGTAGTTTAGTGATCAAAGACGGAGAGAAGTAGGAATTCTTTATGGAACACACTGACGATGTGACATGCTTGGATGTATGGGAACATTTGGTGGCAACTGGATAGATGGGGTCAAAGCCATCCATATTTGTATGGGATTCAAGGTCAATGGAATTGAGAGCAGTATTTAGAGGAGTGTTAACAGTAGGAGTAAGCAATCTATGTATATCGAATGACGGAAGGAAGTTGGCAGCAGTGGGGATGGATGAAGATCAATGTGTTGTTGTGTATGATATAGAAAAAGGGTCTTAAACGAGAATGAATGGGAGGAAGGATGAGTCTTTGTTGGCTAATGGAAAAGGGCCTATTGTTGAGATATTTGATATCAAGTTTGAAAAATCTGATAAGTAGATTGTGATTGCATGTATGGGAGAAGTGAATTTTGTTACTTATGACAACAATGTATTAAGAGTAGTAAAGGGGATGTGGGATTCTAAATATTGTTCCTATTAAGCTATTTTATCGATTGGATTGTTGGAGAATGCGGTGGTGGTAGGATCATTTAAAGGATATTTGCTCTTATGGAGAGTGGGTAGAACTACAATGGCTATTCCTGATGCTCATAAGGGACCTATTACAACCATTCATACCTGTAGTAAGAAGATTATGATCTTGACTGGAGGAAAAGATGGTTAAATTGGATGGTGGGACCACAATCTGAAGAAGATTAGAGCTTTCAATCTCGCCAATTAGAAAGATATTTAATTAAACAATATCAAAATTACTGCTTTGTATGAGAATATGGATTAAACTGCTATTTTGATAGGAACGAGAGGAGGATAGATCTTGGAACTTAAAAACAGTGAATTGAAAGTAAGAGTAAATTCACATTTCGATGGCAAATTGGAAGCTTTAGTGTGTCATCCTACAAAAGATTTATTTTACACTTCTGGTGAGGATCAGATGTTGATGTTATGGGATCTGAGTACTAAAGAATTGAAGGAAAAGAAGAAATTTGATTATTGTATTAAGACTTTAGATGTCAATGATAAGTATTTGGTTGGTGGATGTGGCAATGGTAATGTTCTACTATTGGAGCCTTACAAATTAACACTTTTGTAAGATTTCAAAGACAGAGATAGTGAAATCACGTGTATTAGAATTGTGGATGAATATTTAATTGCATTTTACTCATCACCATATTATGAATTCTTTGTTTATAGTATCAGGTAGAAGTTTAAGAAATTGTTATCCATTCCAGGCAGACCTGGTAATTGCACATCTATTGATTATTCAATGACCAAAAGGATTTTAGTCACTTTTGATAATCAATAATTGTGGTGTATTGATTTGGATCAGAGATAATTGATTAAATACAAGGAAGATGATTGGAAATCCTTTACTTCTATTTATGGATGGTAGATAAAAGGAGCTTGGCCATAGAAGGCTGATGGAACAGAAATCATTACGACTGATAGAGATAGCACAAAATCAGTCCTAGCGATTGGGGACAAATATGGATAGATAAAACTATATAAGTATCCTGCTTACAAATTAAACTGCAGTTTCTATCGTTATTTGGGTCATAGTGGTAGAATCAGTAAGCTAAGATTCTCATTTAATGATAAATGTCTCATTAGTCTTGGAGAGAATGAGAAAAGCATAATTCAATGGAACTTTCAGGTCGAACAGAATGTCGTGGAAAGAAGTAGTACAGCTCATTCAAGGAATCGAAGTGCTTTCAAATCAGAGTTAGATCAGTTTGATGATCAGATGGATGGTAATGATAACTAAAAGACTAACAAGCCATTCCTGGATTAAATCAAAATGGATGAGGCTGAAGAAGAATCAATGAAGTTACCTGTTAATTATCTTAATTTGCGATATATCTTTGGAGTGTCCACCAGTTATAAAGGGAACACTCTATATTAACAACTGAAATATGCTGGTCAACAAAAGATCGTTTATCCAATTGGTTGCATTTGTGTGATATTGGACACCAAAATCGATTAGACTGCACCCTATCGTAAACAGAATTTCTATTATGGACATACGCAATTAATATTATGTTTGAGTGTACATCCAAAAAGTCAGATAATAGCAACTGGAACTGTTGGTGATGAAATCAATTTATGGGATGTGGACACACGTCAGACATTAGTTCATATTAGAGGGTATCATAAGAATGGGATTAAGAATTTGAAGTTTAGTATTGATGGCACATTGTTATTGACTTGTGGTTCTGATCAATTTAACTCAATTTGTGTATATGATTGGTAGGCAAACAGAATTATTTGTAATTCAAAAGTAGATAAGTCCCCCTTAACTGATTGTTGTTTTCTGGGTAACCCAAAGGTCATTTAATTTGTAACTGTGGGTAAATACATGAGAGTATGGGAAATTAAGGGGAGAAACCTATCTTTTGATTAGTTTCCAGGGTAATTAAGTGCAGTAACCTTTGCTTTCAACAGTGAATTGGTATGTGCAAATGACTAAGGAGAGCTAATGGTAATCAAGAATAAGCAGACCAACAGAATTCTGGGTCACTCAGGTAGAGTGAATGTACTTATAGCAGTAAAACAGAATTTGTATTCTGGTGGTGATGATGGTAAGATTATTTTGTGGCATTCCATATAGAATTAATTATAGTAGATCTAGTAGTTCATGGAAACTCAAACTCCTCCTTTATTATCTATGGATATAAGGAATGATAACATAGTGTTTTTAACAAGCACTTGTGATATAAAGGAATTGGTGATCACAGCACAGATACATTCTATTGATATCATTAAAGGCCACGGGGATGAAGTCAAGGGATTGGCAGTTTCTAAATACAAGGTTTATACTTGCAGCAGTGATCGAACAATTAAGGTGTGGGATATCCGTAACAGGGTTTGCTCGTTAAATAGTGAGCCATATCAATTTCAATTAAGATCTATTGATGTTTATAATAATTTAATAGTTTGTGGAGATTCAAAAGGATTTCTGTATTTGTTAGATGAGAAGCTTTCGCCCTTGGGGAGTGCGTCAACCAATTTCAATTTGAAATAAAAAACTATAGCTTATGAGATATCCAGAGTTAAGTTTGATCCAAAAGGAAAGAGAGTGTGTGTTGGAGCCTAAGGTGGTCCATCACATGTTGAAATTTGGACGATAAGTTAGGCTGATAACAGTTACAAGTTTGATAAAGAGAAGTAGATTATCAATTGTGGTTTTACAGGAGGTATTATGCAAATGGATTGGTCTGAGGATGGCACTCATATTTTGGCATCATCTACAAATTATGAATTGAAATGCATATCCCTTCCTAAATAACGTGATGTTTAGTATAATTACGATATCAAATGGCAGACTTGGTCTTGTATTTATGGTCCTGGATTACAGTACATATATCCACATAATCCTGGAGAGGACATAACCTCAGTTTGGTTGCACAAAACTAAGGAGGTGAAAAGTGAGACTGGTAATGTTAAGGAGTTCGTTTTTGTGACTGGAGATCAGTTTGGCAATATCTCTTTGTTTCAGTATCCAATCACAGGCAGATGTTGCAGAACATACAAAGGACATAGTGGACCAATAAATTGGATTCAGTTTTGCATGGAAACTGAGGCCAAATAATATGCCATTTCAATAGGTCAGAAGGCAATCATGGTTTGGTAATTGGAAATAGATGAACCAACAGTTTTGGATCCAGAAACAGAGAAATTATTGGGAATCAATGTGTAAGCATAGAAGAAGACTGGATTAGAGAAGTATGGGATTCCTCAATAATAATAAGCCAAAGATGAAGAATTTGTTGATAAGATTTCTTTAAAACCTTGGGCTTCTAATATTAAGGAGCCTTCCTCTTACTACAAGGATCCAATAAATTAGAATACTCCTCCATTAATAGATCTGGAATTGGAACATGCATTTGGTTATAGAGGAAACGATTGCAAAAACAATATTAGATTCTTGAAGTCTGGCAATATTGTCTATCATTCTGCTTCATTGGGCATAGTTTTGGATATGAATATAAATCAACAGAAGATATTCAATATGCATGAAGATGATATCATATCCATGGACTTACACTAGGACGGCATAAGAGTGGCAACTGGAGAAATAAATTCAGGAGTAATCTATGTATGGGATAGTAATACTCTGTAACCATTATGCAAATTTTCTTAATTAACCAAGGGGATCAAATCACTTCATTTCTCTCCATTTAATCAACTGGTGGCAGTGGCAATGGATGAATTTTCGACTATCGCTATTTTCGAAATTAATACAAAGAGTGAGAGTGGGGGTTCTTTGTCATTCAAATACCAGTCAGGAAGATAAGTCATTAACGAAATTAAATGGATGAATGAAAATACATTCTACACTATTGGTCCCTACCATTTAAAGGAATGGGCCTACTCATCTTAAATGGTTATAACCAAAATCCCATTACAAGATAAACTGATCTTGAATACATTCCTAATCGATGAAGAAGAGATTTATCTTGCAGATAATAGAGGGAAGGTCTTGATTTATTAGAAAAAGGTCTTGTAACACACTCTTGAACATCACACTCAACAAGTGGATGCCCTATTTAAGACTAAGGAGTATTTGTTCACAGGAGGGAAAGATCAACTTATAACAATCTATGATGCCAAATAAATAAGGGAAGAATTCTTAATCTAATTTAAATTGCTGGATTTAATTAAGTTAGCATTCTAACCAAATATTAAAAGTGTTTGTTACTTTGAAGATAAATTGGTTGTGGGTACTGTCGGATGTGAGATTTGGGAGTTAAGTATGAAAGATGCCAAGATCACTAGTCAAACTAAATTCGTTCCCAAGATTATGATGAAAGGACATTATGCACCTTAAATCCAGAGTGAATTATGGGGATTGGCTATTGAAGGTGACTTTGTCTATTCATGCGGAGATGATGCAACTCTTAGACAATGGAGTGTGTCTCAAAGGAAATAGACTCTATTCATTAGGACTGTCTAAGACTCCAATTTTGTGGATATTAAACCAGATGAAAATGGAGTGTATCCTGATAGTGTAAAAGGACGTTCTATCGCTGTTAATTCGGATTTCATTGTTGTAGGATTCAAAGATGGGGGAGTCAGAGTTTATGATAGAGAATTGAAATAAAAGAGCTATTTCAAAGTAGCCAAAGATTGGATCTCAGATATTAAATTTTCACCCAACAATGAATACATAGCATTCGGGTCGCATGACAATTGCATCTACATTTATAGATTACCAGAATTTGTGGTTCATTTGAAACCACTCCGAAAACATAGTTCATTCATCAAAAACATTGACTTCAGTGTGGATAGTACCAAATTGATATCCACATGTGGTAATTATGATTTGATCTTCTGGGATATAACTACTGGTAAGTAGATGCCTCAGGGTCGTAATATCTTGAGAGATGAAAAATGGTCCACTTTTACCAATACTCTTGGATGGCCAGTCCAAGGCATATGGAAAGATGATTATAATGGTTAGGAGATCAATTGTGTTTGTAGATCCACTTCCACCTTTGCTCCCAAATAGCCAGACAACTATTATTTATTGGCTGTAGGCAATGACTTTAACGAGGTGCTCTTATATAGGTAATGAGTTCGTCGATATGTAGATATCCATGTATAAATAAGAAATCTGAACCCGTTTAAAGAAGGGGCCATTCCTCCCCGATTTCGCAGGTGAAATTCACTCAGGATGATCAATATTTGGTGACTATGGGAGGGGAAGACATGACCATACTTTTGTGGAGAGTCATAAAAAAGTTATGAAATTTATATTCATAATTATCATTCATTGTCTTAAATATCATCTTCTTCTTCTTCCTCTGGGTTCTTCTTGACCTTCTTCACACCTTCAGCTCCCTAAGTATCTACTATTGAATAATCTTCAATTGTTAATACTTATGTCCTTCGTCTTCTCCTGAATCATTCCGTGTGCCTTCTTCAACTCATCCATCAATTGCACTATATTCTAATACTGGTATTCTTCATTTGCAATTTCAACTCCATTATTGTTAATTGTTACTTTCAACAATGACATTTTGTATATTTATATTATAATTAATATACTTGATTTGATTTATTAAAATAATAATTATTTTTACCAATGGATTAGTAGGATTATCACAAGATTGACCCAACCATCATTGAAGACCCTATGTTGGATGATGGATACACTAGGTATTAACCTTGATGTTACCATTAAATTAGAAAGTTCGGTGCCTACAAACCCAAATTCCATGGAACAACTCCAGGCTATTACCCATTCGAATGCATTGATTACTTTTATGTTGTGTTGATGACTCTCTTTACTTGGGGAATGTGTTTGCCCATATGGTACGGATTAATTGAAGCCGGTAAAACTACTTAAATATCCAATTAATAGCCAAGGGAAATTCGAAATAGTATGCAATTGTGTGTGCAGTGGTCTTTGTAGGATTCTATGTTATTCAAGCCTTGGCTACATACTATGGTGGTAGAATGAAGAAGGTCATTGAAAATCAAATGATCGAGGATAAATTAAAGGAGATGTAACAAAAGGAACTTGAGAAGTAAAAACTTCTAGCAGCCATTTGAATATTAATTATATTACAAACGATATTCATTGTCATTAGTATTCGTTAAGAACTCTGTTAAAACACGTTAATCCCGTTGTCACTGTTATATGTTTTATTAATAATTATGTTTTATTAACAATTCAAAGAATACCCCAAAAATTCATAAAGAGAAAAGACTCAATAAGAACGTAAGACTATCAAATCAATGGATTGGAATTGCAATGGGAGCTATTTGGCTACATCAAGTGATTCCACTATTAAAATTTGGTCCTTCGATGGAAATAACATCAAGAGATCAACCGATTTGAAGCAAGGTTCAGAGCAATTGGAGAAGTTGTTATTTCATCCAACACAACCAGACATAATAGCATCCATTACTAAGGAGTACGTGAAGATTTGGGATATTCGCACAAAATAGAGTGTGAGACAAGAGAAGAAGGAATAAATGGGTATTGCCTGTTGGAGCCCTAATGGCAATGAATTGGCAGTGGGTACCAAATAGAATAAGGAAACACAGATAATGTTTTTAGACATGTAAGGAGGAGAGAGATAAATAATGTATTAGCCAAAAGATAAAGATAAGAATTTCGAGTTAAAGAATATTATGTATGACAAAGATGTGTTTGTCGCAGTTGGTTAACAAAATGGAGTTGGTATGATTTAATTTATGGATGTCAACAATCCTCAATTGCCTCCTCTTCATTAGATGGAAGCTCATAGAGCTGGGATTACTTAATGCAAATTCAGTAAGGATGGCTAGCATATGTATACTGGTGCCTAGGATTCTCTGATTATATTGTGGCAATTACCAGATTTTGTTGTGTGCAGGATAATTGATGACAGTGGAATCAGAGATTAAGTCGATGTCTGTTTTTGACAGTAAATACATAGCAGCCATTGGTTTGGAAGAATAGGCATACATCTATTAGGTGGACAGATGTTTGGCTGGTAAGACAGAATCATATAGATTCCATTAAATTAGAGGGATAACCATCTGATCTTTGTTTCCATCCTAACAAATTCATCTTGGCAATCGTCTGTTAGGACAAGAACAAATAGGAGAGTGTGATACATTTATATGGTAATTTGGGTGTTTGATTATATATATGGTATATTAATTGATATGTAGCTATTAGAATGTGAATTTGAAGATAATATCATTTCTTTTTTGATTTACGCCTTTCCAAAAACTTTTTCATCCAAATATGCTCCTTCACTTGTTTAAGTGGAAATCTTTTGAGTGGATCTACTTCAAATAATCCAGCAATGAGTTCTTTCACATCATCATTTATGCATTGCCAGAACTCGTCTTAAATGTCATAATTGCCATTTATGATATTCTCTTTGATTTCCAATGGTATTTCTGAATAGAAAGGTGGATAACCACATAGCATAAAATACAGAACTCCTCCCAAGGCAAAGTTATCAATTTTTGATGTCAATTCTTTACACTATTGATAAACCTCAGGTGCAATATAATTCATGGTTCCACACTCAAACTTCTCTTTCCTCTCATTCAAAGTGGATAAATAATTGGCAAATCCGAAATCAATTATCTTCACCTACTTGATCTTGTTCTGATTCAACACTATCATAATGTTCTCCGGCTTGATGTCTCGATGTACAATCCCCATTGAATCAATGCATTACAAGGCTTCAATCAGCTATGACAATACTAAGGCAGCCTCTTCTTCTGCGAGGTACTTCCTCTCCTCCACATAATCATAGAGGTCTCCATCCTTTATTAATTCTGTAACTAAATAGATGTGACTTCTATTCTCAAAACTCTCTACCGATCTTACGATATATGGATGATTAATCAATTTCATGATATCCACCTCATGCTTTATTGCCTCCACTTAATTTTATGAAATCTACTGTTTATTGATGATCTTCAATGCATAGGTCTCCTTAGTCAACTTGTCCTAACATTAATACACTATAGATGATTGTCCCTGCCCAATCTTCTCCAAAATGGAATACTTTTTGCTTATCTCACCACTCCAATACAAATATAATAATTACTTATTATAAGCTTGCAATGCATTCGACCACAGTCTAAATTACTTATCATCTGAACATTCGTAACTCTTACTGTTATATTACTTCCCAACATGCAATATTTTGAAACCATATTTCTAAACTTATTAGTCCACTTTTTCCTCGATTATCAAACCCTATAAACAAATTACTTTTGAAGGTTTCTCTCCTTTTTTACGAAATTCTAATAGCACATGTGGATAAAGTTCGCAATATTTCTATTTTATTTCTTTTTTCTTTGAAATTCTATACAAGTCTCCTGAAGTTATCAATATTCTATTTTGTATTCATCGCATTATTACAGTTATTTATAGTTTAATTATTTATCTGTGACCCCCCAAATGTTATAGTTAAATGCTGTATAAAGTGGTTGGATTAAGTTGGGATGTTTTGCAATAAATGTCTAGAATTCTTGCAACGACAATAATTAATCGTGCTTGTTCTTATACACTAAGTCTACGTATTTCTTAATCAACAAACTTTAATTGACACACATTTCCATCTTTTAACCATCAACCTTACTTATTTTTATTATTATTTACTTAAGCTGTTATCATCAATCCAAATCGTTTTTAAGGAGTACCATTTTCTTAGATCATACTATCTTACACAAAAAGGGCATCCGATTACTTTGAAAAACAACTCTATAACCCTTCTGAGATTATTTTATGCGAACTCTCGAACTGCTACTCTGAAATATTCTAGCTCTATTTTCTTAGTTGTTAAACTGATTCATTATTCAGATGCATAACATACCTGACTATTCCAAGATATCTGCACTATTCTTATACTTTCGATGCCGATGCTTACGTCGATTGCCAAAATCATCTATAATCAAAGATTCATCTAAAAATAGCTAGTCTTCACATATCTTCTTCAATTCGTATTGAGGATAGTTCTGCATCTATTTCTATCTAACACCTAACATACCATTTATAAAAAGTCACTCTTTGCTATTACCTTCTAGTTCTGCAAATCGTAAAGCTGAAACAAATTCACAATTCGCTATTCATCTGAACACTTAATGTACATTTCCATTCCTGCTAAAAACTCATCAAAATTCATATAATCTTCTTGCTTGTTCGTGAATTTATTGAAGATTTGTTCTCCCCAAAATCCCTACATTAATAATCTATATGCTACAAACTATTATTTAGAAAAAGGTATTGAAGGTATCTCTACTTAACATTAAGTTACTCTATCTGGAAGCAAGGTCTTTGAAAATAAGAATCAGCATATCCAGTTCAAAATCATCGACTACACTCTAATTTCAATATTTACATTTCCCCAAGTATTTTTGAGCAATCAATTTATGAGTATTGCGTTTCTTTGGTTTTCTTTGAATTCCACACTTTAATGCACCTCCCATGAGTTAATAAATAATCAATAATTATTTTTACCGTAATTTTAAACTCAACCAAAAATCATTCAACTTAAGACACTCCTAGAATAACGAAAGACTAAAATTAGTAATTCCCCTTCTACACCCAATTTTAATATTTAAGCACAAAGAACACCCAATTTTAGAAGATATACATTCTTAAATTTATAAACATAAATCATTCCTTATCAGATTTAAAAGCCAATTAATATCCCAATTCATCTTAGAATTTTTAATCTTAATTTTGCTCTCCCAATTGTTCCCAATTGTGCAGCTATATCACTTATTTCTTAGTAGAATAATTATAAATAAAAGTCTATTTGATCAAGGCTTTCCATTCCATTCCATTCCATTCCTTTCCTTTTACTTAAAATAATATATAATTTAATAATATTGTTAATGACTTTATTTCCATCTTCTTCTTGTCAATTTTCAAGTTATTAGTTAAATGAAAAGTTGTGCAGTATGATATTGAATATTAAATATGTTTCCCATTAATTCTTGAAATTACTTAAATTAAATTAATTTAACTGTCATATGAACAAGTTAGTTGTATAACAAGTTAAGAGTATTTTCAATAGCCTTCCTAATAAAGATTTGGATAAACTGCTAAATTTGTTGCTTGCTGCAGGAATTACAAAAAATTAAAAATAAGTTGGTTATAAATGTGTTGAGTGTAGTATTATGTAAGAATAATCAAATAAACAAAAAGGTTCAAGGGTATAAATGCCAGCGGTTTTGGGAGAGACGAAGCTGAAGCTATTCATATTTGTTTAAAGAATTTTATAGATCAGATGTTAGAGGAAGAAGGACATTTATCATTCCTAAGAAATATTTTAAGGGATCTCAAACAATTGGACTTTTAGGAATAGGATATCGATTAATTGCAACAGAAAATAGGCAATATTTCAATTATCCAAAATAACCAAAATTATTAGACTGTAGATAGTTTATTGAATGGAGAAAATGAATAAATTTTAGGATAAATTGTTGATAACAAACCCAAAAAGTTTGAAACCCTGTAAGACAACAATAATAAAGAGAACATTTAAAATTAATACTTGAAATGTTGTACTCATGAGTAAGAATTAAAGAAGGAGAAGATGAGGGTCGAACATTTGGAATTAAGAATAAAATTAATTTTAGAAGAAAATAGAATTTTGAAATCACTTCTTAATGAAAAGAAAGAAAGTGCAAGACAAGAAAGCAATAGAGAAGGTGACACCAAAAGGATTCGGTAATAAGCTAGATCCAGCAGTGTAAAAATGAGTAAAATTTAGTAACTAAATGGAGTGCCCAAATTAAATCTAGATGCACTTCCGACCTATATTGGCAAATAGAAAACATTATTTTGATGATTTTTTCTATCTAATTAGTTTTATTGATTCATTTCTTTTTAGGAATTTGGATTGTCTATCTCTTAGCATTTGCATTTTTTGCTTTGGAAATTATTTATTATATAGTTTAATGAAGTTTCTAGTGGTTATAGTTTGAATTGTATTTGCTTTACTAGGCTATTAGGAGTAGAGATTAAGCCCTCTCCCCTTTTTCTATTGGATTCTTTTCTTAATCTTCTTTTTAAAGATATATCGTCTAATACATTTAATGATCAACTTGATTGCTCTTTTTCTTTTGATTAATCTTCGATATCTCTATCTTTACAAGAACCCTTTTATAAATGCCTATAATCTAATAAACTTCTTTAATCGTTTGAGTCTACGAACATACCTTTTTGATTTGATCACAAGTCTATATGCTTATATTTTCATAATAGCCTTAACCCTTAACAATCCAATATTCCAGATATTGACCATCGCTACTCTAGATTTATGTCTGCCATATGCCTTAGTTAATTTATTTAATCCATTTTGAATGATATCCAATCTCCTTTACCTATTTGCCAATTTAATTCTCATTAAACATTATAACAAAAGAGTTGATTATTCTTTTTCCAATCTCTTTCTCAATTTAATCGCTTTAAATCGTTTGTAATTCTTTTAAATTACTATAGCAGCTCTATGATTTTTAAGTAATTTCTTGTATTTCCTTTTTTAAATAAAACTAAAATAATAATAATACATGAATACCATTTAACTAATGAATTAATTTTGGCACTTCTATTTACCCTTTTTTTATATTATGTTTTCCACCATCTTTATATCTTTTTATATTTAAATAGCTTTAATTTTAAATCCTTAGCCACTTTAGTTGATATTTTAAATGAGATCAATTAATCTAAATACAAAAGTGCTAATTCTTTCTTTAATTCATTCTTAATCTGAATGGCCTAATTGCATCGAAATCGACACTGTATTTTAGTTGCCATTTTTGCCCTTTTCAAATGATACTTCCTCTTCTTAGCTAGAAATCCTCTGATAAGTGTTTATATCTTCCTGGCTGAATAATAGTTTTTCAATCTTATCCTTAACAACTTAGCAAGCATTCTCCTCACATACTTTTAGATGACAATTGCATATTTTGTATCTCTTAAGAACCATTTTATCTTTTTAGCCTTGTACATTCTATAAAACTTTTAAATCATCAAAGCTGCTAATGACTCTATATATCTCTTATCAATCATCTTTTCTCTCTTAATATTGCACTTCTATCCCCATATTTCAAATTGACCATCATTCTATTATTAATTATTGTAAGTTTAATCTTCATCAATTAACAACTCATAATAATATTTCTTAGGTTTACTGAATTCATCCCCAAATACTATATTAAACATACTCTCAGCCATAGAATCCAACATCTCATGTAACCAATCAGCTCTTTCTGCACATGCTGGTGATAGATTGACTTCCAATAACCATGGTTTACAATATTCATCTAACATAATATCAAAACCAAATAATTCGAAACAATATTTTGATTCTCCTTCAAATTGATCCTGCAATATCTTGAGTGTTTTGATCATTAACTGATTGCATTATGGTCTAACTACCTTTTACCAATCAACAGGAAGCCATTGTTGCATAAAATCACTGCTGTAAATTGAATCATTTTGACTAATGTATTATTATTGCTCACTTACTTCTTAAATTCTGATTTGTTTAAAGAGAAATTTGTCAAATGCTTTAATAAATTCTTGGTGTCCTTCACATCATACGGCTGACTACACATCCTCATATAGCAATGACTGAAAACAAATGCTTGCAATGGTTAGAAACTCTTTACTAGAACCCACTGTCTCAAATCAAACTTAAACCCCTTATATAACAACGGTCTTTCTATGTACTTTTACACCAATCTAGCTTACATCTATTAACCACTGTTGATTGCTTCAGTGATATCCTTCTCTAAATAGATTCCTTAACCTCTTGCACACCCTCCTGGTTTAATGATCCAAATGTTATGGATACCATCAACTTTGTAGGCTGGATCATATTTTTTCAAAAACAAATGATATCTATACAACTTTCTGATCAAAAATTGGCTTGGATTCGAACCTCTCTCAAACTTCTACAACTGAGAATATGCAATCAAACTAACTTATATAGATACACAGTACTTTAATCTAGTTTTTGATATGTATTGCTAACTCAATTCGAAATTCTTATCATCATAGAAACCATCCTTCAATTACCTTTTCATGTCAGATAGTTTAGATAGTACTTCAGACATAATGGAACCATCAAACTTAACATCTGATTATTATGATTAATCTTCCAATTCCTATGCCGTATAGATGTTTTTGTATTTCCTCTTTACAGTTCTTTTCACATCAATTCTCCTGATCTTTGAGTTCTCTTCTCTCTTCTTCCATTCCTGAAATATTACTTGCTTTAACTTCTTCATTTCATTTTTCCTCTTCATTCTCAATGCAGCAATCGCCTTTTTTAATATTATGGTAACTGCAGTTCTTTCATATTCTTTAAGGAAATCCTCTCTATCTGTTGCATTTCCTAAATCGAAGGCTCTTGGAAAGAATGTACTTGTATCGTATCCATATTCGCATTGGTTTTTGAAGTTTGCTAATAGACAGGATTTAGTAGTTAGTTCTTTTGTGTTACTAAAATGATTGTAAAATTATCCATCCAATAGTGTTTTAAAATCATCAGGATTTTCTGTGTAAACCCATTTGAGATCAAAAATTTATTAGCTGCTAGGTGTTTCTAGCCAACCATGTTTTTATAAGCATCTTCGAACATACTCATCTTGGGAATTAAAACAAAACACTTTAGTTGCAATCGAGATGTTTTATCTTTTCAAATAATCATTCATTAAAGAGCGATGATTAAAGTAGGTCTTATTCTTCACCAAAGTTTCAACATTAGGCTTCTTAGTTTGAGACTGCTTCCTTTGTGATTCTTACGAGATTGTAGTTTCAATGCTGCTTGATTGTCTTGAGAGACGAGATTATGATAAAGGATTCTAAACACCTGGTTTCATAAATTTCCTAAATATTCAAACGCAACTTACAGAGGAGTCCCCGATGAATCTTTGGATGATCTCTTTATTTCCGGCAATATTGGTAATTGAGTAGTAATTTTTGGTTTTGGAGCAATTTATTATTTCATATTTTAATATAACTGTTTATGAGTATATAAATACACATCATATATACATATTCAATATTACAAGAACCTTATTGTGTACAAATACCAATTAGGTACTTATTTTCAATATATACAATATATTATATATATACAAAAATAGAAAATTAAAATTCAATTTTGAATTGATCTTCAAGTATGACAACTCCCTTAGACAATGTCACCACGCTCAAAGATAAAATCAAAATTCTTGATGACATCAAAAATCATACCAAAAACCTAGATCTCCAAGCTATTTACAAACACATTCACAATATTGGATAAGATTCTCATGAATTATTGGAACATGCGTTAAAAATCAATTTTGGAAATGTCTTAAGAAATCAAGGCTCAAATGATTAAACTGAAGCCCTTCAAGTTTTCAAAAAGGTATGCGAAACAGCAAGAGATTTAAATCATATATGCATTTATGTCAAATTAATAAAAAATAATAGTCGACAGGACCTCTAAAAAGTATATTTAAAAGAATTGGGATTCCAGACTGAAAAATTGATAACAGAATTTAGAAAACAGGGAACCATCATTTAACAATTGCGTTTAGACACAAATGACATTACAAAACAGAGATTCATGATCGAAATGATAACAACCCTGTGTCCATAAGACCTGGGATTCAACCCAGAATTATTCTCTTTAATGCTCATTCCCTTTAAATGTCTCCACAAAGCAGATCCAACAGATATTTCCCTCCTAGAAAGACTGGCTGATGTGTTACTATCCTAATGCAATGGCCAAGGAATTGCTAATCAGAACCAGGTTCATGATTGGCTAGCCCTGTTGACTGGAATCATTTAATATGCTTATGAAGGAAATTCTATTGGATTATTTATATTATTGAGAAAAGTATTTTGATTTTATTTACTTTATCTAGATTCCAGATCAACATATAAGCGAATTACTTTACAGACATAAATACTATATGCTTCTAAATTATTTCAACAATTTAAAAGTAGCTCTTAAAATCTTTTAAGGATTAACTTTTTATTCTATTACTTAATAAAGCATATTCTTTATTAAAACCATTAGTTAATTTTTGTATGAGTATGCATTAGAAATTAGAAGCAAATAATATTCAGATATTTTGAAATACATTTATTAAGAATTCATTTTGACAACAATGTTGGGAAACATCTAAATGGTTAATTATAGTGCAGAATTAATTGATCTATTACTATTTTACATAGTCGGAATGTCATCAATAGACCAAGACCCTTTTTTGAAATCTTTAGATTTATTGTATGCCAGATTGAAGTAGGCATCTACATTTAAAATATTCAATAAAGAATTTGCTACCTAGAGAATTTAATTTTTATTGACTGTTGCTATTTACTATAATGGATTGAATACTGATGAACAATATCTAAATGTCATTAAAATCTATTAAATAACAAATCAATTAAATCCACATAATTAATATACCCAATGGAATTTTTCGAAATTAATCGAGTAATAAAATTAAATTGATTAAAACATCCTTTTAAGAGATTCAAAGGACTTTGTTGGTCTTGAGAATCTCACCAACACTTGCTTTATGAATAGCATTCTTGCAAAGCTTATACATGACTTAGTCCTTCAGAAAGTTTGTTATTCAATTAAAATTTACAGATCAATCCCTTTAACTTATTCCTTATCCATCAAAATTGAGTAGTCTCTAAAAATTATTTCTGCTCTTAACCTATTAAAAGTAGGGGTATTGTTCTCCCTATGAACTCAAAAGATAATTAAGAGAACCTTATAGCAATACAAACGATTAGTAGGATGTGAGTGAATTTGCACATCATTTTCTAGAAGATCTCTTAGAATTATTGCCTAAACATCTACAAATTCCAATGGAAAAGATATTCTTTGGGTATCATAGATCATGTATTGAATGTTTTAACTGTCCCAAGAGACAACCAGCATATAGACCTAAAGAAAAGTTCTTGGGAATTGATTTGCATTTCAATGAAGATGAAGACAATTAAGATCTCTATGATATGATTCGAAAGGCATATGAAAAAGAACAAATAGAATTTACATGTGATAAATGCAATCAAAGAACTGATCGAGTGTTCAAATCTCAATAATTAATTCAATTACCCTCCGTATTATTCATGATTGTGCATCGGTAATAATCTCATTTGATCTAAGTTTTACATTCAATGCTGCAACGTAGACAATGAATAAAATGTTGACCAAAGTCCCCTTTAGATTCCAGATAGATTTCAGAGACATTTTCAACCAAAAAAAACTAAACAGCAAAGATTGCATCTATGATCTCTATGCCTTTATAGTCCATATGGTAAATACACACAATAATATATTTTAGGGAAAAAACAGTTATTCAGGTCATTACATATGTTATGCTAGACAACTCAATAAACCTGATGTTTGGGTAACTTTCGATGACACCATGATTTCAAATTTAGAATATGATAGTGATCAACTTGACAAAGAACTAATGTAATTTAATTTATAATATAATAGAGCTGAGGAAACACCCTATTTACTGTTTTATTAAAATTAATCAGGTTAACCCTTAATTTTTAATAATTGATGACTTATTTAATTTATTTTTCAAAATATGTTGCAACACATTTTTTCTTGTTGTTCTTAGGGTTGTTATTGAATTTCCAGTTTAGCAGAAGGTCTTTTATCTTAAGTAGACTGTAATTAAGGTTATTAAGATGTAGGCTATTCTGTAACCTTAACTATCCCATTCGCTTTATCCTAAATATCCATTGCAGACATTATCAATTTGGTAAATATACTCATACTTCGATCCATTCCCAAGTTTTCTGTTGCTGAGCATTCAGAATAATAGACATTCTGGGGAAGTCGTTTAGTTGCAAACTCGATGATATGATCGTCATTCCATTTTTCAGATTAACGAATTCCTTTTATCGGATGAGCATTTTTCGATCCAAAGACAGCTACCTTGTATTCTGAGCATTTCTCATTGATCTAATCAATTATCTGATTGTATTTGGGACATTTCCTCTCCAAATCTCCCATGGTTCCTAAGAAATAGTAATATGCATTTGTTTATTTGGCATTCTTCACACATAACTAAAACCAAGTATTCAAGGCATTTTCTAGAGTCACCATGTTGTTTAGAGAGAATGCAATAATGTAAATGTTGCTCTGAAGAAGGAATGCTCTAATCATGGCACTAAACATCGATAAATATAAAAACATATTCTTTATTTCCCCAGAAGTAATCCAAACATGAATCTTTTAAGTAATCTTATTTGGTAGTAATATTCGTGAAATAAAGAAATCTACAGATTAAATTTATTTATCGTTAACTTTAGATTCAATATTCAGCAGGCATTCCATTAATTTACTTTTACCTACAGATTGATCTCCAATCAAGATTACTCTATGTACATCATTTGCAATTACTTTATTTTTCTCTCCTTTTACTCACATAAAATAGAAACACTGTCCTATTCCATAATTAACAATTAAATATATTATTAAATACTATTAATTCATAATTTCTGACTGCCACATTTTGCATAGATAATTTAAAACTCATTTTCTAAATTTTATTCATTGAGAAGCTTTTATTCAATTTTTGATGGCTCGAAAATTCGATGGCTAAATTAGAGAGGCTACAAAGTGTATAATAACTTGATAAGGATCTTTCTTAGAGTCTTTTTATCTTTATCCTAAATAGCCTGAATATTCAATTTCATTCTAATGTGCTCTATTATATTATGATAGATTTGGTTGAAGACTTAACCGAATGCCTAGTCATTCTAATCTGATGATAGTGCCACAATGTTGTTAGGCAATTTAAACTATACTTGTGTTAAAATTTAGTTTGTGTGATCGGTACTCATTCTGATGCTAGATTATTAGAACTATTCATAATTCTTTTTGGCTTTATTGTAAGGTTCATTCATCTATTGATAATTTGATTAGAAATTCTGTAATGTTTGATCATATTTATCACTTTCTTTAAATAATTTAAAATCAGCTGGTAGTATTTAAATCCAGAACATATTCTAATATTGACTATTTCAGATATTTACCTTTCCTTAGAGAACATCAATATAATATTTCAATTCATTTACCATGTACTTTTAGGTAATGACTGAGTAACTTAATTATTACTCTGTTGATAACGACACTATTTAACTAATTTCTTATACTTCCTTCATCAATTACCTGATGAATTTTATGATATCTGAAATGTATAAAAAATAATTAAAAATGCTTTTCACCTTTGTATTGTTATCCTAAAGCAATGCTGATATTTCTCTAACTTCTGTGCTATGTCTTATTTAAGATCTCAGTAAATTTTATTCATAAAAGATCTAATCCACTACTTAAAATATATCTTCCCATTCAATTCTTTCTTTAGGATCCTAAATTAACATTCGTTACAATAAATTCAAATAAGTTTTAGGAATTGTTATAGCTTCAGGATAATAAACTTACCATTGAAGTGATGATCTCCTCTTGGGCTACATTTCCAATGGTGTTTTGCCATATAACATTTTATAAAGAATGACACCTAAAGACCAGATGTCAGCTTTAGACGAATAATTTCCATCCATGACTTCTGGTGCTACGTATAATGGAGTTCCAAGATTTGATTAAGGAATATTCTAATCTAGTTCATCTAGTAGTTTAGAGAATCCAAAATCTCCTATTTTGGCAATCCCGTTTGAAAATAGAATATTTTCAGGTTTAAGGTCTCTGTGGACAATTTATTTATTTCTAATTTCTTTGTATCCCTGTACAATTTAGTAGAAAATGTCAAAGACTTACTCATGAGTCAGTGTGGATGTATTTATTTTATTTTAAAGATTTCCTTATTCGCAATACTCCAAAATGAAGTAAAAATAATCCTCATCCTCAACAAAATCTATCATTCTAAATAGAAAGAATCAATACTTTACGACATAAGGACTTTATAATTACAACTAGTTTTGTCTTTCTCGATTTATATATTTTTACACTTCTTTCAGTCTTCTTGATTTCTTATCAAAACTCTTAATGGCAACTTATTGCTTCTCATTTTAATAGTAATACCCCAAATGGACTTCTGCATAACTTCCCTTAAAACAAGTATTTATTCAAATTTACCTGGCCTAATAACTTCCTTAAATTTATCACGTATTTGTTTTGAATGTTTCTTGTATAATCATAATTGTTCATTGTGAATAATTATTAATATTTATAAAAAGATTATAATCCGATATAATTTTATAAATAATAATTTATTAGTCACAAACTTGACTCACAAAGTGTGTCTCATTTATGCCGAATTAAAACTTCTAATTTGATTATATAATTAATGACTCTGCATTTTATATCACAATATCTTATAATGTAAATTTATACAGGAAATAAAATTAATTAAGGCAATTAATACGTGTTACAATATTTCTAGATTTTACTATAATTTGGGATCTTTGGGTTTTTATATTCAGGAAATCATTGATCTTTTTGGATAAATTAAATTAATGGAATAAAAGATTGTCTTCAAGGAAGAGGCTAGAAAAGCTTTCTTAGATGCTGATGGAAATGTAGACTTCGGAAAAGTTTAAGCAAAATGGACTGAATTGGCTACAGTCAAAGTGAGTTTGGGAAACAAATACTTCACTCCTGAGGTCGTCGAATAAGCTAAGAAGTTGTCAGCAGCTGATTAACAACGTTTCTTGGATGTCATGATGGGTGGATTGGCCAATGATGACAGCTCAGTCGGTGTCTATGCTACAAGACCTGAGGATTATGACGTCTTCTCCTTCTATTTATAACCATTAATTAGAGAGTATCACAAAATCGAAGGTGAGACCAAATAAGAACACGATTGGAACATCCCAGTCGATGAGTATGTGTTGACTAAAATTGACCCAAAACTCGAGAAAGTCTCCATGAGAGCAAGAGTTGCTAGAAATGTCAAGGGATGGAATTTACCACCCTTGATGAGCAAGGAAGAAAGAATCAACTTCGAAAGTAAGATGGTTCAAGCCTTTGAGAACTTTGGAATCAAGGGAAAATATCACAGTTTGACACCAGGCCACAAAAATCAAATCACTCAAGAATAAGCTGATGAATTAATCAAGAGACATTTCTTATTCAATGACATGACCACAGACAATCATTTGACATCTTCAGGTGTTGCTTCTGATTGGCCATTTGGTAGAGGTATTTGGATTAGTGAAGACGAAACCAAAATGATTTGGGTTGGTGAAGAAGATCAATTGAGAATCATCTCCATTGTCTAAGGAAATGATCTAGGTAAAGTCGATCAATCACTCCACCAATTACTCACAGGTATTGAAAAGAGTGGACTTGAATTCGCTGAACACCCTGTCTATGGTGTCATCACAACATGCCCAACAAATATGGGAACTGGAAAGAGATAATCAATCCTTGGAAAATTCCCAAATATCACCAATGGAGGAAAAGACGAAAAGAAACTCAAAGATATCGCTAGACAATTTGGATTGTAAGCCAGAGGAATGGGAGGTGAACACTCAGCTATGGATCATGAAGGAACAGCTGATATCTCCCCATCTGCAAGATTTGGAGTCACAGAGGCAGTTGTCACAAAAAGATTATATGAAGGTCTCATCAAACTCTACGAAATCGAAGCCTAATTAGGAAAAGAATAATAACAGGCCTGAGTAGTATATCATAAAACATAAATATCAATTTCCATAAATTTCATTCCCTTCAATACATTATGTATTTCATTACTTTGAATGCAGAATGTATTTCCCTTTCTCCTCTTCAAAATGGATCTTTCCATTCTATATACAATTATTAGAGGATCAAGCAATTTAATTTAATTTATAAAAGAATATTCAAGCATAAATTAATGCTTTTTTTCTCAATTATCATCAAGCATTCCTATTGAATTTGCATTTTCATGTTCATCCACCTCATTTAAGTTCCATTTTTATTCAATTCACTTCAAAACCAAATTCTGAATTTCAACTTCATATCAAAGAATTAGCTTATTTCTAAATAATTTCAATAAAAACTGTGAATATTTTTATATTAATATATATTCTTGTTTTAAGCTCTAACCATAAGGTTATATATGATATTGTTATTATTAAACATCAAGAAATTGATTTAAGGTTGTACTCTTATCATAGATTGTTTTAATTTACTAAAATATCAATGACTTTTTTCTTCTTCATATATATCTTATATTTCAAGTGTCTAAAATATTTATAGAATGCTTTATTTCATTATTCATCTCATTTTAATGCTTAGCCATTATTATTGAAATTAAAATATGTCATATAGTATTGCTCTATATTAAACAAAAAATTGGATATTTTCCAAAAAAATACAATAAATTTTCATTATTTATAAGATAACTATAAATAAAGATGTGGAATTATTATATTGTTAATGATAATATAAAATACATCACTATACCCAAAATTTATCTTTATATATACTCAGAATTCAAAATTAAAGAAATAAAAAAATTTTAAATATTCTCCTCTTAATCAGTTGTATTTTCTAAATAATGGAAATTTGATCCTAATTTTTACTTCATTCTTTGCTTCTACATTCTCATTTTTTCAATTCCATTATTTATTTTGCAGTATTTTAAAAAATAACAAAAGTAAATCATAGCTTTTTTCAGTTAAATCAAATAGATCGTCTGTAAATATAAGGTATCGGAATCAAATTAATTTTCATAATCTTTCAATAAAATATACAATCATTGTTAATATTTGTAATATAAAATGAATTATTAATCTTTTTAATATAAAATGAATTATTTATATTCTTTGCCTCCTATAAATAGTGGCTAATCCTAGATATTAATCTTGGCAGCAATGGAAATGAGAGAGTCCTTATGATTTTCAATTTGAATGATTTATTCCCAAAAAAAGCATGTAGAAATTATGATAACTCTTATAACATATTATAGTTACTTGGGAGAATCTCAAAATTTAACCAAGTATAGTCTAGACAATCAGCTAATCAAATATTTGAGTGATGAGTAATGAGTTTATCTATTTATAATATGTATTTTAGAGATTCTAATTTATTGTAATAATAGCATTTAGCAATTCATAAAATTAAATTAAAAAAGTAATGATGGAGAGCTATTCGTGTTGTGTTATATTTTAATAAAAAAGATTTAATTAATTTTTAATTATTCAAGAAGATGACATTCATAGTAAAAACCAGGAAGGTACTCTTAAACAAAGTTTTGAACAGAAGACAATTAGTAAAGTGATCAATTAACTTTAGAGTGTTGAATTACTCCATCCAAATAAGCCAACTCCTTCATAGGAATCAGTTGTTAAGGAATTAGCAAGCAAGTACAAGGCAGATGAAAGAAATGTTGTCGTCTATGGTCTTAGAACAACATTCGGAGGAAATAGAACAACTGGATTTGCTTTGATCTACGACACATAATAGTATTGAGTTCAGAATTAATATAGATATCTTCTCAAATTCGAGCCAAAATTCAGATTGAGAAGAAGAGGTATCATTCCAAAGAGAGACGGAAGCAGAAAGGGATGGAAGGAAGTCAAGTCTAAGTTAAAGAAAACCAGAGGTGCTGAAAAAACAAAGATTTACATGTCAAGAAAGACAGACAAGAGAGAAGTCATCAGAGCTTAAAAGGAAACTTACCTTAAAGGTTTTGTTGGAAAATGAGTGCATTTATACCACATTTAATAGTACATTATATATAAATATAAATATTGATATTTTTTATTTAATTAATCTTCACTTTAACTTATCTTACTCTTGTCCCAACTTCTCCGTAGTACCAAAAAAGTTGATGATGTGCATAAGATTTTCATATAGCTCTGGCAATTTGTCTTTAAAATGATCCTTAAAATTTTTCATACTCTCTTGCTTCTAAAGCAGTATAATCTTGTTATGATCGATAACATTTTTTATATAAACCTCGAAATTTTCTAATTTGTCAGTCTTATCTTCATTTTCAACGATTTCAACATTAGGAAATAGTTCCTTGAGAATATTAGTAACATATTCTTTCTTTTCAATAAAGTCCTTCTCTTAATGTCTAGTAGTCTGTTAGTGTTTATCGCAATTTTAGCATCTAGTAATGTTGACATAGAATTTGCCTAAGTTCCAATTCTCTGGAACCTAAGGTAAGCTCAAATTTTCTAATTCATTATCTGGATCTAATTCAGGTGCCTAATATAGGAAATATTATATATATACAGGAATTTCTTCAATGTACATTTTTGACATTTGGACCACAAGTCTTACTTGCTTATCATTAATGTTGAATTCGACTATTTTTTCATTCTCCTCTAATTCTACCTCATGTCTCAACGTTATTTCACTTTATTCTTCCAAGTATAAAAATTGGTTTTCTATTTTAATCTCATTAAGTTTAGAATTATTAGTAAATATAAAAGTTAACTTTCTTTATAAAGTGAGATTCAATGAACCAATAGATGCTCCAGACAAATAATCAAGAGGATATGTTTAGATAGAATCATTTTTCAATTTGACCTCTAATTTAGTTTCTTATTCATTTTTTTTTATTGAAATTTCGGACACTTCAACAGCATTAGACAATACAATATCTTGTTCTTCTTTTCCTGTTGATTTGACGATGATTTCCTTATAAGTATGTTTATATGATTCAATTTTTTGTGGTGGCTCAGGCTCACCTTTTTCTTATTTTTTTTTCTCCCTCAATTCCTTACTTTTCATAATACATTCCCTTAAAACAATCAGAAAGTGATCATAGTGAATATATTTCTCTTTGTTAATCGTATAGACTACTTCCATTTATTCACATAATTCATCAAATTTCTCAATTGTTATACGTAGTAGCCCAACAAATTGTATGTACCTCAGAAATTCTTTGTATGGCATCATATAATAGGGGGATAATTGTATCTTGGGTTTTATTACTTTATGAAATTTAGTAGGAGGCTATTCATCATTCCTTTGAGGCTATAACAATTGTAATCCCAAACTTATATATTCATAAAGTTCAATAAATGGACTTAACAATTGCTTATAGGATAAGTTAGTTTATAAGAATTTCTTTAGTTTATCTACAGAATACCTTCGACTCCATTAAGGCGGTTCTTGAATCTCCTCATGATTGGTCTCTTGAGTTTTCTTCTAATCAATAGCTTATTCATATTAAATAACTAAAGCAGCTGGAATAGTTCTATTATTAATAGTAACTGCTTGATTTTGGGGAGGAGATTTGGATCTGCTTCCTGATTTCTGAGGAGATTATTCATATTGCTATATTAAAAAGAATATTAGATCTCCGGCAGATAGGTAGGAGATGTTATCTTTCTTTTATCCCTATCTCCTACTCATCTTTTTAATTCCATTATATTTACAATAGAAAGTTTAGAATACTTCTTTAAATATATTGATTCTTTACAAATTCTCTGTGATTACCAAACAGTCTTTTAGTACTAGATGATGAGTTGTGTATTGTCCAAATGACAATTAAGCTTCTGGGAAAATTAAGGAAGTGGAAATAGAAACTTAGTCATCTCGAACTCCGTTTAAGCATAACCCCATATCCATATATTAGCCAGATTCGTTTAAAATCAAAGCTAAAAATTAAAATTCCCCCAATTTAATCGGCAATTAAGATGTAACAGTCAGTGGATTTTATTATTTAGTATTTTTGGGGTGGTTGTTAGGAATAAAGGTACTATAAACTTATTTGCTATCTAAATAAACACCCATTTCTAGAAGTTTTTTATTTTCTGAACTAATTTTGAGAATAGGGATCATTTCTTTTGAAGTTGTTCTATCAATTTTAACCCAAAAACATATTGTAAGGTGTCCTTTAGATCTAGTAAAATTTATATCTGAAAACTTCAATTAGATTTCTTCATTAGGAGCATCCTTTGAAAATACTTTATCCTCAACAAAGACTTGCTAAAATGAATTATTCTTAAGAAGAGGAGCTTAAACTTTTTTGGGAATAATTTTCATGTTTTTGCATTAATCCTGCACTTGTTATTCTAAATTTTCATTTTATTGTTGAGCATCATCTAATTCCTATTATAGTTAACGTATCTTTTCATCCTTCGCTTTGATTTATGCTAAATAGGTATCTTATTGCTAATCTAACTTATCTTTTAGCACTATATTTTAAGAATCACTATTTTTCTTATCATTTTCTACTTTAGCATATTTATTTTTCCATTCTTTGAGTTCTTCAACTATTCTATTATACTAAAGTTAGAGTTCAATGTGTTAAGTTTCCAACAGATGCTTTTCTTAATAGATTGTATTAATTTAATTAGCAACCTCTTTTAATTCCTCATAATTCTATTTCTATTCTAACTCTACTTTTAATTTCTCTATTTCAATATTTAATAATTAGACTTCAGTCTTATCATTTTGGATATCTTCTATTTTTTGAAGTAGTTATTATTTCTCCTTCTAGAATTCGATAGCTTCCTATTCATACTAAGACAACAATTTCTTTAACTCTAATATTTGTTATTCCAATTCTACTTTTTCTGACTACAATTATCGTATCAGCTATGTATTTTTCTCATTTTCATTCATCAACCTTTTTAATTTATCTGATAGATCTTTGTCTTAATCCTGAAAGTCTTACAACTTATCTTGCAATTTTTTTATCTCCTCATCTTTTCCTTAAATAACCTTCTATTACTATAGCATTTCCTTTTGATGCTAAGCCTTTAAATCTTCAATTTCCTATTTCAACTTATTGATTTCTGAATACAAAGAAAATGTTTTCTTGATCTCCTCCTCTAATTATTGTCTAAAATGATCTTAACTTTCATTTGCCTATGCAATCTATTCATATAACCTCTCCAATTTTCTATCTTAATCTTGCTTCTCCCATTTCAAACCCTCCAATTCCTTCTTCATTTCAAATGCCTATTATTTAAGATCAGAAATCTCATTATCTTATTAATCAATTCTCTCCATCAATGGAAGTACGTTCTTTTGAGATATCCTCATTTTATTATTCTGCGTATTCTAAATCTTAGTCTTTCTCTTAGACCTCCTTAGTCAATCTGAGTATTTCTACAGAATTGGCTTATATAGTTTATAGCTACCTTTCATTTAAGCCTGACAACTCTTTAGATTTGGCTACTGCCTACTCTACCTCTTGTTCTTTCTATTAAACCAATAAATCAACTTATTGTAATTGGATTTCCAACTAATTCAGATCCCTTTTGTATTACACACTCTACTTCTCCAACTCCTTATACTTCTTCTACCATCCTTTTTCTAGCTCTTCCTTCTCTTACCTAGCTACATCATCAAAATTCTTCAATTAAGTTTCTAACAAATTGAGTTTATTCTACAATGATCAACCATAATTTACATTCAATTGTTTATTTTTTTTCTCTTGCTCTTCAATTTCTTCTACTCTCTATTGAATGACCTTCTTTTACTTGACAATTTCATCTTACAAATTCTAAACCTTATTCACTCTTGTGTCCAATAACTCAGCATGCAATTATTTGGATCTCCTTTGTTCCTCCTCCAACTTCTCTTGTCTTAATCCTCATCTCTTATAATAAGATCGCATTTTCACTATCAAGGCGTTACAACTTCTTATGTAATTGCTAGATATAGGTTTCTTTCTCCTTCAAAGTTTCTTCCAATTTGGTAATCCTGATTTTAAATTATTCATCATGAGTGTTGCATTTCCTTTGCCAATCCTAAACTTCCAATTGTTTCTCCCTCAACCTTCTGTTATTTTATTCCAAGGATTCGTTCGACATCTACAACTTATGTAATGCATCATGAAGATCATTTTCGATTCCTTGCATTTTTAACAGTTTTTCATAAATCTCCTAATACTTAGATTACCAATCATCTCTCTGCATCCCCAACATATCTATTTCCTCCCTCATCTATTGTTAATCCTTCTCTAATTCATTTTTTAACTATTACAATTGTAATAACTTCGATATCAATCCTTCACTATTATAATTCTTGACCATCCAAATAACACTCTCCAATTCCTCCTTGGCCTTAATAGTCAATAACTCACTCGCTTCCTTTAAATGGTTAGAATAATACACATTACCAATTTTGCAATAAGATTTTTAACTTAAATTTCAAAGTGGCAATGATGATTGGGTCCCAAAAGTGATTTGATTCCTCCTATAGAGTCTAGATGAACCAAACTATCGTTTTCTTCATTTTTAGTATTTGCCTGTTTTGAATCATTGCTTGAATAATTTGCAATACTACTTCTTTTTTTCTCTTGTACGTAGCGAAGGAAATGTTGTTCCCATTATTTGAGACCTCTTATAGAATCCTCCTCCTGATGTTTCTTTAGTAGTTTTGAGAAAGGTCTGCTATTGAGGTTTCAAATTGAAGAGTTTAAGTGATTGGCCACCACTTTTGATTCGACGCACTTTGATATTATTGTATTTGTACTATTTCTTCTCTGGGAGTCCTAAGTGGGGGAGAGACTTCTCTCTCCGTACTTCCTACTCAGAGAATCTACCTGTTCGGATATTGAATCTATCTTTTCTTGAGTATTCATTATTAATAAAATAAAACTGTGTTATTGTTTATGTGGAAAAAAGAAAGAAAGTAAAGATTATTGCAAAATAATACTTGATTAACACATATAAATTAAAATATATTGAACCTAATTAAATGCAAGGGATTCTTATACAGTAGTAATAATTCACTTAGCAATTGATACGGATCATTTCCAAAGAGTTTGAGCCATCAGAAGGACTGGAATTAGAATTGAAACATGTGATGGAGTCTTTCTTTATAGAAATCAAACAACTGGAATATGAAATGAAAGAATCCATTGGTAAGTATTGTAATAATTGTGCAAAGTACAAGTAAAATAGCTAATCATACTAGATAATCAATTATTGATGAATTTCACGATGCATAGCATGATTAATGGAAACACCGTTATGATGAACTCAACACCGAGTTTCTCATCCTCAAAGCTTGCAATCAACAAATTGAATTGCAGAAAGCAGAACTCTAATAGAAGTTAATCGATTAACGGACTAAATACGAAGAATTAAATAGATAAAAAAAAGAAGACAAGGATAATTATCGTCAATAATATGAGGCTCTCAAAAAGAAAGCCCAAGACAAGATTCATAGATTAAAGGACAAGGTCGTCCTCTTCCAAACTTAACTCCAAACCTACGCCATCGAAAGCGAACATCTTAGAATTATTGCCTCAGAAGACAAATTAAATTCTCCCCAAATGCCTACCACCATCAAATTCAAATTAAAAGCAATCCTCAAAGAAGTCCAGCAATTACGCAATCTATCCAATTCACTCCTCCTAGAAAATTCGAAAATCATCATGCAAGCCAAAGAACAATTATAAATCCTGAATTTCAAAAAGGATATTCAAGGCACAATCATCAGAAGAAACAATACACCACCAGAACCTGCCAAAATCAAGTAATACTATTCTCAAAGTTAATCCATACAAAATAGCCCAGATCGAAAACTCAAAACTGAAAAACCAAATATGATAAGGAAATTAAATGTTACGAGATCATCAATAAGTAAGAATTTATTAGCAGAATTTGATGCCTCTGCTCAAATTACTAAGTTTATAAAATAATACTACAATGCAGATTAATAATTAAGGAACAGTACAGGTTTTCACACTAAATTGTTTTGATAATTAAATTACGATTAAATACTTTAATTATTAATCTCATTATTTTTCACTCTTTTCAAATCTATACTCTTAATAAGCTAATGATATTTTAAGCAAACAATCTCTTATTTTATTGAATTTCAAAAATAAAATTCATTTCCAACTAATTGTCCACACTTTCATAATTATATTACTTATCTTGTTTGAGAGAGATATCGACAATTGTTCTATGTTAACTGGTATTACAGAATATCAATTCTATTTCCAAACTCTTTTTTAATACCATATCCCCAACAATCTAGATTTGTAATGAAAGTTGAAATATTCTTAAACAATTGTCTTAAAAGGATAATAATGAGACATAATTATCATGTCCTACTTTTCCAAAATAGTTTCGAATGCTTTAAAAGGACTCAATTCTCCAATGGCTTTGAACATTTTCCCTAATAACATATTATCGAAATATATCTCGAATAATAATAAACTTCATAGGACTTCCATAATTTTTGATTCAATAACTTTTACATCCTAAAATTGCAATAATTTAAGAATGAGATTGTTATTGCATAAACTATTAATTTGCATTATTTAGTTATGGTGCCTTTTCATACAATCATATATTATTCTCATTATTCTTAAATAAATATCTCAAAACATCTGGAAACTAATAAATAAATTAAATAATAAAAATGCAACCTCCTGAAGAAGTATCCATCTAATTAATCATTAGAAACCAAAAGAAGAAGGAGAATAAAAGCCAAAAGAAGAATAGTAACCGTAGTAACCACCACAACAGTAGGAAAAGCCTCCTGCTAAGAATTACTTAGACTTATCTAACAAGCCAATTCCCCCCAATGCCACTGTGATCCAATTTGAAGTTTGCATCAATTGCTCAAAATCTCATTCGTTTTGTACTCAGCATGACGAACTACGATATGCGAAATTATATCATGAGTTTAAGGAAGGTAACTTCAGTTATTACTATATCCCTTAGCTGTTGAAGCTGGAATTCCAAATTCGTTTTGTGTAGTAAACCATGCAATTTAGAAACCTTCGATTGGAGCATTTGAAATCACTCATTAAAGTAATGCATTAATTTCTAATGTAGATAAAATAATTTACTCTAAAAAGAATTCAGGATTGTTTCCTGCTGTAGCACCAACAGTGGAAAGAATCAAAAGATTCCTTGATGATCTATAAAATGGAAAGGATGTTAAAGGCTATGCTACAACTAAGGAAAAGAAGCTGGAGAAACCTATTGAAAAGAAGTCAAAACCTACATTTTAAGCTTACATAAAAATGAAGGAGGAAGAATTTGCAAGATAGGAAGCAATTAGAGAAGAAAACGAGAGAAAGAGAAAGGAGCAAGAAGAGAAGGAAGAGAAAGAAAGATAGGAGAGAGAGAGAATTGAAGCAGAGAATAAGAGGATTGCAGAAGAGGAAGCTGCAAAGAAAGCCGAAGAGGAGAGATTGAAAAAGGAAGAAGAAGATAAAATTAAAGCTGAGGAAGAAAAAAAGAAGGCTGAAGAAGCTGCAAAAAATCCTTAAAATTAAGAAGGGGGTGAAAAACCTCAAGAACAACCTTAAGGTGAGAAGCCAGCTGAAAAACCAGCTGAAAAACCAGCTGAGAAACCAGCTTAATGAATTATTCAAATAAATAAATAAGCAGATATAAATCTATATTTATGTATTTTTATAATACTCGTATCATAATCTATCTGTAGAGATCGCACTAACCTTAATACCATCTTACAATGAAATGACATAAACTCTGTAAGTCTTATTTCTGTATTTAATATCTTCAGCAGCAAAAATTGGTTAATTTGTGACTTTAGAGAGTTAGCCATCTTTGAATGCTTATTTCAAAATTTGGTTTTGTAATATGGTTTATGAAATAACAGATAAACTGTCTCTTTATTTCAGATTTTTGAAATAAATTGGAATATGAGGATATGGACTTTGACATGGCAATGCTGATTAATGAGCAAGTCCAGCAATCAAACCATCAAAACTTACAAATAAAGTCTTAATAAATATTTCTGCTTCTTTGTCTTACACGAAGTCTTTGAAATAGGGTAATTATCGAACACTTTAATCATTTTAGCTGATGGTTAGTAACTCTAATTTGAGTTCTTTTTCAGGGATGAAATGTTATTCTCCATTTTCAAAGGTTTACTTTTAAAATATGTTAACAATTTTATGGTAAGTTTCATCATTTTTAAAATGAGAATTGCCTGCATTCTAAATAATAATTAAATTTATTTACTAAACAATCTAAAATCCACTTATTTATTCTATCTTTGATATTGTAACCTCCTTTGAGTTAGAAACTAAGTGAGTTTGGTAAATAGGTTGGATCATATTATACATGCTTTTCTTTTTTAGGTAATTTGGTTTTCTTTTCATGAATTACAACATCTTCGCTTTCCTTTCTTACAACATCGTCTACCTTTATCGGTTAATGCTTGGTAATTTTTGTGACTTTGGGAAATAGTTAATGAATAATATTCTTGATTTCTTCGTCATAAGTTTCATCACTTTAATTTTAAAGATGAAGTTCTTTCAGACTCTTGAAGAGTTAATTCAAGTTCTTTTTTGACTCATTCGAAAATACATTCAATAAATCATCCTCAATATATTAGTGATCAATCTTTATCTCTTCATTAACAAATGGAAATTCAATAACTCCATTTACTTGTAGTTAACTAACTCTGAAATTTTCAAAACTCTTGGCCTTCTTTACAAAGAATTGAACTTTCTCAATTGTAGTGCAAGTCCTTTTCATGGCAGTTACAATCAATTCATATGAAAATGGCAAACTCAATTAATTAAATGACTTTTTTGTATGTGGATATAGGATGATTTTATTGTAAAACTAACTACATTTTGATAGAATGGATTGTGCTTCTTCAGGGGTGTGATTATGTTCGAGTATTATAACATAATTGTCTCTGATTTTAGCATCTTGGATGTCACTAACAATTTGAGTTTGATCATAGAATGATTGGAAGGTTCTGGCAAATGTTGATACTCCAACTCCATTAACACCCACAGGGATAATTAAAAATACATTTTCGGGGTTCTTTTAGAGATCTTCGCCAGTGTATACTGGTATTCTTGTTAAAGAACTTGGTTGATAGGAGGACCACAAGACTCTATATTCTTTTATTGATTTTAATTAATTCCATTTAAAAGTCTAGTTATTAAAAATGTTGTGTAAGATAATTGTGATGAAGTCATTAAAGTTGAATTTAATAGTTTTTTCTATTTTATTATTAGATTCCAATATTTTAAGGCCTTGTTCCTATATGCTCTAATAAAACTTGAATGGTCTAGGTGGTTTAACTTACAATGACTTTACAAATTATTTGAAATCTCTCTCAATATGTTATTCGTTCAATAACATTGATTAAATGTGTTTGTAGATTAAATACTCTGCTGTGTGTACAACATAGTATTGATCATTGAAGTACAAGATAGCTCCAGCTGATTCTAATTCAATATCACTTCTTTGAATTCTCTCTACATGTTTTTAGAGTAATTTTAATTGCAATTTGAATTAGGATGTCTTTGGATGTGGAAATCCATAGAAGCAAAACAATTATTGGGCTTATTCGAAATTCACATCGACAATGCCAATAAATTATAGAATGTTATCAGGATGATAGATCAGAGACTCCTGATTAATGATGTGACCATATACGGTTCGATTGTGTAGATCAAATTTCAAATATTTAATTTTTTCTTGGCTGACTAGAATAAGGATATTGGCTTACATTCGTCCAAAATATTAAACCACAACTCAGCCACTTCGACTGCTTAATCAAATCTCTAGAATTGAAATTCAGACAAATCTTTAGATGCCTAGGCCACTATTGTGAGATTGTCGCAATAGATTAACCAAGCATCAATTTCCTACTAATATCCAATCTTAAATAATTAACCTCCTGGGTAGGTCTGACTATATACAGTTTACTTATTTAGATATGATTATCTTACAATTAGTTTGCTTTCGATTGAGTCCTTGATTATTTAATCCAGATTTGATTTAGTGGGAAATTAGACATCTTAGAAACCTACGATGGAATTAGGACATATTACCCCATAAAGTCTTGACTAGCTGATTCTGGTCATTGAATATTTGTAGGACTGTCTTATGATGATGAATCTATAATGAATGATTTCTTATTTTACCTAATATTTTACATCATAAATCACAAGATTTTCTATAAACAATTTGTTTTAATCATGAATCTGTTGATCTTGATCATTACAATAGTGCAAACTAAATTATTAATGATTCATATTATACAATTCGTATGGATCATTGCTTTGATATTAGGACATTAATCAATATTAAATATTAAATTTATTTGTAGTATCAAAAATTAATGTTTGTCTTCACTTACGAAGTTTGGAAATCTTGAGAAAACTATCATTTATTTTGTTGTTCAATTCTTCGTTAATATTCAAAGTTTTCATTCTCTCGCATAATTATCTGAAATAATATTATCTGTTATTTACGCAATTGCATTTATTGAGTTGTTCTCTAAAAATGCAGATTATAGTGGCAACTTCTCTATCTCCAGAAAACTTAGCAATTCTTACATTGAATTACTCTACTCACTAATAAATCCTTAATTCTTCCAATTGATCTCTGAAATCTCAGACAAGGAATCACTGGTTTCCAATTCGAAAATTGCATGAGCCATTCCGTCTTTTGAATATTTCAATGCCTGAAATAAATTGGAAAAAAACTATTTGCACATCATTATCATTTCATACTTCTTTCACTTCAATTGGTTCTTACTACCATAACTTGCTAAAATTCTTTTTGTCTGGATCCTTTTAAGAAAAATATCCTTAATTACATTGAGACTCTATTTGTACAATACGATCACTGGAGGAGGGTTTGAGTTCATTTAATTTTATAATAAAACAAATATTTAATTACATATAAACCATTCATAACTCATTAATTCAAAACGATCACAAGCATGATTAAAATTTTACACAAATTTAATTACAAACACACCTGAGATTACTCAGAGTGATAACTCAGAAATTCATTAAAGGATTTAATTTTATAATTGAAAAAAATCCATTCCTCCACTTCAATTGATTTTTAAAAATACTAAATGTAAAACATATAAACAAATAAAGTGAAAATCAGAATCTGTTATTCTTCCTCATAAAGTTTAACCATACTTTTCATTCAACAAGATCTTAATTTTGAAGTAATCACTATGAGTCCACTCCCTCTTAGTTTCAGATTTCTCTAACATTTTAACAGCCTAAATTATATGTTTAAAATTGTACCTGTTTCCAAGTAACAAATCTCCCCTTTATTCTCAGTCTCTCCTCAGCCACCTTCTATCTGATATGGTAATGGACTTTTTTTCCAAAAGTTCTATTATGCTTCTTCTCCAAGTATTTCTTTACTTTCAGTTTCCTTTACATTTCCTTTTGATTGGCTTTGGTATTGCACATTTATTAAACCCAATTTTCGAATCTTAATGTTTATGGATCATCCAAAATCTTATAATCTAAACCTACTTTTATTCTTTGTAAGTCGTCTTGATTGATAAAATTCAAAATGAAGTTCTCCTGAGAAGTACTCGGGTAGTATTTCATATCTAAGTTGAACAAATGTTGATCAGCATTGATTGGAGGGGGAAGTTCTTTTGAAGGACATTTTGGAGAGGGAAGGTGTTCTAAAGAATTGTCTGAGTGTTCAGAAGACTCGGTCTCCTCTGCCGTTGAGCATTCGTGGTTGTTCTTGAGGTTAAGCTCCTCATTTTCAACGAAGTAGCTTGTTTTTTTGAACAAGCCAAGTTAATGTTATGTGAAGATGTTCACATTGGATTCTTCGTCATAAAAACTGTTGTTTTGAACGTGTTCGAACTCTGAAATTGTATCGTATTAGACTTATAACATGTTTTATTAAGATATTAATTTTTAAAAAAGGGAACACCGGAATTAAAATTTATGTATTAAATTTTATAATATAAAAACCAGTTTTTGTCAGAGAATCTTTGATTTTGAAAGAATTAGGATCGACAATAAACAAATTTTATGCCATTCATATAAATTCCTGTTAATCATTGCCTCTATTCTCTGAAATGTAATCATAGATGTCACATAATAGTAATTAATTTATTTATTAATTTCTACAATATAATTATAATTATAATTAATACTTTTAATCCAAAATTATTTAAGTATAAGTATTTTTATTTACTTCAATTTTCAGTAATTTACTTAATTATGCAATTTAATTGCTAAAATGCAAATAAGATTTACAAATTCCCTTATAGTATCAAATAAATTCAATAATTAGCTATTATGAATTAGTGTGTAATTTAGTAGTAATTAAATTGATTATTGTCAATAATTATTACATATAATAAAGTTATCACATATTCCTAATTATTAAGATCTATATTATGTAATTAAAAGAGTCAATTAATCAATTTTTAAATGCAATAAAATGATTGATTAAAAGTAAAACCATAAGATTGTTTATTGAATATGATTTAATAATTATTTTATTCAATATATAATTGTTTACATAAATTCTTTTTAGTTTGATATTTAAATCAGCAGATAAGAGGTTTTTAAATTATTTAATGAATGATTGTTTTCAGAATATTTTTATTTTTGAGAGTTATATTATTTTTAGATATTTAACTTAATTATTAGGATCTTTTCCTAGGATTGTACAATTCTCAAGAAACTTGTAATTATTTTCAGAGTAATCAGAATCAAGAAAAAAGGATTTTTATTTGATGGGGATGAATAATTTAGTAGTTTGTTATTAATCAAAATTGTTTTTAAATCTAGAAATTAGTTAATAAACTATTTGATTTATTAATTTAGGATTAAGTGTCTATCTATAAATTTATCAATAATTATGATCAATAAATGTCAGATCAGTTGTAAAAATGCAATTGCGAATGATTATTAAAACATAACGAAAGTATTTTTAAAATAATAAACACCGTCTTTTTAAGTTTAAACCAAAAATTACTTAGATTGCTGAATAATTCAAAAAAAATTAAGTTTATTATTATTATTAATTAAATTAAATTAAAATTTTTCTTTTGTGATGGAATTCCCTTTTCCATCTTTGTTCTGTCTAAATTATTAGGAGAGCCTTCTATCCTAGCCCACAAACGTGAAAACTTTCGAAGCGAACTCAGATAGAAGAGTCTGAATTAATTATTCAGCAAAAATAGAGATAGATCCAGAACACCTATTCAATGGATTGGGTTTCACGGTTAAGGTTTGGGTT